ACGGCGAGTTGAGTTGATGCCAAACAGCTCCATTTTGGTCTCATCTGACCACAATACTTTCACCAAGTTGTCCTCTGAATCATTCAGATGTTCATTGGCAAACTTCAGACGGGCATGTATGTGCTTTCTTGAGCAGGGGGACCTTGCGGGCGCTACAGGATTTCAGTCCTTCACAGCGTAGTGTTACCAATTGTTTTCTTGGTGACTATGGTCCCAGCTGCCTTGAGATCATTGACAAGATCCTCCCGTGTAGTTCTGGGCTGATTCCTCACCGTTCTCATGATCATTGCAACTCCACGAGGTGAGATCTTGCATGGAGCCTCAGGCCGAGGGAGATTGACAGTTCTTTTGCGTTTCTTCCATTTGCGAATAAATGCACCAACTGTTGTCACCTTCTCACCAAGCTGCTTGGCAATGGTCTTGTAGCCCATTCCAGCATTGTGTAGGTCTACAATCTTGTCCCTGACATCCTTGGAGAGCTCTTTGGTCTTGGCCATGGTGGAGAGTTTGGAATCTGATTGATTGCTTCTGTGGACAGGTGTCTTTTATACAGGTAACAAGCTGAGATTAGGAGCACTCCCTTTAAGAGTGTGCTCCTAATCTCAGCTCGTTACCTGTATAAAAGACACCTGGGAGCCAGAAATCTTTCCGATTGAGAGGGGGTCAAATACTTATTTCCCTCATTAAAATGCAAATCAATTTATAACATTTTTGACATGCGTTTTTCTGGATTATTTTGTTGTTATTCTGTCTCACTGTTCAAATAAACCTACCATTAAAATTATAGACTGATCATTTCTGTCATTTGGCAAACGTACAAAATCAGCAGATCAAATACTTTTTTCCCTCACTGTATATATGATGCTGTACGAATGACGATGGTGAGATTTTGTAAATTGTTTGCACACAGTCAACAAAATTTACAAATTTGTATTTTACTTTGATTCAAGCCTTTGAACGGATCACTAAACTAAATGGGACACCTTTTTGCAGATTTGTAAAATCGTCATGTCATTTGGCCTCTCACTCTCAAAGCCTCAGTCTCAGCTAAATAAAAAAAAAGCTCACCAATGACTACGCATAACATAACATGCTGTGCTTCACGTAATTTGGCAAATACCATCTGAGAATGTACCGTCGGTGTCACTTGACACATGTTACTCTCCCTTGCAGTATGGATGGGAGTGTGCTATTCCGTACTGTGGACCAGAGGTCATGTGATGGCATCACAGAGAGCTCTGTGATATTAGCTTCCGTGGGCCGTTCTTGAACGCGAAGGGTTGCACTGCTGTCCGAGATTGGAATGGATCCGTCTGACGCTTGATGCACAAAGCGCAATATCGCATACACATTTGGGTGAAGGGAATTTACAAATAAAATGGCAAATATCCAGAAACGGGCGCTGCGTAACTGGAGTTTGCAGGCGTGAAATGCAAGGGACTTGGGTTTCCAAATTATGGATAAAACCGTGAGTCGTGAGAGGTGATGAATTATTCAAAGCTGTTCAAATCCCAGCAGATTCCTCGTCACGAATCCTACATACACCACCCAAATCAATGACATGATCCCGACTTAAGTTAACTCCTTTATACCTTTGAAAAGCAGGATTTTAATAAGCATGCAGATGCCCAGTGCAATGTTCAAATTACTAGTTTTGTTTTGATTTGTTTACTTGTATGATTGAGGAGTCAATATGTATAGGACCTAGAGCCAGATTTGAATCACTTACGTACTGCATAACCAAAAAAATATGATTTCCTGCATAACGGTGGTCGATCTAACACTAAACGTTCAATCAGGTAAGGTCCATTGAGATCAATCTTTTTCAAAAGCGACTTGGCAGCAAATGATAGCACAACGGAGTGGCATCACAACCACTCAAAAACATCTCTTTGGTTACTCTTTGGTTTTTTCGGTAAAGTTACGTATAAATAAGAAATAATAAAATAACATAATAGCGTACGACGTTTCGGTTGCAACACAAGCAGCCATCATCAGGTACAGAAGAGCTAAATTTACGAGAGAGAGGAAACACATAACCCCAGATGTATATACAGACACCCAAGTAGGGGGGAACTAACACAGATACAACAGGGGACACAGAGAGAGAAGCATACCAAACAAACAGGGTTTAGCAAAATTTGGAAACCATATAAAGCAACACAGACGGTCGGTCAAAACACAATTAACGCATAGTCTGTTGATTAGGCTATTTCAAAGATTGCTAAATTGCAAGTTAAGTATGAAATTTAAAATACAGACCGCGCACACACACACATAGACATCCAAGTAGAGCGAACCAGCACAGACACTCACACAGTGAAATCGCCTTAAACAGGCAGAGAAGGTAAGGCTGAGAGACAATGGGACAAATTAGCATGAGGTATGCATGGAGCAAAGGGGGTGCGGCAGCACACACTCGGAAACACAAAGGCCCACACACAGGCAGAGACAGCACAGAGACAGAAATCCAAGCCAAGACACAAAGGCAGATACACAAGCAGATACAACACAAAGACACAGACCTCATACCTCCCCGTAGAGGTGGTTCAGACATGATTCCAAGCTTTCGTGACTGCAGGAATTACTGTTTTTTTCGGTAAAGTCACGTAAAGTCTACGTGACTTTACCGAAAGAACCAGAGTAATTCCTGCAGTCACAAAAGCGCCAAATAAAATTTGAACTCAAAAACATGTTTCTAAATATGGAGGGAAAAACCGGAGGAAAAAATCCACCCAAACACGGGGAGAACACGCAAACTCCCATATACAGGCGCCAGGGACGGGATTAAACCTACGACGTCCTACATACCAGGCGAGGTAGTTAATATCTCGCCACCGCGACGATCGTTGGGGTTATCTTGAGTGTCGTATGTTGGATTCACAAGACTAGTTAGGAGGATGTGAGAGGTTAAAATAATTAGTATTGGAGTTTTGGGTTACGCTCAATTCTGAGGGCTACGTTTGAATGGAATCAATGCATTCATGTATAGGTATTCTATTACAGTATTTAGTACGAGGCGATAACCCGCAGAGATGAAGTCGATTTTGCAAAGAAGCTCTGTGCTGCAGGGGAGTGCCGACTTATAGATGGGATTTAATAGAGGTTATGGATTAGGGGTTATTATTAGATTATACAAAAAAACAAGCTCCCTGTGGAATCATTGTACAGGGAGCATAAGCCCACATCCTGATGAAGACATTATCCCACACACCCCACTTGCATTATAATGCTCCCAAGTGCACATAAAGATGGTTCAAGGTCTCATGTGCAGTACATGCAAACCCCCTACCATCACCGGCACTACCAAAACCATCAATCACCATCACATGCAGTGCCATCGCCAACTAAGCGCCACCGCCAACTAAGCGCCACCACAACCACCAGAGTTGTGCCCTGTGGGAGCACGTTCGTTGCCTTTGCAGAAGTTCACGGTCCGAATCCAGTGGCCACCTCAATTAGGGCGCGATATAAATCCGAAATAGAATGACACCTGCAGGTAGAATCACCACAATACGTGCACTCTACTTCACAGTGGATTTTAAAGATCCATTGACGTCATTCACAGAGAAGGCCATTATTTTGTATTTCTGGCATCACGGTGCAAAGAAAAAAAACTATCCGCAAATTAATTTGGGATTACACACAACAAACTGTTCCTTTTTGTCAGACTAATACACTGGGTTGACTCGCGCAAACGATACTATTTTGGTCTCTCCGTGTTCTCACCTGGTAAAAAAATAAACATGAATAAAAAAACACCCGGCAGAAGCAGCACCACCACCGCCACCAAAGCAATGGCCACACCTGCCCCATCGTTTTTGATTTGAGAAAAAAACCCCCAACACGAGGTTGCGGCAAGGGAGCTCGCATCGCAGCGAGGGAACCTCGCGTGTCGCGCACTCTGCGACGCCTTCGCTCGAGGCGCGAGCGACGCTGTCCACAGCAAAGCGGGGACGTTTCACACTTCGCGACTCGCGCGTCAACACGACCACCAGCGCCGTGTGGTCGCGGGGTCAAACGGGCGACCGACAGCAAAGGCGATGGTAACTCAATGAAAGTACACTTCAAAGCAGGGACTATCCGAGTAAACACTATTAGCTTGCAGATATCACACAAGCAGGTCACAGGTTCTAAACTCAACATGCTAATTATATGTTTGTTGTTTCGTTGTTTCCCTTCGGCGTGGCTTTGCCGAGGGAGCTAAGAATATGAATGCACATTACAATTCCTTATAGGGGAAACACATACTAATTAACGGATTACTAACATAGCATATAATCACTAACACACATTACAACTAATTACTAATCTACAACTCATTACTAATCATAACCATTGACTGATTACTAATCGATTATATAATTACAATACCCCCCCCTCCACCTCTAATCACTGCACCTGATGAGTTAAATGATGACGTCACCCTGCTGCTCTATTTAAAACCGGGAGCAAGCGAGGGCTTTACCATTCTCGCTAATTGCTTGATGCTGGATGTATTTACCAGCGAAACGTCGTACTCAAACTGTAAATGTTGTGGATTCACTCAACACACCGGTGGGCTAAAGTAGTGAATTATGTCTTTTGTCAACGTGACACTTTTTTTGCTGATTGGCCGTGTCGGGTGGTGGAGGGTTACGACACATTTATAAATAACGCGATCTAACCCAAAAACCTTTATGAATGCTAATTATATTCGCTTTAAAACCATTTCATTATATTCTGTTCCGAATATATGGTTATGCACCCCCACCTGCGAAACACCAGATAATTCAATTCAACCAATGACGAAGTGACACGAGTTTGGTAATTGCGCTGAAAATAGTAAAAACATTTCAACATCTCGAGGCGGAGTAATTTGTTTGCGGGCAGCGCGATTGTGCCTGCGTCCATGCGGCACCAGAAACTAATTTTAGACCGAGCTAACCGGGCCTCCTACTGGTACGTTCAAATCATTTCCGTAATTTAGACGCACGCGGAAGTCTATAAAAAAAAAACTCTTTGGCAAAACACTAACGTGTTTTTATGTAAAAAAAAGCTACAATTCAGACTGAACAGTCGCATGGCAAAATAATACACCCCACTTTATCTAATCGTTTGACAATTCCAGTCGTGTAAATAATGTAAACACCACGAACTGCGGTGTATATTTTAGACGTTGTCACAGGCAATGTAAGATGATACGGCAGCAAAAAAATGTGCCCTATAAACTTGACTGAAAATAGATTTTTAAAAACAAAAATACAATAAGCTTTTCAAGTGTCACTGATGTGAAATGCAATTTCTGACGTTTACTGTTTTATTCATAATAATTTTTAAATAAAAAAATAATCTTTTAATGTATTTTGTCAATGTTTATTGCAAGAACATATACAAAACCAAACACTCTTCAGAAACGTATTTCTTCCAATCTATCCCATCCAATTTTAAATTGATCCATACTATTTATTTGAGCACAATACATTTGTCTTTTCAGTCATACACTCGACTCTTACATATTGATTGGAAAGAACCAACCAATATTGCTTGAAATTGAATTGGCCAATTTGGGATAAACACAGTGAAATCATTCAAATTCTATTAACGGCAAGAAAAATACAATTCCCTGAGTGGTGTTGCATTTTACACATTTCCGATTTTTTTAATGTAAATTTAAAATGTGAAAAAGAACCAAAGCTCCGTGAGTTTACATATATATTTATTTTATCTTGTGCCTTGTTCAAAACTAAGCCCGGCTTATCCCTCCTGCTCCAACAGTCGCCGTCTCGTCTCCTCCACCACTTCCTCTGCCACCTCGGGCTTGAGGATGTCTTTGATCTGATGTCAGGAAAAATAAATATCACCAACAATTAGTGCCTTCAAAAACACACACACACACCGCACCGAAGTCACGTAACAAAAACAAGCGCCAAACTACTGAAAATGGCACAAATATCACAGACCAAAGCTCTCATTGCTCATCTTTAATTGATTAAACACGAATAGAAAGTATATTGTTTTTCTTCCACCAATTGTATTTCAGTCACGCTGTCAAAATTGTCACAATGTATACGATTACACCAAGGACCTACTTCTGGAGTCACCCGAGTAAGTCTTTATCGCCATACTAAATGGTGCTCCAAGGGGTATTTAAATAAGCATAACAGTCATATGATCAAATTAAAATATTTGCATCTTAAGAGCCAGGCGAAGCCTATATAAGTAAAACAAATAATGCATATGAATATTAATGTATTACATGCGCAATGATTTTGACCGGTAACAGGCCACCAAACGTTGAACCTGGCTTCATAAAGACAGGTGTCTGACTCCCAGATTAAAAACCCAGGGTCTCCAGTAGTACTGGGCTCTCTCCGTTGTCACACAGCATTGGTCCCTTGCGTGAAGCTGGCCACTTTGCAACCGTCCATTATTAACACAATCAATTCCTTTCATCGCACAGGTGAACGCCCAGAGGGAAAGAGTCAACGATAATAGCGGAACGCAGCAGGGCCGCGCAAATGGCGCGACACAGCAGGCATTTTTGCTCTGCCGCTTGCATGTTTAACTCTGAATTCGGCAAGCCAGAATAAATAACGTGACAATACTCGGCACCACCACGGGGCCTGCTGTACGGCAGGCAACTAAGTAGCGATCAATGATTAGGGAGCCGTGTGAGCTACCGCCGAGCTCGGCGCGTTGTTTTTCGGCAATGTTAAAGTCTCGCCGTTAATTCCATGTGAGAATTAGCTGTGCGGGACCATGCAGCTAAACACGCTGGGGCGGGCTTTCATAAAATAAAATAAAACCATCGAGCAAGCCAAAATGAAGGACGGTCAATAGGTTTCATTTGTATAAAAAGACCCACGGGATGGTTCAAGCTTGACGGAGGTTGGCTGCGTGCGTTTATCCGTACAGCCCGGCTCTTAAGCGACACAGAAGCGGTTTATAATATTAACGGGCCAATATTTTTCACAACACTTCATTTTGGCAGCTCGTGGGTATTACACGGGGAGGAATTGATTTGTCGGGTCACGTTTACACGCTCCGGCAGCCTCCGCCCCTCCTCCCCCAATTTTGGCCACAAGTAAGGGGCACAGCAGAGGCAGTTAACTGGATGAGGAATTACAGATCAACACCCCACATAACTCTCTCTGTGCTCAAACAAGCCAATGCAAATTGAGGCTGCAGCTCCAGTTCAGGGACACAACTGGGACTTTTACCGTGAAATGATTAACTACCACGCACAAATTCATATCCTCCTGCCACCACAATTGGTAAACATCAAATGCGGACACGTTTAAAAACTGCCAATTATTTTAATACTAGCGAATAGAGGTTGGCACAATCAGCCGCAGAGAACGTGTTCAGTGTCCCCAGCTAAATGTGCTTCTAAAGGACAAGCTTCATATTTGTGCTCTTTACAATGTTATTCCATGTTCACTTCGGCGTGGCCATTGGCGCCATCTTGCTATCACGGCAACGTCTGTGATTTTTTTGTCGGTTCGCCACTAATGACGACAATGAATGGCATGGAGACCCCAATTCTCTCTTGGCCTCGTCAAAAAATTGCACTCTGTTGCTCCCTCCCCGTATTCATTCGATGTCTATTGCTTTGCAACTTGGAAAATGGCAGCGAGGCGGTGGTTGCTAAACTGTTCGTTCTTTCCGCTAAACATTATTTTCCCTGCTCTCCAGGTCAACTCACGCCCTCCTATAAAAATATAAACTTGCAATTTGATAGAATAATCAATTACTTAATGAATTTGACGGCCCAGCTCTGAAAGGTTTAGGTACAGATGCATGATACAGGTGTACTCACGGTGCATAGGATACATGTTCTGACAGGAGCATGGTATAGGTGTACCAACAGGCGCACGGCGCAGGTGTACTAACAGGCGCATGGTATATGTATTCTGAGCCAGCTACAGGCTCTTAAACCAAGTTCACCAATGACTACGACGTGCGTTTGGATGTTTCCGTGCAGTGGTCAAGGCTCGCACGTGGCCACGCGCAAAACGGCCCTCACCTGGTGCTGCATGGAGGCCTCGTAGCAGTAAAGGACACTGGTGTCGTACAGCATCATGCGTTGCCACGACAGGCCCGTCACGCAGTTGCGGAGACGTGCAATCACCTCTCGCTCCGACAGTGCCGTGGGCTACGGGGAAGCAACACAAATTAACTCATCGCGAGGTCTGAGGGCGTTTTTTTATTATTATCCCAAGAGACTACACAGTGGACTAGCATGGCTATATATCCCTGGGGCACAAACACGGATTAGCTGCAGGGCAAGGCCAGGTAGATTAGGCTGTCCCTTGGCACAAGAGTGAACTTGGTCTCGTCACACACATCCAAGACATGTAAAGACTTTTTGGCAGTGCGCTGCAAAAATGTCGGAAGCATTTAACTACAGTGCAACAATGGATTTTTCTGCACTGCCATGGACTGCCCATCACATAGTCCGATGCATTCCAGTGACTTGATCCAAGGCGATGTCCAACACAATAGGAATTTGGGATTCAAATAAGTGTCAAAATACAGGAACAGCAGGACTATTTATGTTATGGAGATGCTGTCCACTCTACGGCAATGTCACGGGCGAGTTTGCACCGTCTCTACGCACAATCACCAGCATTCTTTATTACCTTTACATCCTTCCAAAAAAAAAGCTGTGATTATATCTGGAATGTGCTTGTATCAAAAGCTTCCATCTGCCTTTCCTCACCAGTGTAATCTAAACGTGTGTTGCTTATATTAGAACGGTGCTCCATATAAGTTGTGCTTACATCCAGCTTTGACTGTGCTCATTTCCTTAAATGAAGTAGTAACTGACAAACAATTCGGCACTTTGCAGTGCTGAAGATCTCGGGAGGTTTTCCAAACGCTGTTTCTCCCACTCCTCCAAAGTACAGATTTGAATGACGATCAATATTCGACACCGACTCTACAATAACTAAACAATGTGCCTGACCTGCATCTGTTGAACGAAAAATATAAATACAAATGATGAGCGTATCGGAAGGACGAACGTGAAGAATTACATCTTGCCAATGTTGCAATGGCCCGTTACAAAGCCTCGTTCTACTTATCGCTCGCCGTTCTACCTATAGCTCGCCGGTGTATTCAGATTGTACTGAATATTGTCCAGCAGGTCTGACGTGTTGCCCCCTAACCTGGGAGCTTCTTCAGCAAGTGCATTCTATTTGGACAGGCGACACCGAAGTTAAAGCGGCGGGATTCGCGATCGTAATATTAAACGTTGGGAAACACAAGTAAAAAAAATAATAATCTATGATAAAATACTGAACCCATCATCCATTCAAGGCCGATGACATGATTACCACGATACAGGAGACAAACAGTGGTTGTTCCACAATGGCTCATGGGGTGCCCCACCAGTGTTGAGCCCCATCCCATTTCTCATTTGTATTCCTATGGATAGACTTTCCCTACCGATATGGAAGTGGGATTTCCACCGCTGGTTCAGGACTGTAAAAATGAGATGAGCCCCAACTCAAGACTCGTAAGTGCAAAAATAAGTCACGCAGACTTCAATCTGTCCCCATTGTAAACGTGGGTTTTTCTCTGGCACAACCCACAACGGTGGCCTACTCCAGCACTCTGCACACCTCCAAGTCGGTGTAGAAGCCGCCACTCTCCTCTGCGTGGCTGTCGCTGGTCGGGTAGATCCACACAAAGCCATTGTTGCCCAGGATGATGGAGGCGCCGCAGGGCAGCGCGTGGAAATGCGTCTTGCGCCGCTTCACCAGCGACGGGGACACGCGCACCAGCACCCCCTGGCCCAGCTGTCGCGGGAATGCAGTGGCACAGACCGGAGTTGGGGGGAGGGGCAGGAAGGGGAATTGGTCATTGTGGGGCCAGTGGCTCCCCCCAAAAAATGGCCAGTCAATGGCTTAACAGTGTATTCCAACAAAATGCAAAAAGGTAACTGTGCAGCCCTGCAGCTGCTCATTCATGCAACTTATAGCGGAAGGCCCTCCACTTTAGAACTATAGTCAGCCCTGCGAGAGGGTATTTTGGACGAATATTCCATGATGGCCAGAAATTTTTTGAAAAAGTGGGAGTACCCACACTTTATCCCCACTAAACCAGACCTGAAAATTGAGTGTGGTGTACCTATTTATGCAGCTGTGTGGACAGAGGTGGGGAGGGAGTTAACGACTGCCATGCCAGGACATCTAACTGAACCGGTGACCTCTGCATTGCAGGTCCAGTGTGCTTTGAACATTACTCCATGACGATATCCTTCGCACATATCATCAATTAACTGATGGATGGAGGCCACCCCCTGTCTTTTGATAACGTAGTTGGTAAAGAGGGTGTACAGGACCGATTCAGATACTAGCCATTGGTCTGGCTTATCTATGTCCAAGAATCAAACTCAGGTCATCAGGTTCATAGCACAGTACGCCACTCAATCTTCGTGTCATCTCCCCTCCTGACACACAAGTACAATCAATACGTCTTCTGGGTGGCTACAGTGGTTAGAGAGAACGGCTCACAAGTGGAAGGTTATGAGTTAAACTTACACTGAGAGGTGGATTCACCTTACCATCCCACTGTGGTTGATAATATAAATACCAACTTGTGGGAAGTCAACAGTGGTTGACCTGCAATGAATCTGGCCTCTGCCATGGGAATGCAAAATTTCTGCCACTGGCTCCAGGTTAAGTGCAGATGAGTTACCTCCCAATTACTTGATTGAGCTGGGAGACACAGACTTCACTCACATCGTTGCTATCTTTCTAAATCGTGCAAGTGAATCATGACAGTTCAGTTATATGGATTAAGTGGTTCTTGCCCCAGCAGAAGGCAATTTTTTGGCTACGTCTTATTACGGTTTTCAGCTACTGTAACTCCACACTTCATGCAATGCCATTTTTTATTTATATTAATAAAACTTGTAAAGGTACATTTCACCACAATAAAAGAGGTTCGGAATACATTTGTACCCAGAAAATTAGGAATGTATCTGCAATGGAGATCAGCTCTCTCAGCTAAGTTTAAACCTTATTACAAGTTGGCAATTGCTAATTTAAAATGAAATAATACTTCCAACGAAATGGAGCATAAACTGTCCAATCACGTGTGCGTGTTTAGGCAGTTCTTGTCACACTCCCTGGGGTGAGCCACTTCACCTTGCCATATTTAAGACTCCTGGTGTGCAGGGAAAGGGCACCGTCTGAGAACACCGCTTGTACCTCTGCCTGCATTAAATCAACGATTAAGGAACGACACGACAGGTGCATTTACAATAACGGTCACTCATGAGATGAAAAACACCTTGCACCACTTGCTCAGCAAAGTAGCATACAAGTAATGCTTGTAAACATCTGGGCCACAGGCCAATACAGGCGTACATGTATCACCCCCTTTGTCAGTCCACTGTTGGATGAGGGCCTCCCTCATGTCGTGAGGGTTATTTAACCATACTGCACCACGCTGGTGATTGCAGGTTGATAAAGTTGGGGATCAGATGTGGGTACATAGATTGTAACAATGGATTCTGCTGCGATGCCCTCTGCTGCTCACTATGCAGCCCGGCAGATTGTGACTGTTAATGGTGGGTTGAGCATCGAAGGACTATCCAGGTTCAATGCTACTTAGATTTCAAGATGCAATATCAGATTCAATCTGGGTGCTTTAGTCAAAGGCAACTCACAAGTAACAATAACAAAATATCTACTTATGTTCATGTAAGGGGTCTGACTTAAGTGGATTGATGCTGATGATTCCACTTCATGTATATTTTAAGAAATTCACATTCGGCAGGACTTTCATGCGAAATGTTCAAGGATACGCTGATGAGATCACCCTCCTGCAAGTAGTCCCTCATCGCCAGCTCATCCTCTGCTGATCGCCGTCGCTAATAAGACAAGGGAGAAAAAAAGCATGCACAGGCATGGATTCTGTTCATGTATGCGTTGTCTTTTAAGTTTCAGGCCATACAATGGAACGGTCACGTGACGCATGACGTGTGACATAGTGAGATGACGGCACACACAATAACGTTACCAGGAGGGCAGGGGAGAGGGAAGGCATGTATGCTTCTACCTCCAGGGAACAGATGGTGATGCAAAACGTCACTTTCTAGCAGCAATTCAACTTTATACTCAAGTTTTGTTGATATTGAATCATATATATAAAAAAGGGAAATTTGTGAATGTGTGTCTGTTCGAAATATTTAGCATCCTTCCCAACATGCAACAAACTTGAAATTTGGCATGTGGATACCTTCCAGACTGTACACAACACAAAAAGTATAAAATAGACATTTGTATTTTGGCGGGGGGGGGGCGCAATAATGGATATATTTTGCACGGCAAGTGAGTGCTGACGTCACATCTGTGATGTCACCCGCATGCGGCAGTGTCACACAGTGTGCCTGCTGACGTCACGCATCCCACCCTCCGCGTAAGCCGTGTATTAATCTAAGACAAGAATCCAAGTCTCGGGCGAAGCCGGGCAGTAAAGCTAGTATATACATATATATGAGAGCTACCCTGTCCCTGTGTTTCAGACAGACGGAGAGTACATATATATTAGGTTTTACAATAAGTTGGATTGCATAAAAATATTAGAATTTTTTTTTATATTTAAACACCACAATAAACATTTGTACGTCCACAATAAGCATGACGTGGATAACATTGGAAAAGTAAAGAGCCGAAGGTGAAATATGCAGCAAGAAAGACTTGTAAGTTGTCTACTTTTTTCAACTCATGCACAAATTTAATGCGACTGCACAATGTGCAAAAAGTGACATTTTTATACACGACTATGTTTTTCGAGGACAATGCCAAGGTTGGCACCAATCGAAATCGGCCTATTTGCGATGATGAACTTCCTCTGAAACTATACTGAGTATCCATTGATGGAAATTACAACTGCACAATGCAAAAAGCTTTGCCAAACATTTTAAATTAATCTGGTTCCATTACATCCCGAGTCAATAAACGTGGAAAAAAGCCAGTGCATTACTTTTTTGGCAAACAGGGATTTTGGGAGATGGCCAGGTGGTGGCTCAAGAGTTAGAACACAGGAGCTGGCACCAGCTGAGATCATGCACAAGAAGCCACCGCGTTACAATCGGTGTTACCCTAATTTAGTGAACTTACGCCAACCCTCCACAGCTTGCACTGGCTACCGCTCCCGCTTCCGCATCAAATTCAAGGTTGCTCTTCTAACCTTCAAAGCATGGCTTGGATGCGCCTAATCCTCAGCCGCATAAAACACACTCCGTTCCACAGGAAGGGCCAAGACTTGACCAGCCCAGGATTTTTCACCCGACACTGTGGGGGGGACAAATCCTTCTCGAGCGCAGCCCCAAAAATCTGGAACACCCCCCGACTGCCACCGGACATCTGACATGCGCCGAGTGTCTCTCAATTCCGTGGTCTGTGCAAGACACACCCATTAAGACTTGCCTTTCCATAAAATCGAAGAATGAAAACGGTCTCTTTACTTTTCATTTATTTTTTTATTTACGACTTACCCTTCCTTACGTTATTCGTTGCGCACAGTTGCAATTTACTTTGCTCGGTCGGTGCTAGCCGCTGAGGGCGTGACGCGTTTCTTTTTTCATTCCCGTGTCTCTATGCCCCCTGTACCGTTCAAATTCCGTTGTAATGTGCAATAATGCCTACTTTATTGAGGGCGGTACTGGCACGTAAAATAAAGATTGATTTAACTTCTAGCATTGAGAATGAAAATATATCATCGCACTGTGATAGTAAACTCAGAAAATGAAATGATGTGGCACACCTGCAAAGACGTTTCACTCCACGATTAATCTTATCCGGCTGACAGCCGACTTTGTAGCTTGAAAAAATATTTACGGACAAGGGTGGGGGAGTTTATTTTGGTCGGATGGAAGCTGCGAAGGAGAAGGTGGCTCACGCAACCTCCTGTTGGTCGGAGGATAGTGGAGGATGTTTCTAGATGACAGAAGGGTGTCCTGAATATGGCATAGAACGAGCTTTGATTTTAGTTCAAATGTCTGTTTCATATATGCAATATGCATGGCAAATGTCATGTTCGAGTGAGCAGCACCCTCTCCTGACGTCAGATCCTCAGTAATTCCTGGATAGGGAGAATAACCAGTGAGAGACAGGTGATCTAGAGAGCAATGTAGCACCCACCAGCTCTCCCCCTGGTAGATTCACAGACGAAAGCAGCAGAACTGAATCCAACCGAGAGTTTGTGTCCACCTTCCAACGCTTTTGCTGTACCTGTGCATTTTAAGGAGAAATAAAAAAAATAAACAAGCATTCAACTCATATTTTGATTTAAATTTTGATTTTTTTCACACCTGATGATGACCGTTTGTTATGGTCGAAACGTCGTGAGAATTTTTATTGTTTTATATTTTATTATTTTATTGTTTCCCTACAACGTGACTTTACTGAAAGAGCTAAGAATATTCAACTCATCGTTTATTATCGACATTTCACTCAACGTGGGTGGGATATAATTAGGCATTCCAGAATTACAATCAATACTTTTTCATTCATTATAATTACATACGAATTTTTTAGGCAAATAAAAGAGGCCATATACAGCAAACGGTACAGACATGAGTAATCGCAAGACAAATATTATAGATGAGACAGCACACAAGACAGACGGTATAAACAAGGCAAACAAAAATCATGGCAATTCCTGGAAATTACAGCGGGTTTTAGTGTGAATAATTTCACCATCACTCCAGCTACCAGTCGAATATTCTTCCTCAATAATTCTGTCTTTTCCCAAGCTGTTTTAAACATTGTATAATTTAGCAGTATTCTTTGGGTCTTTCAGTCAAGTCACGTAGATAGGTTCAAAGAAAATAACAAAATAACAAAAAACTACGACGTTTCGATCGCAACACAAGCGGTCGTCATCAGGAAAAGGGGGCTTAGCTTCTAAAGACAACTGCTGATAAAGATTTGAAATGGGCGTAGTCCAAATGTCAGCAGCCAATGCAAGTGGTGGGCAGCGACCGCGGCGGTGGTGGGCTTTCCACCAATCACAGGGCTGCCAGCCAGAAATTAGCATGTCAATGCAAGATCGCCGAGCATCCTCCACGGCGAGTGCGCCAAGGTGGCTATGTTAATGTGAGAGATGAGCATGTTAATGTGAGATCGTGAAGCAGCAGCCTCGAGGATGGCGCGCGACGTAGCTGATTTAGTGAGAAATTGAATCTGTTAACGTAAAAAAATCAGAGAGCCGAAATTAACAACTAACATCGGAAGGTGATTGCTCAGTTTGTACCCATCTGCTAGGTTGAAATTAAGTCTGTGTCTATATATATGGATGGCTTCATGAACGAATCTTTGTTGATAGCCAGTTGGTTTGCAGAGTACCTTCGTCTTAGAGAAATCAATTTCGCGTGAGCCCACCGGGGAAACTAAGAGACACGTCTCGGACTGTGTTCGTGAACATAAGGCAGATCTGAAACACGGTAGGACCAATACCTCGGCCGTGGCTGATCATTGCTTAATGCGGTGGGCTCACACGAAATTTATTTATCTAAGACGAAGGTACTCTGCAAACCAACTGGCTATCAACAAAGATTCGTTCATGCAGCCATCCATATATATAGACAGACACAATTTCAACCGAGAAGATGGGTACAAACTGAGCAATCATTGGAAGGACGTTATTAACCAGTTTAAGTCATAACTGGCTGTGATGTTTCCAGCCTACCCACCTTCCGGTGTTAGTTGTTATTTTCAGCTCTGATTTTTTACATTAACAGATTAAATTTCTCACTCACACAGCTACCTCGCGCGCCATCCTCGAGGCTGCTGCTTCACGATCTCTCACATTAACATAGCCACCTTGGCACGCTCGCCGTGGAGGATGCTCGGCGATCTTGCATTGACATGCTAATGTTTTGCCTGACAGCCCTTTGATTGGTGGAAAGCCCACCACCGCCACGGTCGCTGCCCACCACTTGCATTGGCATTTGCTGCTGACATTTGGGCTAAGCCCATTTCAAACCTTTATAAACAGTTGTCGTTAAGACGCTAACCCCCCTTTTCCTGACGATGACCGCTTGTGTTGCGATCGAAACGCCGTAGTTTTTTGTTATTTTATTTGAACCTATCTACGTGACTTTACCGAAAGACCCAAAGAATATGAATTCCTGCAGTCACGAAAGTTTAAAGTCATAATTTAGCAGTCTCTGGCTTGATTGCCCAAGGACAGCACTGTGACCACATGCCAATAACTGTTTAAGCTTGCAAACTGAACCCATGTCTCACTCACCTCTGTTATCCTTCCCACCACCACGTCACCTATTTCCCCATTGTATCTACAGAAGGTAATATATAAACACAGTCATGTTAATGATGACCTAGCAGACACAACTTGGAAATAACAGAAAAAAAACATTATAATGCACCTCAATGGATACTTGTCCTGCATCTTTAAGAGTCATTTATGCATTCATATAAAAATCTATTAATGAAATGTGTTGTATAAACCTAGTCGGCAGTTCCACAAATTAGGCAAACCCAGAAAATAAAATAAAAAACCCTAATAATACACATTAGGTGTAATTTTGAAGGTAACGAGCGATACATTTAGAAAATATTACTTATTTCTGATATACGTACAATGGCTCCTATAAGGCCGTGCGGGAGCATAGTGTGGCACAGTTTTTTGCACCAGCTATCCTAGAGTGTGGTCGTGTCGCTATAGTTCTCTGCGGTTAGTACGATGCCTCTCTAGATAAAATTAACGCTAACCGCTTGCACGGTCCGAGATTCAGCGGCGAACGGGACCGACCATGAAACTTGCAGACATCTCGAAACGGGAAAGGGCTAAAACCCTCAGCTTATTGTTAAGAATTACAATTGTGACCAGACACCAACAACAACACAAGGATGATCCTGATTAAATCTGTTTTTTTTCCACATAGCACCCTTTACAAAATAATATGCGGCAAGGGCCTTGTCCTGGCACAGTTCGCTAGGGTGGTGAAAATAAAACTCACCGTGTCTTGAGAGGCCGCACACAGATCAGCTTGTTGACCCTTTCCACCACTCCGGCCACTGATGCGATGAGCTTATCGTCCTCTGTGTAGGTGCCATGGCCCCTGCACCAAACAAAAAACACCAACGCCATTACCACCACCACCAACGGTGCACAATAACAGAATGCGAAACAGTAGGCTTACACCAGGGGTCGGCAACCTGCGGCTCCGGAGACATGTGCGGCCCTTTTAAGGACTGCTTCGTGACGTTATTTTATTAAGGCCCACCGTCTCGTATTCACCACGTGCATTGCGGCTCTTGAAATATTGTGTTTTACAGAGTTCGAAAAAAATGGCTCTTCTTGTCATTTTGGTTGCCGCCCCCTGGCTTATATTGAGGTCAAATGGCCATTCTTTGCAGCAGTGAGTGTAGCAATGTGTTGCTCCAGTCAGGGCTCCCTATTATAAACTACCCTTGAATGAAATATACTACAGTATTTAACAAACAAATAATTAATGTTTTCTTTAACCTAGCATCTTCCTATCCCAGAAAAAAAAACTTTAACAAAATACTATATTAAATCTTGACTTAAAGCTTTCGTGACTGCAGGAATTCATATTCTTTGGGTCTTTCGGTAAATACTCTTTGGTTCTTTCGGTAAAGTCACGTAGGTAAAAAATAAAATAAAGTTAATCAAATCACGACGTTTCGGAAGCAACACAAGCCTCCGTCATCAGGTGGGATAGTCACAGCAACAAGTAATTTGCTGTAAATTTCGATTGAAAGCTTTCGTGACTGCAAGGATGCATCTTCTTTGGTTCTTTCGGTCAAGTCACGGTTTTAGCCCTTTCCCGTTTCGTCGTGAGAATTTTATTGTGTTATTTTATTTTATTATTTTATTCTCATTCTACGTGACTTTACCGAAAGAACCAAAGAAGATAATTTGCTGTCGTGCATTACAGCAAATTACTTCTTGCTGTGACTACCCCACCTGATGACGGAGGCTTGTGTTGCTTCCGAAACGTCGTGATTTGATTAACTTTATTTTTTACCTACGTGACTTTACCGAAAGAACCAAAAGAGTATGGATCTTTCGTGTCACGAAAACTTCAAATCTAGAATCTTTCGGTAAAGTCACGTAGAACTAAATTTAAATTTTTGTTCTACGTGACTTTACCGAAAGGCCCAAAGAATATGAAATCCTGCGAGTCATATTATAAATACACATTTTAACTCTATAATTGTCTCGTACCGTTCACGAAAACGTGCTCTAATAATGTTCACGTGTTGCACATGGCTCGAACCGCGTGTGTCACCGTGCGTGCGTGCGTGAATGTGCCACTGAGAGGAAAAAAACTGGAGTGTGTGCATCTTAGAGCCACAGGGGGTCTCAGATGGGATCATCAGCGTTTTTAAATGTTCTGTTGCTTTAAAAAAATGCCGATGCCTAACATTAGTACAACAATATCTTGTTTTTGTATTTTTTTTAGCATTAATGAACCTTGTCAACGCTAACTTGCCTTGCTCAGTAATAATACACTTTACAAACCCAACGATTACTGTTCTAAATATTAGAAAATGGTCTTTTAATCGGTCAAAAGTAACTATCCACACATATCTGTTTATAACACGTGTTTTTATTTAAGAAATCCCATGACACAAAACATGCAATCCCACCACAACGTTATACTAATTACATCGCTGAATTAATTACGGTTTTGTACAAAACCTACGGCGAAAGCCCCAGGGACCGGTTCAGATATTCGTCACTGGTGTTGGCCGTGAGCAGGAATGGAACTCGGGTCACAGCCGGGTTCGTAACTCGGCGCCATGGCCACGATACGACCGGGGCAAAGACAAAGATCCCCCGTGTAGCCTGCAACAGACTGTAGGGGCAAGTGCTGTTAGCGAGTAGCACCTATCAAGGCCGGCACGGCACACGGAGGGGCTGGGGGTAGGCAACACCACGCCCGTCCGCCTTTGTCTCCCCAGTGGCGACGTTTACACAGCCGCACTAGGTACGCGAATCATTTTTCGAGGCGAAGTCGACCCAGGACCGGTTCAGATAATCGTCACTGATGTTGGCCGTGAGCGTGAGACGAACTCTGTCCGGGTCGCCGGGTTCGTAGCGCAGCGTAGCGCTAACCGCTACGTCACCGCTCCCCCAGCACACAACGCACCAAATGCGGTCTCTCTTACATAGACACAAGACACACACACGTGTCCCTCAACAGCCACCCCCCGCCGGAGAGACAACTTCCACGCAAGCGAGTCGGCGGCGCACCTCATGAAGCCGGCGTCTCCCGTGATGACATCTCCCGGAGCGACGAGGTGCCTCGCCGCGCCTCCGCCTTGCCCGGGCGCCCTGTTCCCGTGTCTCCTCGCCACGACCGAGCGAACGTCCACCGCCATGCCGCCTTCTTCAACCCCCTCCGCCTCCTCCTCTTGTCGTCAAGCAGCCCGCTTCGCGATCGAGGCAACAAAGCGGTCGAGGACTCGTGGGTGCCATCTTGCTAAGGGCGTGCAGAGTCGAGCGGGCGCGGGTTGGAGCCTTTCACCCCCCCCCCACACCCCATCCCCCCCACCCACCCCCCGGGCTTGATTTCGTGTTGAGTTTCCTCCCTAGCTAAGATGGTGGCGAGCGGTGACGGTTTGTTGTGATGACGACAGCGACCGCCAACGTCACGGTGGCGGGTTCCCCACGCACGCGCCGGTGGTTTTGTCGACCCGCGAGTTGTTGGGGTGGACGTTGATCGGCGGTGGTGGCGATGGTGGTGGTGGTGCAAGCTTTGGTGGTGCAATCTGACGGTCACGTCGCAGTCAGCCAACCTGAGGGGGTGGGTGGGGGGCGTTGTGTTGCTGTCCCGAGACCTACCCTCCATCCCTCCTTCTCAGCGAAGCCATTCGACGCTTGAACGCGGTAGCCACGAAGTGCACCTGGCCTGGCACAAGACGACGCGGTGTCGTTATTGTCAACTTCGTGGCTAATTGGCCGGGTGTTGGTATTGCATTGGCATTTGGCAGAGACGCGCGCGATCACCCCCACGTGTGTGGGGGGGGGGGGGGGGTCCATTAATTATTGCGGGAGCAAAGCAGCAAAGCGCCCATATGCTGTCCCCATGACCCTCAAAGTCCACACAACACAACCCCTTTGACACTGCCAAAAGCCTCGAGCGTGTAGGCCCGTGACCTGCTATATTTGCACGGTGCAAAGTCGCGTTGTGACGTCGTCTCAAACGGCGTGGCGTGGCTCAAATGCGAAGTTAATACTGGTAGGGAACGTAGTGGACTGGAAGCCCAACCGGGATTAATTCACAGGAGGCAGGGGATTAATTGTGTATGTCTGTGGGTGTCTGTCCACGTGTATCCGGACACCAGGATATGACAAATACGCTCCTAGTGGGCATTACTGGTAGGAAACGTAGTGGACTGGAAGCCCAACCGGGATTAATTCACAGGAGGCAGGGGATTAATTGTGTATGTCTGTGGATGTCTGTCCACGTGTATCCGGACACCCGGATATATAACAAATGCGCTCCTAGTGGGCATTACTGGTAGGAAAAATTCCCTACCAGCCCCCTCCGCAGGAATGTGTTCGCAATGAATGAAGGGAGGAAATGTCTCGGCACATATCAGACTGTGGTGTTGCAGCGGTTTCTCATATGAATAACTTAAATATTAGCTTCATTAGGCAATTCACGTTGAAAGAATCATGTTTTTTTTAAACCGAGTTATATATAAACATTTTTAATAAGAAAAATAATTTCTCATCTCCAGCTGCTTAGTAGGGCGGCGCCCCAACGCCCCTAGTGGACGAACTGCGCCTGTTTATGAAATCTAACCCCCCCCAGCCCCGCTCAGTCTTCGACTTACGAACACAATTCGTTCCTGGGACTCGTTCGTAAGTTTAACGGCTCCGTAAGATGGAACACAACAATGTACCGTATTTAAATTGTCATACGATCCAAGTGTTCTGAAATGTGTTACGTTTAAACAACTCATTAACATGAAGAAATATTGTACATTTGCAATAATATATACTGCAAAGTAAATATAATCTTGAGTCATGATGCCTGTCTGTAGGGGCACAATGATTGACCACAATTGCACACAAAAACACAACACCCACCATTCACCACTAAGTGGCGGTGACATTACCACGGCGCCTGCACCAGGCCAGGTGCACTTTGAGGCCACGTGAAGTGCACCTGGTCATGGGGCAGACCCAGGTGCCATGGGTTGACTGAGATGGCTGGTAAGTGCACCAGCTGTGCCCCCTACTGTGCCAACTTGCTGATTTTTTTTGCCGTCTGGTGCTCCGCTCGCTGATGGAGGGCAACTGCCTCCAACTCCGCAGTAGCATGCTTCGTCGACAAGTCAGCTCTGCCCCACATCTTTCTATACCAAATAAGCCGATGCATCAGCTGTTCCGCACCCAATTAGCCCCTCCTATCCAGTCAAACAAGCTACTTGGGCAAGTTGTGGCTTGCAACCTTCATCCACTAGCCAAGACCAGGCTGTTGTGGAATTGAATGGGGTTCTAGGTGGACACCACCACAGTGGAAGTATAGCAGGCACATCTTATAGATGACAAGATGTTGGTCAGTGGGCAGATCATCTCCATGATTGGTCCTGGTGTCAAGGACATAGGCTCGCATTCGCAGATGGTCTTGCTTAGACCCTGCATGCTTCCATAATGTGGAGTGACTCATGCAGCCAGCTATGGCTCTAGGGTTTGATGTTACATGTTATTTATGTAGTTTATTGTTAGAAATTCGGTCACAGTCCCTATGACCACTGTTACATTTATGGCTTTATTTTGGTGATTTCGCAAACGTTTTTTTGTTTGGCCATGTTTTTGTTTATTGTAGTACGGAGTTAGACTGATGGCCTTAATCTTAGTTGTCTTGTGGTTGTTGTTTGACTTGCATCCCACTGGGATTTTTGGACACAGCGTTGGTTTACGGTGCTATTTCAGGAATATTTTGATGTTTTTTCCTGGATTTTCTGTTTGTACAGTCACATAGTCACTTTAAGATGTTTTCTTGTTCATGTTTTTGTTTTTTTGTTTGTTGCGGTTGCACCCAATTCAAGAGCCGAATGGCTCACAGGGCTATACCAAATAAATGGAACTATGAACTATGGATGTGCCAATGCCGGAATGGTGTGTTGGTTATTACAAGCCCATGGGCTGCATATAAGTTGAGCATCATCTTACCATTGTTATTGAGTTCATCTGGCCCATGCCTTCCAATCACTGCGATCCAGGTGGCTGTCTTATGACCTACCGAGGCATTAAAGTCACCCAACAGGATGACTATCCTGAGGAGCCACTTTAGCCAGCACCTAGGATAGGCGGTAATAGAATGTATCTCATCAACCTTGACTGCATTCCTCCGCTGATGTCCACCTTTGGTGGGAGCGTAAGCCACCACCAACCATTCATTACCTGTTGAGGGGAAAGCGAACCCACAACAGATTGGGGACTCAAAGCTTCCCACACCTTGCCTCCATGCTCTCACGGCCCCCTTTATTCTTTTGTTTTTTCAATTTCCTGCCCTGAGTGGAAAACTGTCCACTCACCTTGGTGACTGGAGCTGTAACCAGTCAACCAGACCTACTGTATTCTTGGTTCTTTCGGTAAAGTCACGTTGAAGGGAAACAATAAAATAATAATATATATATAAAACAATACAATTCTCACGACGTTTCGACTGCAACACAGTCATCATCAGGTTTTCACACCTGATGATGACTGCTTGTGTTGCAGTCGAAACGTCGTGAGAATTTTATTGTTTTATATAAATTGTATTATTTGATTGTTTCCCTTCAACGTGACTTTACCGAAAGAACCAAGAATATGAATCACTGCAGTCACGAAAGCTTTAAATAAAAATTCAGACCTCCTGTATTCCACAGCTCCTGTCATCAATGGCAACCTCGAATAACAGATATGCAACTTTAACAACATGCAACTTACCTCAGTCACAGCCCGGCTGGGATACCATAGTGGCCATATCGCATAGGGACTTGTATGGCCACGGCAGTCATAATGCATTCGGATTATCCTGGTGGATGATTGGCTGCTGTAGGAGTTATGATGTACTACTTCGCAACCACTTTAAGGCTGCCATTCTCCCTGATGTTGTGCGTTTTGCACTTCGCTATTTAGGACCATTACGGAAATCACTTCGTGGTATGCTTTATGGAGCTGTTGCTATGGTTTGTTATGTGCTCAGGCCTCTGGTGAAAGAAGAGATATTGGCGAGAGCTGTTATGGAATTTTATGGGGGGGTGGGGGGGAAGTGTAAGAGACTCTTCTGGCAAATCATTTCCAGTTGAAACTTGGGATCAGGGGGTACAGGGAATATAGAGAGTGCACAACTATTAAAAAAATGTACATGTCAAAAATAATGACGAAGTGGCAGCCAAGTTAATGAAATTCGTCGAAGAGTACTTCTCCCCAGGAGATGGGTCGATGAAATTGGCTTGTGTGCAAGTGCTAGGTGGACTATTAATTTTCAGGATCGCGATGGATGGAGGTGGTTTGGGGAAGCCTTCAAAAAGCAGTGGATTGTCCATTGCTGATGATTTCAAAGAAGACACATTAAAAACAAGAGAGATAAGAGCTCATACAAAGTAAAGAATCATTTTATTTGCTCAGGAGGGTTCAGTTTCAACGTAGGAAAAGTATAAAATGGTGAAACTCGGTCTTATAGATTACAAACGTCAGTTAATTCGAGCTTAATACATTATGTATATGTTTCGTGTTATTTACTGAGTCACTATGTTAGCGCATTCACAAGTTTGTAAGGACCATTTATATCATATATACATATGCGTATGGACTGGCACAATTTCATGTATACATTTTGCAATATATTACATCACGAAGATTTACCACTTTTCTTTAAATATGTTCTATCACAGGCACTGTTTTGTAAATGTTTGTAAACATGCAGGATTGGCTCATACATTGTTTTAAATTTTCATCATGCTTTTACACAATTCAATTGAGCATGTACGTTTTGAACGTTTGGAATAACTGGACCAGGGCCAAAATTGATCCAGGACTAATTCGTTTTAAATATGAAGACAAATACAATACAGAGTTGATAGGGAGTGTGTGGTAAATGGATATCCTTGTGCTTTTCTGTGATTATATAAATGGGTGCAGCCCTTCAATTGCTGTCTCACACCACTGCTAGCAGGAGAAAGCTTGAGAGGGCCCCTTCTAGACGGTTTTGTAGCCAACTCTTCTGAGATGGCCAAACACCCACACACGTTGCCCAACCACACACGACCTGCCGATTCACTGTGCACCCATTCATACTGCTGGGTGAACAGATGAGGTTGGGGGGTACTTAAAAAATGTGGTATATAAAGATAGTTTAATTTCAAATCGGAACATTTTGTCCATACATCTCAATTTACAGGGTGGTCCAAATGTCCTGTGACCCCGATTTAATAATCTAAACATATATTTTTAAAGGTTATTTTAAACATAAATGGATATGCAAAGGAACGATTAATTGGAGGGGTCACAATACATCTGGATTACCCTGTAGAGTGGCAGCACACTATTTTGGCAAATCCCAGCAATCTGTTGTGACATAAAGCATTCCTCTTAAAATGTGACCCATTGACCTGCTGAGACAGACTTTGCTGTCAGTGAAGCCTCCGTAGCGTGTGGTGGTATCACACGACTTGTTGGTCACGTTCATTCATCATTTTTTTCTCAATTCGCATTTTCACAGTAGAACAAAATTTCTTATCTCCGACCTAAACCGTAATATCGTGCATGAGTCGTGAACTTTAAATTCACCTGCTGGGTGTAGCGTAGCAACTCTTTTGGCAACATGCCGCTCCTTTTCACAACACTTTACGATCACAGGGATATCCCTGCAAACAGAGTAGAGATTACAGCACTTTCAATGTTGTGGCTAAAGCTTTTGGCAGCTGAGTGAGGGTGTAACGCTGCTGCGTTGTTAGTCTAGCAGCTAAAAGCCACCTCTCTCCACCACTTTCAGTTGCACCTTTTAAATTGCGCTGCAATTGTAACAATTGTAGCCCCCAGGTTATAGCTGGAAAATAACACGTACAGTAGTAGCAAACGTTTTACCTGTGTAACACCAAAGGGAAGAGAATTAGAACCAAGGATATAATGAATTGAAACATTAAAAGGAATGGGAAAGACGAGAGACGATAAATAATAGGAAATAAGAGGGAGATTATGGGAAATGAACGGAAAAACTGGACCAAAGGGTCAGGAAATGTGAAAATAAAGAGGAAATGCTACATAGGGGCCTCGACGCCTCACGGGAACAGCATCTGTTTTCACACGGGGTGGGGAGAGGGGAGGGATTTAGATTGGGGGGTGGCCACACACAAGTGATTTGCAGGAGGCTTGAGCTGAATTAGATATATAGATACATGCAACCCTTTTGTCAATTTATGGCTGGATGAAGGCCTGCTCATGCTAAGTCTGTCGGTCGTGGAGGGTATTATTTGACATTACTTCGCTCTGCTGATCAGTGTGGCTTGGCATAGTGCGAGGGGCATTGACACGGAAGCAGAGGACGGTATGGGTGCAATGTTTTCAACTGACAGCCAGGTAACACCGCAACTGTCTATGGCAAACTTTTATGCATATTTAAAATTGTTAAGCTATTTTTTTTGTATACCAGGTTAAGGCCAACTGAGCTATATCGCTCTTTTTTTAGAAGCAACCTGGCCAAAAATGACAGCTCAATGAAGTGGCTCATCATGCGGGAATTTATATCAGCCAAATATTCCAGACGCATGTTGGTTTTTAAATGTGGAGGAAAAAAACGGAGGACACGGAGAAAAATCCACGTGACTACGGGAGAGAGACATACAAACGCCATATATACAGTTGTCAGGGTCAAGATCGACCCCACGACCTCCTGCATACAAGGCGAAGGAGTTAACATCTCGTCACCGAGATGTGACAATTCATCATATATTCTTGGTGGCCGCTCATTCAAGCAATATCCAGGTTCAGCTCTGTTTAGCTTCCGAGATGTCATGTCAGGCTCATCCTGGGTGATTTTTTCATAGGCTATGAATTAATATTTTTTTCTACATTTGAGATACGTTTTATTTTCCGTAATATTCTTGATTTGACTGCTTACATGAATGGATACAAGAATCATGATTATTCCTGTGTGATATTTGGCATGTGATTCACTTTCCCAGTAATTTGATGAATGTTCATGATTCAGGGTCACAATTCAGTTCAAGAACGTATGATTTCGTCTTGCTTTTACTCTATCATTTGTAATATTTCCAATTGTTCAGTTTTAGTTGAATTATCCTCAAATGTAAGTGTATAATTTTCTTAAATATCGATGATATGCAGATTAAATTATTGTATTAACTCCATAAGTTATATTCTTGGTTCTTTCGGTGAAGTCACGTTGACTTTACCAAAAGTTATGTTTTAAGCAGAATACATTTAATTATTCAATCGTAACCCTGATTAGTGACAATTCATCAGATCAATGGAGGTGGATGGGATGGTTTAATCATTCCACCTCTACTTATTATCACCACATTTTAAATATTTTTAAAAAAATCTCAATTGTGTTATTGGCATCATGCTGTGAAACAAATCATGAATTTGCAATTGTCTGCGAGAAGTATTAGATAATGGCCTGCAGCAGGTGTTATCACGTAACTACTTTTATTATATTTTGATTTAAAGCTTTCGTGACTGCAGTAATTCATATTCTTAGTTTTTTCGGTAAAGTCACGTTGAAGAGAAACAACAAAATAATAAAATATATATAAAACAATAAAAAATTCTCACGACGTTTCGACCATAACTCAAACGGTCGTCTTCAGGTGTGTTATGCGAACCGACACACCTGAAGACGACCGTTTGAGTTATGGTCGAAACGTGAGAATTTTTTATTGTTATATATATTTTATTATTTTGTTGTTTCTCTTCAACGTGACTTTACCGAAAAAACTAAGAATATACTTTTATTATCTCATAAAGTCTCATATCCACACTACGGGGTAGGACTTTCCCAAGTGCCATGCAACAGAGTATCGAAGTCAAACTGATGTTTAATTCTCAAATCTGTAAACTGGCCCAATAAAGTGCAGAATCAAATGTTGTATGGTGAGTTTTTTTAAAAAAAAGGCATTATTGACCAGGCTGAATCCATCAACTCCCTATACTTGAGTGAGAACCCGATGCAATCGCAAGTGACTGCCCTGATGTCAGCAGTACCAGCTCAGCGCTCCGACCTTTGAGCCACACGGCTAACTTCCAAGGTGCAGCTGTTCTGCAGGTGTGGACTTAAAACAAAAGATAATTCCACTGAGTGCATGGATAGTTTATTGACAAAGCAACTTTATGGATATAATCTTTGCCTCTATTCCCTGCCGTGCTCAAGAGCTGAAATGCTCAATCCCTAAACAGTGGGGTGCTCCACCTGTAAGTGAATGCAATGGAGCCAGGATAATTTTTCTGTATTACTTGGATGTGTATGTTGATAATGCCCTGTCAAATCCCGAAACATCAACATTTGGCTGCAACGCAAAAATAAACATAAGAAATTAATTTAAAGAAAATAACATTTTATTACTGTACCTACAAAATGCATTTGATTGCATTGTCTATGTGAAACGAGTAGCAGGCAATGAAATTGAGATTTGTTTTTATGCTTCATCTCTTAGTACAAAGCTTTTTGCAATTCATAGAAGCCAAGTTGTAATGTGTATGCTGTGGTGTATTAAAATATTTGAAATGAATGCTCAAAAACAATGTCTGTGTTGTATAGTACACAGCAATTTACTCGGCACGACGATATGATTTGTATGCGAACCACATGCTGGCCATTGCACAAACAAGTCAATATATGCCATGCGGAGTACATTTCTATCTCCCGCTAGCCAAGGCTAACTGCATTATGTTTACACCTCACGTGGAAATCTGAGTGAAGAAAAGACCGCACCTGAATTAAATTAAGTGCACCGTAGTGTAAAATGATAATAAACAGAGCCTACTATTCCCTTCTCCATATTATTCATGGAGGCATCAAGTGTATTCATGACCTTACAGCTTGACGAATTGCCAATTTGAAATGCTGTTGACTCTTCGACATTGAAATTGGTGACACCCGCAAGGTTAATGTTGACAATAAAATGGGGTGAAGCCCATGCCTCGGGTGATCTGGATAAAATTGAGTGCAACTTTATCCAGCGGAAGCGTGCGTTGGTTCAGAAGACAAACATTAGTTTTTTTGTAAGCATTCCCCCCAAAAAATGTATACAGAAATTGCCCATACGGATTGGCGCGAGCACAAAGATAAGGTTGTACTCATTGAAATTAAATGTACGTTTAATTGGCCATGGAGCCTTGAGAGGCTGCCCAGGAAAGGGCTCTAGTCGCACAACAGTCACTGCCACAATCCTCTAGGGACAAAAGCCCCCCTTTCTCGCCGTCATACCAGGCAGCCGTTATAAACGTTCCATTGGCTACTGTAACAGTAACGTGTGTGCCTTGGCGTTCGTAGGAATTGAATTCATGCTACGTTATAAAGCTGTGGACAATTTGTCGAAGAGTTAATTATAATCGACTGACGCTATAATAAACTACTTTTTTGTGGTGAATTGCTCGGCGCCCGTATTAAATTGGGTGTCCGCCCCCACATCCTGCCTCCCGAAGGCAGCAAACCACCAACGCTCAGCCGTTTATACTATATTCATGTCAGATTAGTCGAGTAATGCAACTGATAATCTGTGGAGTAGTCGAATATTTAAATAACCGGAGAGCCCAGCTGGACTACATTACACTTCATGGTAATTTTGAAATCTGTCACGCATTGACCACCTGCATGTTAAATGACCAAATAATGATTTGTGTACAGGATACTTTACTTACGTTTATATTTGGGGAGCTACTTATATTTGTCATTCATCTTTGGGACAATAATTTGACTCATTAACATAAGCAGAAGTTATGAACAGTAGTATGGTTTGTGCGGTTTGCAGTACCTCCTCGGGTCATGCTGTAAACATTTGCCACAATTTCCCAGGCTATGGGAACTTAATTTTCTCAATGACCATACACAGTGGTAATATCTCTAGACTGCAGGAGGGGGCAGTCGCACCCTGTGTTGTACGGCAGACACAGACGCACCCGGCACAGAGGGCCACGCCAATAATTATAACGTGCACGCTTTCAATACCAATATCCAGGGCAGAGTCCCACAAGCTGTGTAAAAAGAATACCCACGCTGAGTGATTTTATATATGTATATATTTTACGTCACTTTAAATTAAAATATTATTTAAGTGTGTGTGTGTGGATTTTCCTCTAAACAGCATACAGTCAGGGGTATAGTGTGTAAACTTTACTGCCGCGCTATGCAAATACATTTATTTGTTTAATCTTGATTTGAAGCTTTCGTGACTGCAGGAATCCATACTCTTTGGTTCTTTCGGTAAAGTCACGTAGGTAGAAAATAAAATAAATCACTATTTTATACCTACGTGACTTTACTGAAAGAACCAAAGAGTATGTTATTTGTTTCGTTTTGCTCTACATCTCCCGATGTGCTTTGGGTTTGTACCACGTGTTGACTGGCACGATGTCTGACAGTTCGCTCAACACATGCCGAGAGCTTCTTCAAGAGTTGAACTGAAGAAGCTCTCGCGTGGAGCGAAATGTCAGACAGGGATCGATGCCGAACAAGACGCGTAACTCAAAAACACACGGGAGACCCATGCAGCACAGCCGTGAATACCTTACACAGCAATGGTGTTGTTTTCATCTGCCACAGAGCAAGGCTGTAGCTAATGGGAGCTCCTAACAGGTCTATTTTTGTCTCTCCAGCTGTCTCTCGTGGTGTCATGTATGTATGTTGAACTTCTTTCGCACCGTACATAGCCAATCATGCTAATCGGAGGTGCGGGGGAAGGACGACTGAACACAGTGCGTCTGTACTCAAGACGCGTAGCTCACTGTTGAGTAACTCAACTCAACGATGCGTCTGGTGCACCCAGACGCATCCCACCAAACTGCCCACGTCATGTACGGCCCACACTCAAAGGGGGCCCCACATGACGCACACACACACACACGCAGAGTTTGGGTGCCATGCACCCTTCCCTGCGAATGCTTGTGTCTCCCAGAACCTTTTTACAAAATAAATAAATAGTGTCGCGTCAGTGATGTTGAATCCCCCACGTGGCAACGTGGCGTCCGTGGAGTTGAGGAGGGGGGGTGCTGGAGGCTCTGACGCCTACAGCTTCGTCTCATCCCTGAAGCCGAGTCCCCCGTCCAGCTGGGCGTTGTTGTCGTCTCTGTTGCACGAGCCCGTGCTGCTCGACACGTTTGCCAGGGGATCCGGTCGGATCAGGTAGCTGTGCGCAAGAGATGAGGAGCAAAGACACACCGCAAAACAGAGGCGCTCCCAAGCGGTGCCTTCCGGGCCCGATATGCTGTGCGAACACAATGCTCGCAATCGTATTAACTTACGATTGTGTTCACATTACAAATGCTCCTTTGGCTACTATAAGGCGAGATGTTAACTCCCTCGCCTGGTATACAGGAGGTCGTGGGTTTGATCCCGACCGTGACACTTGTTTATTTGAAGTTTCATGTTCTCCCTGTGGTCGTGTGGATTTTTCTCCGGGTTTTTCCCATCCACATTTAGAAACATGCATTGAGATAATTTTGGCTGCTATACATTTCCACGTGATAAGCCACTTCATTGCGCTATCATTTGTGCCCAGGTTGCTTCTGAAAAAGAGCTATATATAGCTCAGTGGGCCTTACCTGGTGAAAAACAAATACTGTTTATTTATTTAATAAAACAGCATCAGGTAGCTGTAAAAGAGACGAGGAAAAAAGATATGCGGCAAACAGAGGCGCTCCCAAGCAGTGCCTGCTGGGCCCGATATGCAATGCGAACACGATGCTCACAATCCTATCGCGGACGATTGTGGTCACATAATCCCCACGACCACTAGAGTTGATAACATTCACCACTGTTTGAAATAGAATGAGTCCTTGAGTTGATTCACGACCCTGAATCAGGATAATTCATCACATTGCTGGGGAGTTTAGGGGCTGGGTTAATTATTCCCACCTCTACTAATTGCCACCACATTAATTTTACATGCGGTTTAAGTAAATTTTTCTCCCAATTGTATAGTAATTGTGCTATTGTCATACCATGTTATGAAGAAATATCAATTCGGAATTCTAACTAACCACTTTTCCACGAGTGGAAACTCACCTCTGAACATTACAATATAAAATGTAGGCAGAAAGGACATTTAATTGTACGTGGCATTTCAAGTATGTTTGTTTTTACAACACGGTCTTGACCTTTCACTCAAAAAAAATGATTGGAAATCTATTTAAATGTATAAATTAAGAACTAGGACAGTAATAGAAACACCACTTTTCCAACAAACTTGAGCCGTACTTTACCGAGAGTAGAGGCCAATTCAAGTGCACTTAAAATCACAAGTGTTGACTGTCCTTGGAAGATATATCAAAGAAACATTAAACTCCGTGCAAAAGTACTTCTGAAATTCCTTCAAGTGACCTCTTCTCTGTACCGAGGGTGGCTTGGTTCCCTGTGGCATTCCCTGGACGCAGCTCCTCCACAGAATGGGCGGCGGTGCCTTCTGGCTACGCTGCGGAACGCCTCACCCAGACTTCTTAAATTCGGAAACAACTGTGGTGTCCGAAACCTGCCTCAAGACACGTTCACTCTGTCTTGCATTCGGTGGTTCTATGATTTAGCGTCTATTAGTCTTCTTCGTTTTTTTCTTTTTCCCATGGTCTCTGTGTGTGTGTTTTTTATATGATGTATATCGCACATTGAGTAGCTTATAAAGATGTGCTTCATCGATGTAATTTTATATTATTTATTATATTATTACACAACTAAAACTAGCCTATTTTTACTTGATCGGGTGAGACCCACTGCGCTATATAGCTCTTTTTTTCAGAAATAGCTATATAGCTCAACGAAGTAGCTCATCACATGGAAATGTTTCACAGCGAAATATTCCAAACGCATCTTTACAAATGTCGAGGGACAAATTGGAGGACCCAAAAAGCAATCCACGCGGCCACGGGGAGAACACGCAAACTCCAAATATACAGCAGGCGTCAGGGTTGGGATCGAACTCACGACCTCCTGCATACCGGGCGAGGTAGTTAACATCTCGCCATCACGGTGCTGTTCTCCACGTGACCTGCTCTAAAAATGTTCACCTAGCGATGAAAACTATATGTTAGACTCTGAGAGATGGGGGACTTTCTATTTTCAAATTTAAATGAAAACAAAATTTACGTTTTTTTTGTGGCGCAGTCATTGGTGACCAGGCTAAGACCATCAACTCACTCCACTTGAAAATTCAGTTGAATAATTCTGGCTTAAACCCAACTTCAAACCCAGGATATTATGTGCTGTCAGCTCAGTGTTCTGATTTGTGAGGCATTCGGCAATCTCCAGAGTTGTATTTATAAAGCATCTCGATAAAACCGCATCTCACAATCTAAATGTACTAGGGGTTGTTCGGGGGGCGCCTATGGCGCTCCTCACAACTATTTAAGGCCTTCGGCCAGGAAATTCACAAAAAAATTGCACACGAACGACGCATTCACGCAAGCACCCGTTGCTCCGTTTTGAAGTTTTAAAATGAAACATCTTTGAATTGTATTATGTTTTGAATTAAATCATTTCTATGTCTTCATTAAAAGCTTTTTTTCATTTTACGTCTGGAAGGCTTCATTGAAAACGACATTTCGTGTGAATTTTCTCTCGTCGTTAAGTAGATGGCCTTGCTTGGGGGTTCGGTTCGATGCGGACTTTCACCTGTTTAAGATTGCGGGATCGAGATAAGGCGACATAGAGCTGGCCGTGCGAGAAGACCGCCGTCTGCAGATCGATTCCAACGTAATCGAACGTCTGTCCCTGCGCCTCCGTCGTTCATGCAGGGGGCGCGCGTAGGTTTGCAGCGCCCCCTGCATGAAAACGACGGAAAGTGCAGCGTTCCTCACAGATAGATAGAGTTGTGCGCTTATATAAGGGTATTTTTGCCTATTTTTCATATTTCAAATGTGCAATTGATGTGCAGTTTTGTGGTTAGTTTGCAAAAATCCCCAAAGTAAATCACACATCAGAACGTATCAAATATAAATACACCGTAAGATTAGCCAAATTTCACCCTAATTTAATGCATTGAATTACGTTTGGTCTGGAGCACATTCATTGTACAAATCTTTAGGGTTTATTTTATTTGCCTAAATCAGCATTTCTCAAACTCCCGTGCTCACAGCTCCCCACGGTGCAGCCTTCTGTGATTGCCAATCATCAAATGTGTGCATGCAGAGTGGTTAATTTGCATATGAATGCAAAAAATTGTAAACTTTCAAAGCCACACAGCAAGGGAGATGCAATGGCTGGATAAATTATTCTTCAGATAATTTCAACACCTAACGCCACATATTCTTACATTTGTTATTTAGATTTCGGCGTATTTTGTATTATTATAATTACAACTAATTTTAATACGTAAATTTATAATCGTGCCAATTACAAATATAAAAAAAAAAGTAAATTTAACACGCCTAATCTCTCGCGAGCAATATTACGATTCATAATTAATGTTTGGGTCAGAATGGATACGTAGAATGTGTGTCAAAAACCCTCAACCAGACAAAGCCAATGAACACATTTGTCACGTGATGAACAAAGGTGCCTATTTATTATTGCTGCTGCAGCAGCACCACTACCAGTATGTTGTACAGCAATCCAGAACATTTAATGTTTTGCTGATAGTTAAAATCGGCATCATTTAAGGCCCGAGACTGGAGGACATTTTCCTCATTCTGGCAAACTGCCTGATGATGCTGGTTGTAACTATCAGCAAAACGTTGTACTGAATTGTTAATAAATCTTGATTGTTTCGTCTATTTTCTTTAACGTTTTTTTTTTAAGTATCGTAATTCAATTGCATTGTTGTGATTTATCAATCGCGCCGTTACGACAAATACTATTTCTTGCGATCGTTTAATTTCATTGAGCACTGAAAATGTGCGAACTACATAAAGTGTACGCTTTGGCAAGGTCATATGAACTACGTCGTTAATCTTGTACTCAGACTTCACCGGCCATGACCTTGACATATCTGTATGCCTGTGTGTAGCAACAATAAGCTTTCAACTTTACTTTATACAAGGGGGGGGGGGGGGGGGCTATGGGTTCGAGCGAGCAGGCGGGCGGGTGGTGGCTTTACTGCCTCAGTTGAGAATACTTTACGAAAACGAGATTTCAATATAACACGTAGGCTTTCGCGACCAATATTATTATTAATAAAGGTTTTTTTGGGTTAGATCCCGTAAGTATACATGTTGTGTCGTAACCCTCCACTACCCGACACAGCCAATTAGTAAGGGATCTGTCACGTAAACAAAACGCCAATTAGTTACTACTTCAGCCTGGCAAATCGCCAGATGATGCTGGATGTAATTACCAGCGAAACGTCGGACTCAAATTGTAAATGTTGTCGATTTACTCTCCAACACACCTTGCGGGGGAGGCTGAGGCTGGGGGGGGGGGGAAGTGAGGAAACTTTGCGGAGGGGTCACCTGGGACGGCCGATTCCCCTCTGCATGTACGGCGCTTTGACATTACTAATTTGAAAGGCGCTTTATAAAACTGAGTTTATTATAATGATTATGTTATGAGCTGTAAATGCTCTGAGACGTGCATTGTCTTTGTACTGTACGCCTTTTGGCGTTCTCTGGTCTGACACTGGCGAGACTAGGCAATACAGAAGGCTGTCTCTGGTGCAGTTTCAAAGACAATGCCTTTATAATCATCAGAGCACCACAAGTACGTGTGGTTAATGCAGACCTGATTCCTTGCAAAATGTTTCCATTCGGTGATTGAACATCTTAACACAAGTCCTGTTTCATTGCCAGAAGGTGTAAAACCTCTTCTTATTTATTACACTTTATTATTATGATTGATCCGTCAAATTAATTTGATCGATCTTAACAGTTTTGGAGGTGCCTGGCACATGGATGGTGTTCAATTGCGATAGGTCTGAGTGTGTCGGTGGCCACCGTGTGAACAACAGGAATCCGGTGAAGAAAACCTATATTCTGAGCACTGACAGAGAGGAGATATTCCATGTCAATTTCTCTCCCGCCCCCCTTCATTATGCATCGCTTAAGGCAAGCAAAAATCGCGATCAAAGGAATGTCAGCTGAATGACTCCTTCCTCGCACAAGTGTCTGCTCATCGGCGCAATGTGCAGTGTGGTGAAAAAATATATGACACACGTGCATTGCATGTACGTGTGTAGAACTTATTTGCTAATCGGAGGTGGAGTTCTGAAGAAGTGAGTTTTCAATTCAGAAGAATTTAAGTTTTTTAATTTAGCATATGCGCAGTATTGTACGAAGTACGGAGGTAGCGTTTCCCGATATGCTGTTACGTAACGTGTGCAGTGTTGTGCGGATTATAAGATGCTCCGGAAAGTAAAAAGACCCACCCTCGCATTTTTAGGGTCGCTTTGAAAATAAGTGTTTTTTTTATAAATAGGGAGAATGCGGTGTTACGGAGAAGTCACTATCTTCCAGAAGACGATTATGATTGCGCTGCCCTGAAATCGGGAGATACCTTCTCGAATATGATTTTGAACAGCTGGCGATGTCCTCTGTAACCTGCGTGCTCAAGGTATTGCCAGGAGAACCCAGTATGATGAATGATTGTTATGATTGTTATGCAGAATTCGATTCACACATGTATCCCAGAATACCAATGCATTCCTCGGATTACAAGATGCACCCCCTTCCCCCCCCCCCCCCCCCAATTTTTGCATGAAAACACAGGGGAAATAAGTCAGTCATCATAATCTGGAGAGTATGGTATTTTACATGTAGAGGCAGCGTCTGAATGTGTGCTTCCCACCCATATGCACGTACAAAGTCATGCGGTAATGTTTCACCAGACGCTGGTATATGACACGTACGTATCGACAGTGTGTTGAACTTCTTTGGAACCGTGCATGACCGTGCTAATCGGAGGCGCGGGGGAAGGACAAAAAACTAAACACAAAAAAGTGGTTCTAAAGAAATTCGTTTTCAGCCTAAATTAAAAAGTGCGTAGCTCCAGTGGCTTTCGAATACCGAAAGGAAGAGTTGATTCCAGATGGCCACAGAAGAGCATCTGAAAGCATGTTCGATGCAGTGGCTGTCTTTGTTTGATGGCTAGCCAAAAGCTGCTGCGAGGATAGGTTGAGTTTGCGTGATGGTTTATGTTTCTTGACGAGATCAGCAAGGTATTGTGCTTCAATTGTGGTAAGCATTGCCAGAAGCGCGACCTTATAATGTATTATTAGTTCGGCAAACCGAAAGCCAATGCAGCTTAGCGAGCACCGGACGGACATGGTCAGATCTTGCAGTACCCGTCACCACACATGCCAAATAATTTTGTACTCGCTGCACACATCCCAGTGAACGTTGGGCCAACGTTAGCAGCATGTGGTTGAAACCACTGGACCAACGTTGGCTGAACGTTGGCCCAACATTCCACGTCCGCTGGGTCATACACGGCATCACGTGTGCGCCGTACACATTCAAGTGGCGGTGTTTCACTGGGCGAGGTTACTCACACGATGTCGTTTAGTTCCAGCCTCACGTCGGGAGGGGGGTTGATGAGCACGTATGAAAGCGTGTTCTGCTGGTCGTTGATCTCATCTGCAAGGTGGCATTCACACGACGCGTTATTGTACAGGACTGCTACGTGACCGTTTAAGAAGCTACTACATTCGTCACGTTGCTGCACTGCCAAAGCAAGTGAAAATACACCGTTGTTGTAAACACTGATCAAAGTCGAAATTTTGTCTCCTCGCTCGAGTAAGCATTAGGCGCTGCTCCGCACTGTTTTAGGTTCTGAGCCAGTGGTGGAAATTGCACGTTCCTATGGCGGATTCGAGTCTGTCCAGAGGACAACCACAAATGATTTTTCACAAAGTGGTACATTTCGTTTTCCAACCTCAGAGGGATGTTTGAATGAGCTGACAAAGAGGTGGGAATTGGAACTTCCAACCTTGCGATTGAATGTCGTGCAGTTAGAGTACCTATAAATATCACGTGATAAATGCCATTAGATTTGGAGAAAAACAAAAGCGGACCCAAGCTCTTCCCCTCCACAGCGTACGTAACATGACTCGAGACCTTTGTAGGACAAAACATGTCCGGGGACATTAATAATGAAAGAAGACAACTTTAATAGGAGAGACAATGAAAAAAAACAAATCAACATAAAACAATCTCTTTTTTTTGTTTACATTTCTAGAAGGGGTAGTGATATGAAATCTAGTGCTGACTAATTGCAGCAGGGCAGATCATGCGAAGGACTTGCAGCCGACATTCGCAAACGTAAATAAGGTCATCGTTCTTTTATGATTCATAATCGATCTTCAGGTAGTGTAAGCAAAAATGTGTGTCGTGAAACCTCCTTCACCTGACACGGCCAATTAATTATGAAAATAAACTATGAATCATAAGATCATCATTCATTTAAAGGTTGCTCTTCAATTCCTTCTTTCCTTTTTTAAAATATTGTTTCAGACAGCCAATGAAGGCTGTGCATCGTCATAAACTGAAAAGAGTAATTCCCTGAGCTTCTAGGCGGTGCTCACTCCCGCTCACATCCCTGAGCCAGTGGTGACAATTCCACATTCCCATGGCAGGGGCGAGTCTATCCACAATACCACCACTATTGACTCTTCCACAAGTACCTATTTGTATCAACCATGGAAGAATGATGGACTGGGTAAAGCCTCAATCAGTATTTGAACTCGTAACATTCCTATTCGCTCTACCGCTCTGCCGCCTGGCTGGGTAACTAAGCGAAGAGGGGGCATCGCTTCCCCCTCCGATTAGCACAGTTGCCTACGTACGGCGCGAAAGAAGTTCAACAGACATACGTAGATGCACTCCTGCGTAGAGGGGGGAGCTGGTAATTTCGTGGGCAATACAGGGTGACACCCTCTAGAGCATTCACCTGCGGGTGATCGCCAGGTCATTGAAATGCAAGCAGCGTCCCAACAACGATGTTACGCTTGGACTTTTTTTTGAGCAAATCGAAGTTGACGTTGCTTTGTACGTTTTTTTTTTTAAATTGTCCTGTCAATTACAAATGAAATATTTGACATTTGTCCGATATACATATGGGTGCATTTTTTTGGTTTTTATTCAAGGCTAACAGCAACGATTGTGCCAGTTAATGCTTTAGATTCAATGAAATCAAGGAGGACATTTTAGGAGCTCTTCTTGGTTGGAAAAATAATTATTTCGGGGGTGCTGCTCGCTAACAATCGCCAAAAGCCAATGCCCGTATTTTTTTTCCTATGGCGGGGGAGTTGATCGGCAACGTGTGTACACGTTCGTGTCGAGGCTGATGGAGTGAGCAAGCGAGCGTGCGAGCAAGTGGACGAATTCAGGAGAAGCCTGATGAATACCTTAAAACGCTGACAGCGAACGATCGAAGCTAACGCCAACGCTACTGGAACACAACGGACTTGGGTCTCGCAAAGTGCAAAATGTGGATGCTGCGTTGCACTGCGTAGAGCACAGTTTGCTAGCCCTGAGACAAGACAGCATTTTCACAACGAGGGGTACTAATTGCGATAATTATTGCACAGTATGTATATGCACACAACAGCTTGCTGTTGCCTAAAGCAGGTTGCCTGCAGTGTTTGGTTCGTTTTGTGAGCCCAGGCTGTGGGGCTTTAGAAAAAAAAAGACAGCAATTGAAAGCAACTTCAACTTTTTAATGACCTTTTGTTTTTGGAGGGAGGGAGGAAGGGAGTGCAGAGGAGCAAGAGGACACGTGAACACAGCGTGGATAGGACTAACGCTCAACAATCGACACGTTATCTTTGAGGCAGGCAGAGGAGCCATAGGAATCGTCGCACTGCATACTTGAGAGAAACCGCCAACAACCGCGGAGGCTGCGGCGGCGGGAGAACATTCAACGCTGGACATTTACTGTACCTTTCAGGTATCCCAGGTTTACACGATTCATCACATCAGAGGCAGTTATATTAACAATATCCTCTACAGTTGGGGGGGGGGGGGGACAAACAGAACGAAAAATATGAATCATGTCAGAAAGGTGGAACAGAAACAAGCGGCGGTCGTGCGTGCCTTCTTGAAATACGCCTGCCGTTAAAACGAGCAGCCTCCATGCACCTGTCACATCTGAGCGGCAGCATGAAATATTTGAGCTAATGGGGCGATGCTCCAAAGCCAACACTTACGATGTTCAATCTAGCTTATGTATATCATCATCATCGTCCCTTAATATTTATTCTGTACGTTACTCACATGTGGTACATCTCAAGATGCCCTGTGGAAGTCTAGCCAAAGGGGACCTCCCAGTGGCAGCTGGCCCTGTGTGGCACAAGTGGAAAGCAGCAATGACCTGCAAGTTGCCATTAGTCTTCCAATGAGGGGTAATTGCTCCGTGGCTTTTCCCAATGAAACAAAATATCAAATCTGCCAAAGTTAGACCCAAATATATGTATATACATAGAAGCAAGTGATTGTAAATCTCTTATTTCCATGGCTAACCATCGTTGACAGTGTTGCATCAAATGTATTCACTCCAGAGCGGTGACAGGCTGAACGGCGTACAAATTTGTCCTCCTTGGATCGCGAGTCCAAGCGCTCTATCCCAATACAATGCAGCAGCCCTTTGTCAATCTATTTCTGGATGAAGGCCTCCCAACACCTTTAAAGTAAAAAAAAAAGTTAGCGTTACAAATTTTCAATGTGCAGTTTCCGCACATTTAGATGCGCAGGACACCACAGACGAGCTGAAAGGCAGCCTGAACTGACACCAACAACTGCCCAAGCTCTGTGGCCCTACATTGATATATTTTGCTGAATGTTTGACCTGCGTCACCATGCAATTCAGTGCAGGTTGATGAAATGGGATGCCCGTGACCGGTTTAGACACCACTCACCACTGATATTAACCGTGGCTGGCAATCGAACTCTGCTCGGCGAGTTCACAGTGTGGTGCGTTGGCCACTGACTGCGCCACTGTAAAAGCACTGTAATGAGATTGATTGGAATTTAGAGATGCTGGACTTTTAATGACGTATGTGTACATCATCAGTACCTCTTCCAACTCCTTTATCGGCACGTCTTCGGGTCGCAAGACGCACCGAGGCTCCCACAAGGTGTGTGGCAGTTTGGCGCCAGCTATCAGAAAAGTGCGGTCGTGTCGCGAGAGTTCTCCGCGTTGAGTACAATGTCTTACAAAATCAACGGCGCCACTACGCCTTTCTAAACAATATTCACGCTAACCGCTTGCGCGTTCCGAGATTCAGCGGTGAACGGGACGCCGCACCCTGCAACTTGCCGACGTCTCAGAACGGGAAATGGTTAATAAGACGCCTTGCGATGGAACGGTTAACGGGGCCTCTTGTCACGTCCATGCCGGCAAAAACTAAATGGCTTTCACCTCATCTGGACGTGGCAGGCGAGATTGATGTAAATCCACTGCATTATTTACTGTGTGCAGTCGACCCTCGAATGTGAGACTTAGCCACACACACGGTGGCATTAATGAGATCAATAAATCAAGCCAACTCGATTCTGGGCACGCTATTTTCTGAGAGGCTGCATTTATTTTCACGTGAACATATAAAAAAAAAAGTATATATATAAAACCTGGTTTTGAGGCAATTGAGAGGGGTATCTTAGCCAGAATCTTGCATACCGAACCAGATTTGTTTTTTTGTTGTCACAGCACTGTACGTAGGTGATTTTTAGAATGTACATTTATAATATTTCTGTCGATCGGAAGTTTGTGAGGTCAGCGAGAACTTTGTGCATCCTTACAAGTTTAATTCGAGGCGTACAAAACAGAACGTATATTTTTCAGAAGAATTCTTAATGTATTCATTTTTACGCGTTCAAACACGCAATCATTGCCTTATTCATTAACAACGTGTTGCGCAACACGCCAGAACTATTGTATACGTACTGCTGCATAGGTTTTGATGAAAACACATCTGGGAGCTATGAAGCACAATCGCAAAAACATCCTATGCCTCTGGCACTTGCAACAAATCTCAATGCCCCGCAATGCACATTTTGAATTATGAATGAAGGAATATTCTATTGTTGTTGTCTCGTACATGCATCGACCGTGTGTGCCACGGTTTCCCCAAAAGAGAATGCTGGCACTCACACGAGGAGTTAAAGAAAACATTCTCTCACCTATGTGATCAATAGCAGCAGTGATGCACTTGCTGTAGCCGGAAAAAGAAAAATAATAAAAAACCTGATAAGATGGTTCCACTACAAATACAAATAAATATGAGCGTTGCTCGTCTTGCTGAATAACCCATCACACGGTGTTTTCAGCCACAGGACAACAATTCCTTTTTCACTCCTCACAGGAAATTCTATAAAGGAAATGTGTTATAAATAGCGGTTGGGCTTGTGGAATTACAACAAACAATATGTGAATCGCACCCCCTTTGTTAGTCCACCGCTGGATGAAGGGCTTTCAAAATGCTGGGTCGATCGAATGAGCTATTTGACCATGCCTAGGATGGTGAAGGGGGTGCCAGCACCAGTTCAGATGTCGCCTAGCCACCAATGTTTGCCGTGGCCAGGAATCAATTTCATATCAGCCGGGTTCACAGCCCAGTGCGCTATCCAGTGCGCCTCTGTTCCATACCAAATGTAAAATCTGAACTACAAGATAAAAACCTAAATACAGTTGCATAAATTCCACAATTCCCATGGGCAAGGGTCTGGTATCTCCAGTGGAGAATGTCCACTGACTTCCCACAAAGTTGTAAAGAGTTTCACTGACCGCAGAAGGATGATGGGCCGAGTCGAACCCCTGCACGAGGTTTGAACCAGCAAATTTCGAATGTGACTCGAGCACTTTAGCCAGAGTGCCACTCAGCCAGTGTGCATACAATTATGCAGAATAAAACGAGCAGCTCTCTAGGCTTGTATCAACTCTAATCTAAACTAAACTTCAAATTTTACAAAGTAAGGCCCACTGAGCTATATACCTCTGTTTCAGAAGCGACCTGGGCACAAATGATAGCCCAACAAAGCCGGCTTATCAAGTGTAAATGTACAGGAGCCAAATACTCTAAATGCATGATGTTGATTGTAAATGTGGAGGGAAAAATTGGAGGAACCCGAGAAAAACCCACCCGACCACAGGGAGAATGTGCAAACTCCACATACAAGGCTTCAGTGTCGGGATCGAACCCACGACCTCCTGTATACCAGGCGAGGGGGATAACATCTCACCACCTAAATGTAATATTGGCATATTATTTATATTAATTGTAAACTCGTCCGATTTTCAAGAAAGACGATTTGACGTACGCGCGTAATACAAGCGTAAGAATCAGTTGTCTTACCAACGAATCGGCACCTCGTTTTACAACGTAAGTTTTCAAGGTTGTGCTGTAGCTGTGTTATTCTCTGACGTGTGTTCAGGTTGCACCACGTATTATTTGTCGTGTTGTCCAAGATTTCGCTGAACACAGTTCCTACGGAACCTTCCAGCATGAGCACGTGGAGTGAAACATCGGACATCGTGCCAAACAAAGACAAGGATCCCCCATATAGCCTGAACACACTGCTGGGGCAAGTGCTGTTAGCGAGCACCTTCGGAGGCCGACGCACTATGGGAGGGGTTAGGTGCACAAGGCACTTATTTGAGGCTGAGTCGAACCTGGAGAGGCCCAGGACCGATTCAGATAATCGTCAGCAGTGTCGGCCGCGAGCGGGAATCGACCTCGGGTTTGTAGCGCGATGCGCTGACCGCTGCACAACCCCGCGAGCACGGGCCGAGTGCTGTCAGCGACCAACGACCGGCTCTCCGCTTCGCTCACCGTATCCCGTCGTGGACAGCCCGAGGTGCTTCATGCGGTTCTTCACGAGCTCCGACAGCTCCTGCCGCTCCGTGCGCTGGTAGAGCGTGCGTCGCTGCCGCCCGATGTTCTCCGCCGCCGCCTTGCGCCCGCTGCCGCCCCTGCCCGCGCGGCCACCCCCCTTGCGGCTGAAGCGACGGGCCCAGTGCATGGTCTTGTGCCGCAGCAGCAGGTGCTCGGAGGGGTCCGGGGCAGAGCCCTGCACGGAGCTCGCGCGGCTCACGTAGTCGTGGCTCTCGCGCGCCACATCGTCCGCCTCCGGGATGCCGATGGAGACCTGGGACTTGGCGGCGGCGAGGGAACGCGCGGAGAGGGGGGGGTTGGGCCAGGGTCAGCGCGGAGGCTTTACGGGGGCCGCAGCTCCGGGGTGCCGCCAAATTTTTTTTTTGGGGGGGGGGGGGGCGGGCGGGCGGCCCGCCGCAAATGTGCACACGTGGCCACTGCCGGCCCAAGGGCCTCCCACAGGAAGGAGGAGCTTGCCTCGAGGGTGACCTAGCTCGAATATAAGACGGTCAAAGATTGAGCTTAAAGGGGGTGTGGTGGTGGTGGTATGAATGAGGACAGCGCTGAGGTTGCTTGTTCGCACCACTGCAGGCGGAGGGGCCTTCAATGCAGGGGGCTCTTTGAGAGCCTCTTTGGAGGGTATTTGGCCTACTCTTTCAGGCTGGCCAGATGTCTTGGAAGAGGTCAGAGTACCAACAATTTACTACACAACGCACGATCCGCCCGAGTGACTGTGTTGTCGCGATTTATTCTGCTGGGTGGACAGAGGCAGTGGGGGGGACTTTAAGAAACTTGTTTCAACTCCCAATCCACCAGATCTAATTGAATCGGCCTACCACTGGATTACAATACCAGTGAGCTAACGATCACACCATGGCAGCTTCATGTATGGAACGTAATGCTTAAACATCCATTGCACATAGGTTAACTATCCATTTGCTATTGATACAACTGCTGGCCACTTTGTAGCTAAAGAGTTTAAGGGGCTCCACAAATCTGTTACCCAATCGAGTCTGCTGTCAATGCTCCGACTTACAATCATGCATAACCACACTGGGCAATCGGATCGTGTGGATTTAATTACACTCATTGTACTCAAACGGAGTATGTTTCCACCATTATATCATTCTAGTAGTTCGCAAGCAATTTGCATAATGCCCGTAATGAAGTTTTCATAAATAGTGAAATGCATTGTTTACTTTCCGTACGGGCATTTAAGAATGTAATGAGCTATCGCTTTAAAGCTTACGAAAGTCTTAGACAATACACCAACAAAGTGGGCAGTTTCAATCCTCATGCACTCCCGTGGTTCTGCAAAATTTGCACAAAGTATTAACATTACATATTATACCCACCTCGCGCCTCCCTCCCCCGAGTCAACACCTACGTGTGCGCACAGCAAAGGGGCTTTGGCTAACTGAGCAGCAGGAATGGGGGGATTGGAACAACTGGGGGGATTACGCGGGCGGATTTGGGTTTGCCTGTGCGGTGAGTGCCGGCGGTGGATTTCACAGGGTCGGCTTCGTTTAAAACGAGAGAGCTCAAGTGGCAGTCTCTGCCTAAAAAAAACTCCCACAGCCACCAAGATCAACGGCCGGTCGACTTGTCAGCTGCCAAGACCAATACACATTCTGGTACAATCGGTGCTTAGATTTCAAATGGAATGCTTTTTTCCGGGAATTGTTTTGGCACTCAGCCGCATCCCTGCATTATTTTGTCTTCGTGGTACCGGCGGTGGTGTTTGCGGTGATGCTGGAAATAGTGCACAAACAGCGCTCAGGGTTTCCAGATAACATTCAGGACAGCATTGTGCAACAATGTAGGATTATTGTCGATAGGCGTACCTTGTAATCGAGTGGCCGTGCCTTATGGCGATAATGCCTAAAAGCATTCCAGAAACTACCGAGTGAGAAATTAAGCTCTGGGCACAAACAGGAAGATCCAACTTTCTAAGAGGATTTTTTTTCGGACAGGGACCCGGCATCTTCATAGCCCAGTTGATGCCATGTGAGCAGGTAAAATGTACATTACAAGATCATATAGGGCGGAAAGGGCAGCTGAACCCCGCATTCTAAACTAAAACTAAACTAGTATTTTACCAGGGAAGGCCCACTGAGCTTTGTAGCTCTTTTTCAGATGCGACCTGGCCACAATATATTGCTGAATGAATTGGCTTGTCATGTGGAATTTATCGTCGCCAAATGCTCTAAATTCTTGTTTCTAAACGTGGAGGGAAAAACCGGAGGACCTGGAGAAAAATCCACGCGACCACGGGGAGAACACGCAAACTCCAAATATACAGGTGTCAGGGTCAGGATCGACTCCACAACCTCATGTATACCAGGCGAGGGAGATAACATCTCACTCCGTTTACCCATAAAAAACTCTCACTGAGTCTCGAGACTTTACTCAAGAGGGTTCCGCTAAATTCTCGCAGTAAGGAGGTGACGATTGCTGTGTACGTTACAATTGGGACGTGGAGCAGGGGTGGTGGCAGTGTGGAGGGGGGGACGAGGGGGGGGGGTGAGGGGGAGGGGGGGGACATCGGCTGACCTCGGAGGGGTTGAAAGCGTGGGCCTCTGTGCGGTAAATTCCGATGGGGATCTCGCCCGTGGATGAGCAAAGCTTCTGATAGAGTCGTCCATATGTACGGATCCACAGGTCCTCTTCATTCACCTTCATCTGCGTCATCGTCACCACATAACATCATCATCATTGTCATCATCGTTAAATATTACGTATCAAAATCAATGTTATTCTGGTCTGTGTACTCTTTTCTATTTGGGCGATCGCTGTCAAATGTGTATGCCGTGGGTGTAATGGCGAGCACACTGGAATAGCAAAATCAGAGGGTCACCAATTAAGTTAGATTTCTCGGCGTTCACAAATGTAGGCTTGAAGTGTATTTTTTTCTGCGGGGTATATTTGTTGAAATTTGTTAATGTGTGTCGTTGTATTCAGATGCAGACAAGCGGAATACATGGGTGATTGCGCAGTGTGGTATTTTGTGGCGTCTGGTTCTGATGCGGTGCCACTGTGGTCATTATTGCAGGCGACGCAAATGCTTCCTGACGGAGCACTTTCGGCACAGTGCCGTTGCCACATGACCGCCCACGTATGTTTCGGCCTCGTGAAGTTGTTTCAGCAATCTCGCCCGATGATCGCGCGAAATTGAAGGAGACGAGAACACAAAGTCAACTTAACGTCACTGTCACCCGAACGCCATTTTTTGGTTGTTGTTTTTTTTAAGCCGGCCTGTCCTCTCGTTTCGATCGCAGGAGGACAGAAAGACGGCACGGGGTCGGCTGCAACCTGCACAATACCCCCCCCATATTGACCAAAAACTACCGCCGGGACTGTGACGCATTGCGTCCAACAACTGCCGTCAATCCACTGCTGGAACTAAATCGTCAAGCTGCCACCGTCCCTCGTGATCCTTGGATGGATCAATCCATCCAGCAACTGCAGCTGATTTCATCGCTTCACCCTCCCGATGGATGCGTCCCCATTCCTCGGCTGCCCACTCCACTTTCATTATTCTTGACCATCGCCACTTCCGGTCATTGACGTGTCCAACCCAGGCCCACTTACACCGAAGGGTGTCTCCGTGTCAGTGACTCTGTCCCTGTGTATATGTTTGTCTCTGTGTCTGTGTGTGTCTCCTTGTCTGTGCCTCTGTCTCTGTTGTCTTTGCAACTCCGTTCCCTTGCATCGCTCGGAGAGACACAAGGAGGGACAAAGACCCCCCGCTGTCTTTGAACATTCCGATTAACCACAATTATTTTACAGGTAAGTGGAGTCGTGTGGCAAATGCATTCTATTACCCACGAGTTTTCTGTGGTTATTGGACGACTTAAGCTTACGTCATTACTCCCATTGTCCACAAAATGTTTTCGTGGATAAGTGAAGTCACGCAGCGAATGTTCAGATAACAACACGGATAACAGGGCACACGATATGGGCCTCTGATATCAAAACCGATGAGACGAGTTCTGTAAATGTACTGCAAAAATTTATATTTCAACCTTATGTCCGTGTTTTAAAAGCGTTCTTCCTTTGATATGTCCTCTACAATAAAGCCTCTGTTTACATGATAATTAAGTGCCGCATGGCACAATTCTGTGTTGTACAACATTCGTGCCGAAGTAATCAAGAGCATATTTTATTTTTTATTTGATTACCAGTGCGCAGCCAGCAAGAAGACAATATGACCGATACATGGACAGTACATCGATATTTAAACAATCACTGTAAGCGCGGTGCAATGTTATCCTGCAATAAAGTCAACAAAAAAATTGCCACAGTGATTTTGACACGAATTCGATTTGAAAGAGTGAAGATTAAAAAAAAACGCAATTTTGCAGAAACAATTTAGCGGCCCCCTGCTCTTAGTCGTTGGGATGGGAGTGCTACTCACAATCAGAATATGTATTTACACAGGAGGAATTCGATGAACTGTATAGCTCTTTTTCACAGCTGTCCCTTAGTTTCGCAGGTGTCCAGTCGCATAGATCCCGCACTTGCGATTAGCATGCAAGCATTCTGGCATGATGCTGGATGTAATTACCAGTGAAACGTCGAACTCAAATTGTAAACGACGTGGATTTACTCTCCAAGTAGTAACTAACTGGCGCGCTTGTTTACGTGACAAACCTTACTGGCTGTGTCGGGTGGTGGAGGGTTACGACAGATTTATACTTACACGATCTCGCCCAAAAAAAAGCTTTATTATGAATCATGCACACACACACACAGAGTTCAACGTGCGAGAATGGTCACTCACTGCGCACAGGTAGCCGGATCCTGGCGTAGTGTCCAGGCCCAGAAGAAGCCTTGTGATGGGGATCATGTAGTCCTTGACGAACGACTGCGTGGGGAGAGAGCACAGGGAACGAGGGCGCGTGTGCCAGTCTCGCACGCGCCATCACTGGCCCCCCAAGGCAGGATGTGCTCAAGAGAGGTTAATTGTGTAGCCGGTAACAAAAAAATGTTTGCTTTGGACAAACACTGCCTCGATATATAAGATGTATATATTAGCTTGGTCCATATTTGTCAAATTACACTTCGTGATCGGGAATGTTGATCATTGGCGAATTATGCACAACCATGACATTTGTGTTAATTGCGCATTACCGTAAAATTATGCTTGAAAGTGAAGAAAAAACACGGACGGAAAGGCCTTGGTTTAAAATCCACACTTTCCCCCTCCTCTCATTGGGCTGAGGTGGCCAAAAGATGGCAGTGTTGAGTGTCACCCCCTGTGTAGGCTTTCTCCGGTAACATTTAATACTTCTGGCAAACGCCTGATGATGTTGGTTGTAATCACCAAAACGGCATACCCAGTTGTAAATGTTGTTGGTTTGCTCTCTAATGCAATGGTGTGCTGAAGTAGTAACACATTGGCATGTTCCGTTCACGTGACAAACCTTACTAATTAGCTGTCGGGTGAAGGTGGGTTTACGACATGATAAAAACCCAACTAACTTTTTCATGAATTTCTCCAGCTGCTTCAGCACAACCCTCTTAAAAAGAGTATTTAAACCCTGTGAGGAATTATTTATTTTATGATTACGCTCTTGGCATTTTTTATTTTTTTACAATAGGGTCCTGTCAGGTTCTCGCAGTAGGGGGTCGATTCATGCTTTGTGTAAATCCCAACTGAGTAATTTGCGGGCAAGTCTTCACATGCGCGCAAATTCGGAGGCATGGCGGCAGCACTTGGTGGGCTACTCTTGACGCGCGATGTCACGCGGTCATTAACGTCCACTGTGCAGGCAGACGGCCCGTATTTTACGGCCCATATAGCGGCAGTATTAACCAGGGCGGCACATGGATTCGGATCCGTGAACCTCTGCAACAAGCGACGAACGCGTTACCGCTAGGCAAGGGGTTGGTCAACCAAATAACAAGAAGAGACAAACAAAAAAAAAGATAATAAATCATCGATATTTCAAGAGCCACAATGCCACACGGTGAATACGAGACGCTGGTCCTTTCATAAATAACGTCAATGAAGCGGTCGTTAAGGAGCCCGCCGCGTGTGGCTCCGGAGCCGCGGGGTTTTGCCGACCCCTGCGCTAGGCCGCACCGCCGTCCTAGACGCTCGTGAACCGGTGCATGCCCCCTCTGTGGTCACAAACAAGGCTATATGGGGGGGGGATCTTTTTGTGAATGCGTGGAGGTGTACCTGGTAGAGCAGCGTGTCGAGCATGCTGACGCTGAACACTCGCCCGGCGGCAAAGGGCAGGCGGAACATGAAGGCCAGGTTGGAGCCTTTCTCCCGCTCCTCCTGAGCAGCGGAACACGCGGGGCACGTTTCAGTTACAAAAACCGGGAAGACTTCAACGGATTCGAACCGTGGTAGGCGTTCACGAGGGCACTTCGCGCAAACTCAACGCGGGTCGCCCCCCCCGCCCCCCCCTCCTCCTCCCCACCTCGAAGAAGCGGGCCACGGAAAACGTTGCGTTGCCGACGTGTTATAAGCTCGTCTGTTAAATGTACGCGACATATATATTTAAAAAAAAAGACGTGAAATCAAAAGCGCTCCAAAGAGACGGCCGCGCGCTGAGATCAAGCCACGCATCTTTGATCGCTCGCTCTCAAGATGCCCCCGACAGCTCTGCACGCCCCGAGATTCTCGGCGTTCATCTCAAACCGTTACGTGGGAGAGCGGGGTTGGTCCGTTTCGCGCAACATGAAAAATATGCACACACGTCGAGAGGCAAATTTCCAAGAGGCTTTGTACACTCACTGCACTTGCACTGGCATCGCATTTAAACTTTCCGTTATTGAGATGAGGTGCCAACAAGTCACAGCTCTGACTGGGAGCAATCCATATTCTCGCTCCCATTTCAAACGGATCAGAGATGTTTCATTCACATGACGATCTCTTTTTCTACGTTTTACACAAAGAGAGAAGAGAGAGGAGAGAGAGGAGAGAGAAGGGTGATTCTGCCGTAGACAATGCTAGCCGAGGTCTTTTTCAATGATTCAATAATGTCAATGTTGCCCGATAATTGGGCACGTTTGGAATCAATGCTGCACCCCCCCCCCCCCGACCCTCATCATGGAGGACAAAGCCAACAATCTGTTTAATCCGTTACAATGAACGGTGTTGGCAATGGCCAGGTGATCCCATTATCCGCTTAACAGGTCACATCTCTTCCCCAATCTCTGCTCAAGCCCCCCACCCCCCCCCCCCCCAGATCACTGCTCTTATCTCGATTCAATGTGCCGACGTTAACATCACGCGTTCAGTCATGGCAGCCCCTGAAGCTATGCTCGACTCTGCTAAGCGCGCTATCGCACGATCACCTGGTAGGACAACGTTGGCTAGGAGATGTTAACTACCTCGCCTGGTATGCAGGAGGTCGTGGGCTCGATCCCGTCTATAATAATACCTGTTGTATATTTGGTCGCGTGGATTTTTCTGCGGGTCCTCCCGTTTTTCCCTCCACGTTTAGAAACACACGTTCAGAGTATTTGGCCGCTATACATTTCCACGTGATAAGCCACTTCGTTGAGCTTTCATTTGTGGCCAGGTCGCTTCTGAAACTAGAGCTACATAGCTCAGTGGGCCTTACCTGGTAAAAAAAAAGTACATTAAAAAAAAAACTATTGTCATCCATTGAATTGTACTTATTGCTTTGAGTCAAGGAAATAGCGCTATTGTCAGGCGATGAATGGAACTGTCTCCACATTTATGTGTGCATTGGTGTGCTGCTCATTTGACGTGTAGCGCTGAGCCAGTGGTAGAAATGTCACAATCATATGGTGGTGGGGACCGGTATATTTAAAAGAAAACCACTGCTAATATTTTTGCATTGGTCATTCTCCCGTAGTAGTTGTTTGCGTGTGGTGGCGCACACTGGCTAGAGCGGAAGAGTAGGCCAAAATAGCCTCTAGAGCCACCTCTAAGCAGGAGGCCCTTCCGCCAGAAGTGCCCTGAGCAGGTAATTGCGGGGGGGGCTACAACATTTAACCCTTCTGGGTGGGATCGAAGCGGAGTGTCCCTGCAAATGAACTTGGTGGCGAGCTTGCCAATCACAGGGCCACCCGGGCACCTCCTCCCTGTCTCTCCTGGCCACACCAACCCAGCGATGATTGGCGATCACTTCAGGAGCGCCGCCGAACGTAATTTCACGCCATTCATTGGGAATAATCTGGGTAACGCACTGCCTCTGTCGCTAAATACTCTTCTAAATGCAAATTGCCATTTGTAACAACCGGGAATGTTTCGTATGTGCACTGGGACACGAGTGCGCGTGATAAAAAGCACACACACAAAGGACGCGCTCTGGGCTGGGTGAGAGCGCTATTCGGCAAAAGTAGCGTTTCGTTTTTAAGGCGATTAATTTTAAAGCGCGTTGGTGCCTTTCACTGCAAAGGATCAAGGTCGGATTGGATGTTTGAATACAAGCATCACACAGATGCTGTTTCTTCTCAGTGTGCTTCATTATTTAAGTAAGGTGGGTGAAGACGAACAGGGCGTTCTGGACAGACACTCCACGTCCATCACAGATATTCTCAATCCTAGATTTGAAGCTTTCGTGACTCCAAGGATCCATACTCTTTGGTTCTATTCGGTAAAGTCACGTAGGTAAAAAATAAAATAACAAAAATCACGACGTTTCGGCCACAACACAAGTGGCCTTCATCAGGTGAAGGGACCGTGCTGTCATGAGGACAGCATTGGAGTGACTTTGTTATTTTATTTTTTACTTACTTGACTTCACCGAATAGAACCAAAGAGTATATTCTCAATCGTCAGCCTCGTTGCCCCCTTTAAGTTCCCAAATATACACACGTACAATTTGACATCTGCGCGCAATGAATGTATCATCACTGGAACATGCGTCTGAGTTTAAACAAAAAAATGTAACCCTCGACCGTTGGGAGACGTACGACTGATTTTCGAAAGCTTCTACTCCCAATAACGCTGGGGGTGTGGATGCTGACACACAAAACTGGATGGTTATACGAGTTCAAATTCAGCTCAGAGGTCTAAGTATTCCACCATAATTTCGGGGTTCATAAAAGAAATACTAGTTTGTGGGTTGTCAACAGTGGGTGTCATGTTTGTAGACTGGCCCTGAACGAGTGTAGGATGGGGATTTGTTTACCTTTCATGCACTTTGCACTCCTATCGTGTTTTTGTAATGTTTGTTGTTGTAACGTTCTGACTCACCCCTACCGGAGATCTGTGAAAAAGAGCTTACTTGCTCATAGGATTCCTCCAGTATAAATACATATTCTGATTCCGTATATTTGATGATTTCTATGGTCATTATGTATTATAATACAAGTTAATATTATTATACAAGAGTGCTCCTTTTAACAATAGTTGTCCTATAGATGTACGGGTCTCCACCTTAGAAATGTGGAATTACCACCATTGGCTCAGGGCTGCTGATAGAGATGAACATGATCTCAAAGCTTGTTTGAGCAGGCATACACTTTGCATGTTTGATTGGAGATAATCGATGTGCATGTATCACAGTGTTCACTGTGTAAATTAAACTAATGCTGCAATCACATGAGTGTTTGTCATGCTGTACCAATGTAAGTGTTTTCATCGCTGTACATGTGGCCAGTTTCTTCGCTGACTGTCAAAGGTTCGTCAAAATAAACCAACACGATAATTGACTGAATGCGCGATACGCAGCTATAATCCACGTCGCACATTCCATGCCGCAGAAAGGGGCGACTTCAAATGCCACACACAGTTAAACTATAAGCTAACTAAAAATAACTATGAACTATAAACTAAACTAGAAAATTATTACAACTAAACTTTTTAAATTTTGCCAGGTAAGGCCAACTGAGCTATATCGCTCGTTTTCAGAAGCTATCTGGCCACAACTGATAGCTTAACGAAGTGGCTTATCAAGTAGAGATTTATAACAGTCAAACACTATGAACGTTTGTTTCTAAATGTGGAGGGAAAACCCGGAGGACCCAGAGAAAAACCCACACGACCACGGGGAGAACACGCAAACTCCAAATATATGGGCGTCAGGGTCGGGATCGAACCCACGACCTCCTGCATACCAGGCGAGGTAGTTAACATCTCGACACTGCGGTGTCCTATGGAGGGAGAGAGGGGGGGGGTGGAGGGGAAGGATGGGGAGGGGGTAGTACCATCTGTATAAAAGTGAACAGCATTAATTACCTTCTCTAGTTTGGAGAGAGCGAGTGAGTAGCAGTCCTTGGCTCGAAACTGCATGAAGCGCATATTGGCCGGGTGCGTGAGTTCCGTGATGATGCTGAGACTGGAGAACAGCCTGCGGACAATCACATCATATCGCGAGTACGTTTAATAGCGCAGTGCTATCACGAAGGAGCTACGTTTCACAGACGAGTATAGTTCACATTTGTTCTACATTGGGGAAGGGTGTTTTATTGTTTACACAATTAGCTGATGCTGCATCGGCAGTGTTGTACAAGCAAAATTAACAAACAAAAAACACATTCGTCACTGATACTGCGTGACCATAATATGGCCCTTATTTATAGCACTTTAATTATCCAATTAGGTAGTTTGCATGTAATTTAGTTTTAAATCTGTCAAAATATGGAACAGGACACGAGCAGCACATATGTAAACTAACAAAACAAAAGTGTTTAATCTTTATATATTTTTTAGTAAAACACTAATATTGCATACAGTATTCCCCCGTTATCCTCGAGGGATACGTCCTGGAGATGCTCGTGAATAGCAAATTTTTCGGATAATGATATTGACCTATGAAAATCTATCCGTTTAATGAATTGCCTTAAATAAATACGTAAATAAGCTGTTAAATACGTGAAAATTAACACTTTTTCACATCACATTCTCTCTCATCACTTTATCTCATCACTTTCTTTATCGCTCTCTCTCTCTCGATGCAGTCGTGGAGAGTTTCGGATGCGATTCGCGAGTTCGTGGATAACGAGGGATGACTGTACGTACACACACACACAAATAAATAACCACCTTGGCATAGTGCAGGCAGGTCCCCCGACGACACTACGCTTTTTCCCGTAGGCTGGGATCGAATAAGTAGCCTCACTATCCCATCTTTTTACCCCCCCACATGGCGATGAGTAATTGAGCGCCGCAGGTGATGCACGGTGCAGCACCTCTGTATCCTCCGTCCAGCTATTTCCTCGGTGAGGAGAAGGCATCAGACGACGCAAGAGCTCCACTTACGCCGAATGCCAAGTAGGAAAATTGCCCGATTCCCAATCAACCACTTTGTCAAAATGTGGTCGCACTCTGCTGCCCCCGAGAAATAGGGCCCCACATTGCTCAAATACTCAAATTGAACGCTTTTCCCTATCTGCCACGGTGATTATCTGTTTAATGTTTAATTGCGGCGTTTGCTGTACAACGTAATGCTTCCTCGTGACGTCTCGATCGACGCGTAGGATTTAAATTACCGCCTGGGTCATTTGCCGAACCCTGGTGACTCAGTGACAGGGTTCACGGCTTGCAAGCGGAAGGAATGGATTCAAATCCAGTTTGGGGGGGGTTGACTCGGCCCATCATCTCTCTGCAGTTGATAAACTGAGTACCACCTTGTGGGAATGTCAACAGCAGCTGTCCTATGGACAGACTCGCCCCTGCTATAGGAAGGTGCAATTCCCACCAGTGGATCAGAGGGCTGTAAACGAGAGATGTTCTTTCGAGCAGGAAAGCTTTTTCAAAAAAATATATATTTTAAATATTTTACTACGCGTATAAGTGTTGTATCGTCTTCCTGGCAGTGCCAAACATGAATAAATAAAGGTGCAGTCGCGTCTAAACTTGCCGCACACTGCTCCGGCAAAGTAAAAATTCAATTCTGGATAAATCACAGCTGCCAAAACAAGTGAGAGAAACACATTCGGGGTTCGATTGAAAGAGCCGGGGGCGGGGGGGGTGGGTGGGGGGGGGGGGGGGGGGGGGGGGAGAACGCGCACACTTCAAGTACACATAGTCATCGTCAGGGTCGCGATCGAACCCATGACCTCCTGCGCGGGAGGGAGTACCCGCTGCCGCGGCTGCGCCCCACCTGAACATGGTCTGCACGTTGACGATGGTCTTGGCGTCCGCCATGTAGTCCTCCTCGGCGCTCATGGTGCTCTCCTTGTCCACCACCACCACGTTGTCCGCGTAGATGATGCCGCACTGCAGCAGGTTGTCCAGGCTGATGGCGAGAGCAGCGGAAGAGAACGGCGGAGAGCGCAGTCGGCAAAGCGGCGCGTTGTGCGAAGCGAATGGATCGTCATCGTCGTCGTCGTCGTCGTCATCGTCATCGGAGGCATCGTTAAATTGTCATCGACGGCGTCATCACTGTCGGCATCGTCGGTGTCATCGTCGGCGCCGTCATTATTCTCGTCGTCATCAGTATTGTCACAATTTTTCTCGTTACAATTGTCGTTGTCACCGTCATTGTCACTCCGTATCTTCAGTGTAATTAGCATCAGCATCGTCATCAGTAGTATCATCATTTTCCATCTTCGTCCTGACCATTGAGCGAGTAACGTGCAGCATGGCTGTATGTTGAGATGTAATCTTAAAACCGTGTCATTGCAATGCACAGGGGGGGTCCAATTACCCCTGCATATCATCACATAATTAACCGGTGCACATGCAGTTTCACAAGTAACGAAAACAGCGATGAGTCTACAGTACGGTATTTGAGATTTAAGGGGCTGATAGTCGTTGGCAAGTCGATTTCTAGGCTGCCCATGTTTCTGTTATCAATTTCCACGATGCAGCGCACCAACGCATGCGACTATCTGCAGGTTAACAGCTCACAAAGGAGACAATATGCACCTAGAAGTGGCAACTTGGGAGTGGAGGTTTACGAGCCATTTTTTTTCTATTACGTAGAACTAAAAATATATACAGTATATCACGATTGCTGATCAAAGGCCCGAAGGTCGAAAACACCAAGCCGCCAGTTACAGACATCACTATTGTAGGTGTATTAGATCAAGCATTATACGGTTCTTGAATGTATTACAGTGAACTCATCACAATGAACTCACTGCGCTCTTATATTCTTGGGTCTTTCGGTAAAGTCACGTAGATAGGTTCAAATAAAATAACAAAAATAACAAAAAAAACTACGACGTTTCGATCGCAACACAAGCAATCGTCATCAATGACGAGTACGTTTCGAAACGTCGTAGTTTTTGGTTATTTTTGTTATTTTATTTGAACCTATCTCCGTGACTTTACCGAAAGACCCAAGAATATGAATTCCTGCAGTTACAAAAGCTTTAAGTCAACATTTCACAGCACTCTGACTGATGAGGGCGCAGAGGGCATTCATTGGGGGGTTACAGATTAAATGCACCTTACAATTGTAAATTATTATTGCCACGCGCGCCTAGAGAGCTTTGAATTGTAAATGCAATAAAATGTCAAGTCTCCTGTGCATGAGATAACGACCTTGATGCGGCACTTCTGTAAACAGACCCCTGGTGATTGAGTGTTGAAGTGCACATCCCCGACACCAGGCTAAAGTTTAACGTGGTTTGCGGTAAGGTAATCCAAGGATTTAAAAGAACAATCTTGAGATGCGGAGCTGCTGTAAAATTATATATGGGATTATGTTTGCGAGTATATAACTGCTCGACCAGAGCTATGAATGCTTTGACATTTGCTTTGTCTTTGTGCTGTTGCCCATTGGCAATCTGCGGTTTCACATAGGAAAATACGTTTTAAGGACAATGCATACATTTTTCTTGGTTCTTTCGGTAAAGTCACATAGAAGGGAAACAATAAAATAATAAAAATATAACACAATAAAATTCTCACGACGTTTCGACTGCAACACAAGCAATCATCATCAGGTGTGAAAACCATAGCAAGAAAAAATTCAAAAAAGTGGCGTTTTTTTACGTTAGCACCACGGACAGCGATTTGGCAGTTATTCAGATGGACGAGTCCATCTATGTTCGGAAAAGAGGAGGGGGGAGACGAAAAGAATGGATGCGGTCAGAAAGCCACTGTAAGCGTGAACAATAAATGAAGAACCGAAATGGTTTATCAAATCCTTCCAATGATTGTTAAGCCAGAATCCATCTTCTCGGTTGAAATTGTCTCTGTGTTTGTATGTGGACAGCTTCATGAACGAATCTCTCATGGTAGCCAGATGGCTTGCAGAGAACCTCTGTCTTGGAGAAGTCAATGTCATGTGAGCCTACTGAATTATAACAGTGATCTGCCACGGCCGAGGTGTTGGTCCTACCGTGTAGTAGGTCTGCTTTGTGTTCACGGATGCGGTCCGAGACATGTCGTTTGGTTTCTCCAATGTAACTACTATCACAGAGGCAACTTAGTTTGTAGACGCCAGGGTACATTGTTTACATTATCAAATCATTTTCGTTTGCACGTTTTACCACAAGTATGTGTGGCTAATGCAGTCTTTATGTCACGATGATCAGTGTCACTTTGTTGTTGCTTGAAAATCTTCGCACCTCCCGAAATTCTTGACGGGAAGGTTAAAGCATACTGCTGTAACATATTACATTTGCAACGGGTGCAGCTGAAGCACATTGCATATGAACAACTAGTGGTGTGCACCACCAGGTTGCTTATGAGCTCGACTCCGCTGTGATTTTCACGAGTGACGCCTGGACCATCTCGTGCCTCTTCTTGACACCGCGCAAATGTATTTGACACCAGATGAACATACACTCTATATGTTGCAGATTTCCAACATGTTTGTATATGTGTCATGCATTTGTTTTTTTTTCTTTTACCAGGTAAGGCCCACTGAGCTGTATACAGTTGCTCCTTTTCAGAAGTGATCTGGCCACAAATGATAGCTCAACAAAAGTGGCTTGTCATGTGGAAATGTATTGGAGCTAAATACTCTAAATACATGTTTCTAAATGTGGAGGGAAAAAAACCAGAGGACTCGGAAGAAAAACAATTCATACGACCATGGGGAGAACATGAATACTCCAAATATGTAGGTGTCAGGTTTGGGATCAAACCCAAGACACTCCTGTATGCCAGGGAAGTGGTGTGCTTGCTATGTACATATCACTTGACACTGGATATGCTTTAAAATGAAATGTTCCATCCCAACAGATTATGCAGGTAAATTATTTGAATTTTTTTTTTGTATCCACATCTTATTTCTCACAAAAGCTCCTGGCCTCACAACTCCATTTCATCCGAGTCATAAGGTCCGTGTTTTGCAGAACCCCAAGTCACTCCGGCAAGTTACGTGCACATTAAGGCACATTTGATTAAGATTCTGCAATATAATGCAATCAAGAATGCACAGGCGCATATTTCTGGAAATGAGAAGCTTGCGCTGGCTAACTTGCATGCCTAAACTGTGTAAAAAATCCTGCCAGAGGGTGGCATGATTACACAAAGGCCCTTTTGAGTTGCAAACGTCAGCTGCCTGCTGACATCATAAAAGGCGCATCACCTAATGCTGGTGAGAGGGAAGTTAAATGCATTGACAGTTGTATTGATAGTGCTTTCTCGGTCTCGTTAATGAGCGGTGCCGTGAAAAAAAAACGTTTCCCACATGAAATGAATGAAGGGGCAGCACTCACAATTATCTCCGTCGGTGGCTTTGCAAGCTACTAACAGTGGGACAAATTCCACATTCCAAAGTTGGGGGCCAGTCCATTTGTAAGGTGATCGACAAAATGGTTTCTGACTTATCACAAAGTGTTACTCATTTTGACTGACCTAGAGGGATGCTAGGCTGATATGTTTGCACACAATATTGATTGTGAATTTAGCATTGTAATCGGACTACGAATAATAGTGATTATAATTTAAAGCCATTTTTAAATCCACTGCTGGATGAAGGCATGGAGGACCATAGCTTTGAATGCTGATTTATGTGAGTTGATCAGGGCCAGGGTTTGGATTCGAACTCAGGTCATCGGGTTCATAGACAGTGTGTCCATCGCTCCACACAGCAGTGTGCATAAACATACAAAACAAAGATCCTCTGCAAGCCTTTCACAGACTGTTGATGTAAGTGCTGTTAGTGAGAACCGAATTAAGGCCAGCATGGTACACGAGGGGTGGTGGGTGGCCAGCACCACGCCCAGCCACCTTTGTCTCCCTCGTGGCGATGTTTACACATCGCACCAGGTACCATTTGAGGCCAAGTCGACCTGGTTCCAGTAATCGTCGTGAGCAGGAATTAAAACCCGGGTCGCCGGGTTTGTAGCGCAGTGCGCTAATCACTACACCCCCACCCCCACTCGTACATACTCATACCCGTACGTACATACACATGCGTTTTCCTGAAAAGATTAATGTGCATTAAACTTAATTAAAACTACGTTCATTTCCAAGTAGGTGCCTGCACACATATGCATGTGTTAACTGATACCAACGAAAGCCAGACGTAGTTAATCTCAATTCCGACCGCCTCCGACAAGACTCGGTCCCGCCGTGAATACAAATGTCCAGTGGTCAATGAGGCATGTGCTTCGTGTGTCCGCACAGGTCCAGTCTGATTCACCTGAGCACACCACGGAGGTGTGAATAACGCAGGGCAAAGTGTCACGCAGGAGCTGTGGAATATTAAGCCTGCGAGGCTGCAGGTACCAATTCCCCGCCTCCCCTCGCTTATCTGGCCGGGCGGTTCCGTGGTAAGAGCACTCGACTCATACTGTAGTTGGAAGGCAAAGTCACAGCCCTGCAATGTCTTGCTCATGCCGCCACTGGCGGAAGGGCCTCGACTGAGCTAGAAATGCAGAGATCCTGGGTTCAAAATCCAGGCAGCTGGCTGTGATTGAACTGGGTTCTGTCGTACAGAGCAGTGGTTCTTAACCTGGGCGCATGCAACCCCTCGGGGTGCGAGACATGGGCAGATTTTTTTCGAAGGTCAATCATCGAAACACAAATTAAGCACGGGCACGTAACTACTACTACTTTGTTTCATCAACGTTTCGATCGCAACACAAGACGACTGCTTGTGTTGCGATCGAAACGTCGTAGTTTAAAAAGAATTTTTTTTTATTTTCTTTGAACCTATCTACGTGACTTTACCGAAAGACCCAAGAATAGAACATATCAGTTGCAAATAATAACTGAAAATCCAGTACTTTCATCGGAAAAAAAAAATCCTTTCTGTGTTGGGGTGTGTTGGAAAGTGTTGCCCACGGCTGTGTGCAACAGAAGTCACTTGAAGTGATCTCAGTGCGAGAGATGCCTATTGTGCATTGGCACCTGTGGGTGTGGATGGTTTTTTTTTCCTCGTCAACAAATTGAAAAACATTAAAGAGTGGTCACGGTGAAATGCGATGCGTTCATTCCGCAACCGACCCCTGCCCATTGTACGCTGGCAAAGGGGGGCACAAGCCATCGAACGGATGACTAACCGCAACGTATGGTTACGTCATTATTGTCAGTTGCTTTTCAAGCGCCATACAAAATTACGGCGATGTATTATTATTACCATAACATGTCTTGCGCGAAATATCCTTTGATTGAGATTGGCCATCTCGTTTGCACAGTGCGACCGCGATGAAATTAGCGAAAGAGATCAATTATAAATATATGATAAACAAATGGCTCGCAACCTTCTCTCAGCACCAAGGCCGGTGTGTCGTTTCTAATCGGACACTCACAGGCCCCCACCTCCTCTCTCGCCTGGATGTTGAGTGACCACTGAGCTTTTTGCCCCGCGTGCTAGAGTGGCTGTCCGCGAAATATCGTGCGTACGCGTGTCACAATTTGCATTGTTGTTCCTATTATTATTATTCAACAAGGTCATTGCACAGTGAAAGTAGGACTTACTTGTCTATGGATCCGACCATGTAGTACACCATGGGGAAACAGCAAATAGCCTCCAGAAAGTGGCAGTCAGGTCTGTGGACGGCATCACAAGTAGGAGCAAGTTTAAGCTTGGAGGCACGACAAAACGCCCACAAGACGCAGGCAACAGGCTGCCTATAACCACTTAAACCAGAATTTGCTCGATCTTGTCAGATGTACGCACGTACGTCGCACCTTGCGTTGCACCGTACGTAGCCAACCGTGGCAATCGGATATTGAAAGCTAAGCGGGTTTGAGCCCGGATAGTACTTGGATGGGTTACCACCACATGCCAGGTTGCCATAGGCTGCAGGGCTATGTGATGGGCAGCACAGGGCAGTGCGGCAAAGCCCACTGTTGTTCTGTACTTCCTTGCTCTCCCGCCTTCACCAACCTGCACTGACAAGTTTGGTCAAATAACCCCCATGACCAGCTCAGTAAAAGGGGAGACTTCATGCAGCAGATGAGTGACGAAGAGATGTACCTGTACAATTATCCAGGGAAACCTCACTCAAGACTCTTTTTTCAGGATGATCCTACATTGGAATGCTTGGCCAATTCCATTCATGAGTGTTTGGTATGTGGACGGAAATCGGAGCATCCTTAGAAAAGCCACACACACGACGTCACAAACAATCAAAGACCCACACAGACATATTTAAGAAGCCACTGCTGGTTTGCCATAATTTGAACAACATAGTAGTTCACACCTACAATGACCAGATATTCCAAGGTAGTCTTCCATCCAAGTACAAACCGGGCTAGAAGTCTAAAACTATGCACTAAACTAAAGTTTATTTTTTTTTATTTTACTAGGTAAGACCCACTCATCTAACCAGCTCCCTTTCAGAAATGACCAGGCCACATATTATAATTCTATAAAGTGGCTTATCATCTGGAAATTTGTAGCAGCCAAATACTTTAAAACGCATGTTTTCAAATGTGGAGGGAAAAACCGGAGGACCCGGAGAAAAATCCACGCGACCACGGGGGAGAACTCCAAATATACGGGCGTCATGGTCGGGATTGAACCCACGAGCTCCTGCATACCAGGCGAGGTAGTTAACATCTCGCGACCGTCGCCTTTGTTTCCGAGCTGTTGCGAGATCGGGTGAATTTGGTGCTATTCGCTAACAGTCAGGCTGACTCTTATTTTCGATGATGTGCGTGAAACTGTACCGTTGCCCATAATCCACCGTGCTCACAGTCATCAACGCTGCTCATCAGGACACTTGGCTGGCAGTGCTCTGGGTGGGGGAGTCGGATGGGAGCCAAGGCGTGGGACCGACGCAGGGTCAATGCCTCCAGACTCGCAGTGAAAGCAAATGCACTGACAATTTAACTGGCTATTGCCAACGCGGTAGCATCTCTCTCTCTCTCGAGTCGGAACTTTGCGAATACAAAACTTCGCCTAACTCACGCGTGGCTGGAACATATTCTACCGACGTTTTTTTTTGTTTGTTTTAATTAAGCAGAGGTCAGAGGCACCCTAGTGCTGAGCACTGAAATATAAATTATTATTGTTTAAAGAGCATCCCGGTGTACCACCTCAAAGTTGTTTGCACGGCAGGTAGCACCACTAATTACCACAAAATGCCAATGAAAAACCTTCCGGTTGCCACGTAGCTTTGACGGTTGTGCTGTATATCCCTCCCGTGCGTTTTCCGTTTGTACCGCATGTTGCTTTGAATGATGTCCAACTGAACAATGATTTATTCAGTCTGAATTATTGTCAATTATTCGTGAGGCAAAGTGGCTTCGCGGTAGCACATTTGCCACTTGCCGCAGAGGTTCACGGTTCCAAGCCAGCAGCCGTCCTGGTTCACGCCACGGGCGTATGAACTGTAACAATACGCGCCGTACTGCTTCGCAGTGGACGCTGAAGGACCGCGCGGCGTCATTCGCAAGGGTGGGCCATGGTGCCCCAGCATCGTGGTCAAAACGCGATATGTTAGAAACTCACCTGCACATTTCTCAATTTGGAATCTACACGACAGTCATCCGGACCCTCCTGAAAGAGCCACGAGACTCAGTGAGGCTTTCCCGGGTGAACAAAACGTGAAAGTAAAATCATAGGTCGCGAAGATCTTAGCCGGCACGTGGAGCGAAGTGTCGGACACCACACGGAATGACAAGTGGTACAAACCCATTAACACATCGGAGAGCCATTCATTGGTTTGTAAATTGGCGATTGCCACTTTGAATAGATTAATGATCAGCATGGGGTTCCAATTAACTCACATCAGCAGCAAATCATTCACCTGCATGTTTTGTTTTACTTGCTTAATTGTCAACGTTAATAGCTTTCCGAATGAGAAAAAAAACATAAAATGTGGAGAAAATATATTTCCCGGGTGAAATTGTATTTCTGCAAAGATGTTCCTGATTGATAATGTAGGAGGTGGATATGTAGCTGCAGGTTTGACAAAGGCTTGTACGACAAAACTGCTGTTTATCAAACTCACCAACATCGTCCGACTCACTAAAATGCCGTGCACAATAGCAAGGCAACTTCAGCCTTTAAATTAGTTCACGTAGACTGTATAACATTTTGGAGTATACCTGCACTGTACAGTGCAGGTATTATTCAACATGTTTTCTGTCGTCGTCATCATCATCATTAGCCATGATCCATCCACTGCTGGATGAAGGCTTCCCAAACCGTCCTCCCATCTCTCATGGTGCTGAGATAAAGGAATCCACCTAGGATCTGCACGTGATCTTTTTTGGCTGCCACTCCGTACTTATTCTTGGACATTCGCCATCATCCTTCCTCACCAAGCTTTCTACCCAAGCCCCGCTGACATTTCCCCACAGGTTGAATGATGCCATTAACCGGCGTATGTTCTCGAATCTATGTGTGCCTCCTACTGCCTCTCAGTGTAATTCCAAACGTGTATCACTCCACAGGACCATCTGGATCTTCACTTCCCCCCCCCCCTACTCCACACCCCCCTACACCTCTCCTCCCTGGCTCCTCCCCCCCTCTGACCTTATATAATCACTTCACAAACAGCTCTCTTTGCCCACAACAGTAAAAAAATAATTGCTGTGGTTGTCTCGCCTGATGACGGAAGCTTGTGTTGCTTCCGAAACGTCGTGATTTAATTTAGTTATTTTTATTTGATTTTATTTTCACCCACGTGACTTTACCGAAAGAACCAACGAGTATGGATCCTTGCAGTCACGAAAACTTCAAATCTAGAATCACTCCACATTTGTTTTCTTCATCACGATTTTCAGTTTCATTTTGTCTGTTAAATGACACTGTTTCTAAACCATGTGTCTGAGCAAGTAGTAAACAGGCATGTTGTCCACGACCCCACCGTGAGTGTGCCCACGGGCCCCACCGTGCATGTGCCCGGCACGCCCTTACGGGTTGTCGAGCAGCAGCACGATGGGGTTGAGCTCCCTGTGGGGTCGGTAGTAGGCCCGCAGTGGCACGATGAACGTGTAGAGGCCGTTGCCCGCCGTCTCCGCCGACACAATGATCAGCTTGTTCTTGAAGCTGTAGGCCTTGGCATCTTCATAGCTGTAGTGCGCGCAGCCCTGCCGGGAGAAGAGACACGGCAAAACGGCCGTGAAGATTTTCAGAAGCGACAAAGTGGCTCATCATCATCATGTGGAAATTTATAGCAGCCAAATACTCTAAATGTAGAGGGAAAAACACTGGGGTCCCAGACAAAAATCCACGCGACCACGAGGAGAACATGCAAACTCTAAATATACAGGCGTCAGGGTCATGATCAAACCGACGACCCTCTGTATACTAGGCGAGGTAATTAACATCTCACCACCGTGGCACCCCACTGTTTTGCCTGCACTATAGCTCTATCTTAATTTTAATCAGTGCTCTCCATCTCATGTGGGTCACACACCTACGCACACAAAGATATTTATCTTAATTTAAAACTGCAGCCCTGACATCATATAAGATGTGTGTCGCAATTATCGGGCTTGTGCAGCTTGTAACGACACACATTTATACTTGAATAGAGGAGATCGGTAAATGTGGAACGGTGTAAAGTGGTAGTTCGTGAGATCTGGCGTTTCGAAATATCTTTGTATGAAAAAAAATAACAATAGGTTTTACCCTTTCTGGCAATAAAGCAGGTGTGGAGATGTTCAAAAACCAAATAGAAACTTTTTTCAAGGAATCAAGTCTGCAATAACCACACGTACTTGTGGTGAACATGCAAACAAACATGCTCTGATAATATATGCATTCTCTTTGAGGCTTATTGGCCTACACCAGAGATAGCCTTCTTTAGGGCGTAGTCTTACCAGTGTCAGACCAGACAATGCATATATGATTAGAGCATTCTAGATTTGAAGCTTTCGTGACTGCAAGGATTCATACTCTTTGGTTTTAATTGGTAAAGTCACGTAGGTAAAATAAAATAAAACAAAATAAAAGAAAACAATTAAATCACGACGTTTCGGAGGCAACACAAGTCTCCTTCTTCAGGTGGAACAGACACAGCGGAACATCAGTGTCAAGTGGACAGCTCAGAGACCGGGTCTATATACAGGTTAAGAGGGGGGGGGGGGAGGAGTCAGACCGGGATGTGGGTGGGGGGGGAGGGCTGAGCCAAGCCGCCGCTTGTCACGGCACAGGGGGCTCGGAGGAGCGGAGGTGCCTCCTGTGCGACAACGTGTAAAACCCCTTTGTTATGCTGCCGGGGGTTGGAGGAAAGGGATGGCGTGCTGTAAGGGTGCAAGTACAGCTTCATTGTTTAGAAAGCATTAGAAATGGCTGTATAATTATAAGGTAGCTAAAGTTTGACATACAACCACTGAGAGATGGAAATGGCTGTACAATTAAAAGGCAGCTAACAAACACAAGATCCAGGTCCGGTTTTAACACAGTACACAAAATCCGTGATCTGATCCCATCCGTAAAGGATGTTATCACTGACTTACAGTACCTCGGTGTTTACAAATTGAGTTGTACCTGCGGAGTCTGCTATATCGAGGAGACGAAGCGACATATCTCTGACCGAATTCGTGAGCACAAATCAGATTTGAAACACAGCAGAACGAATTCTTCTGCCGTGGTTGATCACCGTTACCTCGCTGTGGGTGATCATGATATTGTTTTATCCGATACCAAGGTACTCTGCAAACCTACCGGTTATTATCAGAGATTTGTCCACGAGGCCATCCAGATTTACAAACACAGACACAACTTCAACCGAGAGGATGGTTTCAAATTGAGCAACCACTGGAAAGATGTTATACATCAAGTCAAACGTTAGCTGCATTTTAATTGTACAGCCATTTCCATCTCTCAGTCGGTGTATGTCAAACTTTTAGCTACCTTATAATTATACAGCCATTTCTAATTCTTTCTAAACAATGAAGCTGTACTTGCACCCTTACAGCACGCCATCCCTTTCCTCCAACCCCCGGCAGCATAACAAAGGGGTTTTACACGTTGTCGCACAGGAGGCACCTCCGCTCCTCCGAGCCCCCTGTGCCGTGACAAGCGGCGGCTTGGCTCAGCCCTCCCCACCCACCCACATCCTAGGCTGACTCCTCCCCCCCTCTTAACCTGTATATAGACCCGGTCTCTGAGCTGTCCACTTGACACTGATGTTCCGCTGTGTCTGTTCCACCTGAAGAAGGAGACTTGTGTTGCCTCCGAAACGTCTTGATTTAATTGTTTTCTTTTATTTAGTTTTATTTTATTTTACCTACGTGACTTTACCGAATAAAACCAAAGAGTATTATTAGAGCATGTTTGTTTGCATGTTCACCATAAAAAACGTGTGGTTATTGCAGACTTGATTCCTTGCAAAAAGTTTCTATTTGGGTTTTGAACATCTTAACACCTGCTTTATTGCCAGAAAAGAGAGGAAAACCTATTCTCTGACAAAAATGATGTTACTAAGGAAAAACTGGTTTATTGATTATTTTTCACAATTGGTGTCAATGATGTTAAATATAATGCTACTGTCTGTGATCTGCATGCTGATGCTGCTTGCTTGATGTGGATGCACACACTCATGTTTGTAAATGTACAACAATAAACACAGAAAATTATTAAGGATTAAACTAATTATGTTTTGCCCGTACTGAAACGGCTGTATGCCGTATGGACCTGAAAACTCAATTTACCTGTACAAGAATACGGGGTAAACCTTATGGGTTGACAGGTATGCAAAAGGTTGAGAGTTAAAATCTCAGTCGAGGGTTGTCTCAGGCCATTCATTATTCCTTTAATGGGGAAATAATACATTTACCACTTTGTAGGAAATTAACATTGGTTGTGCTATGGAAATAATTATCCCTGCCATATGAATGTGGAATCTTTACTGTTGGCGCAGGGCTGCTGCACCCAAGGCTTAATTGAGAAGTGAGACATTTCTATTTTGTATTTTTTTTCTCTTCGGAAAAGTGGAATTTACACCATGTGTGTTGAGGCAATGTTTTTTTCTTTCTTTCAGTTTTGACTTAACCCTTATCCTCACGAATACAATTTTGGCACTGTGGTGTGTTGCAAACATTAGACACCGACAGGTCCGTGGTGCTGAGTTTGTGGGCTATGAATTCTGCATGCTTGCATACGCACTGACCTTATCCAACCGAAGGCAACAGAACGGAGCCCTCTTCCTCAGCAGATGACACAGCGTGGGAGAGCTGCCGATGTACGGGGAGTTGGGTGGGTAACCTTTTACCCGGCTATGACAATAGCAATCCACAAAAACACGCACCGCACACAAAGATGATCAAACAAAGATCACCCATATAGCCTTCACAGACTGTTGTGGCAAGTGCTGTTAGCGAGTAGCCGGCACGGCACACGAAGGTGTGGGTGGCCAGCACCACGCCCGACTGGGGTTGTTTCCCTTGTGGCGATGTTTACACCCCGCACCTCGAGGCTGAGTTGACTCAAGTGAGCCCCAGGACCGGCTCAGATAATTAATTGTCACTGGTGTTGGCAATGAGCGGGAATCAAACTCGAGTCGCCGGATTCATAGCGCAGCGCACTTACCACTGCACCACCACTCCCCAGACACGTACACATCAACACACACCGAGTGGGGAGTGAGACTGTTATCCTGTCAAGGTACACAAAGGAATCATCATCATCGTGATCATCAGCCATGATCCATTCACTTCTGGATGAAGGCCTCCCCATGCCATGTCGGTCACGTTTTTTTTTTACCATACTTCACCATGCTGGTGAGTGCTGGTCGGTAAAAGGGAGGAGTGCCCCCAGGATCAAGTCAGATATTAATCACTGTTGTTGCTAGACACGGCCGGGAATTGACCTTAGGTGGCATAGTTGATAGCACAGTAAGTTCAACACCGCACCACCACAAGTCATACATTATCATATTTGTAATTTTTGAGAGAGAAAAATCATTAGTAATTGATTTTAACCCACACACAATTCAATACTTGCACCCTGAGCATACAAATCAATATTGATGGATGAACTTATCCAACCTGGTACACACCTACCCCATCGTATTATATTTATTCTTAGTCCCTTGGCCTTTCGAACCATTGAGGCATGCCCGTCTCTTCGTTAGAATCTCCATGCAGTGGCTCTCCACTTCTCTCTGTCCATCATTCAACTGAGCTAGTGTCCATCCCGTCCAGCGTTTGATGTTTTGTCGTCAGGCAGTTCGAGGACCTCCACTGCCTGCTTGGACCTTCCGACGTTCCCTTCATGGGTCACCGTTCTTCCTGGTTACATGTCCAAGATAATGATGCCGGTACCGGTACTTTGACCTGCCATAAGTAGCATCATCATGGGACCTCCTTTGCAAGTACCAAAATATGATAATAGGTTTTCCACTTTTTTATGGCAGCAAAAAAAAGGGGGAAAACCTATTCTCATATTTTGGTACTGGCAAAGGAGGTCCCATGATGTAGCTGCTCAACCCGAACCCTCATTACTCTGATAGTGGCATTGTCTTTGTGCTGTACGACCTTTTGGCGTCCTCTGGTCTAACACCGTTTGGAGACTAGGCTCAAAAGAAAGCTGTCTCTGGTGTGGACCATGGACCAATCAGTTTCAAAGACAATGCATATACTATCAAAGTATGTTTTTTTGTTTGCATTCTGACCACACATATTTTGGTTAATGCAGACATGATTCCTTGCAAAAGGTTTCAGTTTGGTGTTTTAACATCTCAACACCTGTTTTGTTGCCAGATAAAAGGGGAAAACCTATTCTCATAAGTAGCATCATGTCTATGCCTTGATGCTTAATGTTACATTTTTTTTTAAACTAAATCAGGTACAGCTAAGCTCCGAGTTGTGAATTGAATACACGCACTGCTGACCCACCCATACTGGACAACTCATAGGGTTACTCCTCCAGCATGAATAAAGATTATGATTCTGATGCATTGGATGATTTGACAGGCGAGTGAATCACTCTTTACTAGGCAGAAAGGAGCACCGTCTAGTATTGGCCAAACAGAGCAAAAGGTGATCTTGCGTTGGTAGTGGTGCACAAGCAACGCACACATTCGTCAATGATTCTGCCCGACAAGAGGAAACATTACGTAATCATGAAAAAAATGTGGCATTTCAGTCCATGGCTCTTTGATAGCAAACAGGCGAAGAAGTTCTAGATTTGAAGCTTTCGTGACTGCAAGGATCCATACTCTGATCACGACATAGTTTTCTCCAAGACCAAGGTTCTCTGCAAACCCACGGGTTTTTATCAGATATTTATCCACGTGGCAATTCAGATTTACAAACACAGACGCAATTTCAACCGAGGGGATGGTTTCAAATTAAGCAATCATTGGAAAGATGTTCTAAATCATACCAAACATTAAACTAATTTCAATGGTATAGTATATTTATTCGAGTAGTGGTATCCCAAACTTTCACAGCAGCTCATTTCCCTTCACACCAGTATTTGGACCTCTACGTGCATTTTATGCTAATTCCTTTGTCAAAGCGTTTTGTGTTTGCTCACACACAGCTTAAAGGACGCGACCTGGGCTTGACTGTCTTCACTCCAACACTGTCCTCTGGACAGCACGGTCCCTTCACCTGATGAAGGCCACTTGTGTTGTGGCCGAAACGTCGTGATTTTTGTTGTTTTATTTTAATTTTTTACCTACGTGACTTTACCGAATAGAACCAAAGAGTATAGGCGAGGAAGTGCCATTGCTCAAAATGTCACCCATTATATACTCTTCCTTTTTAGGGCACGGCTATTGATACATGTGTTCAGTTCACATTCATCACAGGATGACTGTTATGTGTGCACCTTCATGCCTTTGGCACAGAATCATTCGTGAATACCAGCGATTGCATTTTTTGGTTGCATCAATTTTTATTTTACTTAAATCTTCATGAAGGTGGCTCTGATTTCACCATGCTTTGGGGCACGTTCTGGTTCATTTGAGTTATCGGCATTTACATTGTGAAATGAAAACATTCATATTTATACCAACTTGCCTCCGTCCCAGCGTGCATTAAATATTGACGACATAGTAAAATATGATCTAAAACCACACTTATGAATATATTATAACAACAGTGATGGAAAGGGTGACCAGGCTCACTGACTATCAGGACAACCACTGCTTTAACATGAGCCAGGTCCAACATGGTCTGCGAGGCTCTGTCAAACGCAAACCCTGGTGGCACCTGACGACAAAAGCTTCGGCAAAGAGTTCTGACAACTGACACCTGGACCAGTGGCAGAGAGTGAAGCGTTAACTCGCAAGGCCACTGGACCACACAAACCCAGCTCTCACTATCTTTCGTGTTCAGACAATTAAAACTCTTAAGTGATTGAATAATCGATGAGTCGGGTATCCTATATATTAATCAGTACCCATATCTAAATGAGAGGGTTCTTTGCCTATAACAGTCTGCCAATTCGCCAAAGTTGATTCAAGAAAAGCCTGCTGATAAGACACCGATTGTCGACACCAGTCCAGTTGGCTTGTACTGAATCAACGCTTCTGAAAGTAAGCATTCCCAGAATGCAGTGAGGCCAATGGGTTATGTAAGAGATACTTGTATTTCGCTATGTGGAGAGACGGACGTAAGTCGAAGACATAGTCTATGTTTGTGTTTGGTTTGTTGTCCTCCCGCCCGCACTGCCGATTAGCAGGATTGGCTACGTACGATGTGAAAGAAGTTCAACATACATTACCTACGTATATAATATTCCTAGTTATGTTCTTCTTTGTATTGGGTTTATTGCTCCAAACCATGGGAGCATCATCAGGCTACTGCATTTCACATACATGTAACTTTTTCTTTCATTATAATCCAGTCGTGCTTTAGGCAATCATGCAATGTGTGTGTGGAGGGGGGGGGACCTCCAAAAAAAATGAATGCATGAATAAAGTTAAATTAAACTGTCATGTCCAGCTACAGGTCAATCAGCATCTTTACAAGTTTCTCTCCACTCATGTTTTTTTTATGTTGTAAGGCAATAGTATTTAAGAACGTTGTGAGTTGTTGTTTGTTTACGTGACACTGTCAACTCAGTCCTTCAACTTTATATTGAACTTGGATTATGCGGTTAAGTTTGTTCTGGGAAAGACAAAGGTGCAGCCCTGCAATTTATTGCACATGGCACTGCTGGCGGTAGGGCCTTCACTTCATAAACTAAATTGGAGCTTCATCATTAGACCTCCTTTGCCAGTACCAAAATGTAATAATAGGGTTTTTCCCCTTTTTATCTGGCAACAAAACTGAAACCTTTTTACGAGGATTCATGTCTGCATTAACCACAATACCTGCAGTCAAAATGCAAACAAAAAACATACTATGATAATATATGCATTGTCCTTGAAACTGATTGGTCCACACCAAGGGACGGCTTTCTTTTGAGCCTCGACCCAATTGGTGCTCGACCAGATGACGCCAAAAAAAAACAAGAGACGGCATAAACAATGCGCAACAATGACGCTCGTAACCAACATTGTTCACGAGGACAACAAAAATGCTTCGCAAAGCCTTCCACATTAACGTCCGTGGCTTACTCAAAGTTCACGGTGCCTTCCTCGTCCGACTGGTTCGCTTCATCCTCTGAGGGGTCGTTGAAGGGGTCCGAGGGCTCGGCCTGCAGCACAGGGTCAGCGACCTCCAGCACGGGGGCGATGCTGGGCCGTCTGCCGGTGCCCGATCGCTCCGCGGGCAGCGAGAGGCTCCTGCCCGCCCCCGCCTCGCTCGTCGGGCCGGCTGGCACGTGCACGTCGGCCGGAGGGGCCGCCTGGCTGGGCTCCGTGCCATGCAAGTCCATCGCCACCGAGCCTGCGGTGCGTAGAGAGGCGGGCATGGTGGTGGTGGCTCAGTTCGGGGAGGGGGGGCGGGGGGGGGGGGCGTGCGGCTGAGACGTTGGGGGCGCCTGGTGAAAAGTGCCACCCTCCCAAACCCTCCCGCTATTGTGCCAGTGGGAAAAGAGGCATTGTTGGAGCACAACTGTGATATCCATAGTATAAAAAAAATTCTGTTTTTTCCATTTTTTTATTTATTCCCACTGCATTCTGGGTTCTTTGATGACAAAAATAAAACGCGTCTGAAAAAAAATCTATTTCAGCGGCACATGGCGAGCCATCAAAAGGAGGCGCGACGAGTGGGACACTTGTATCGGCGGGAGAATGCGAACGGAGACGTTACCCAGGGAGGCGAGGATACTCTGCACGGGGATGCGAGCGCCTCTGGTAGCCGACCCATTGGAGAGGCCTTTCTTCTGCTGCTCGTGCTGCTTGAAGATGAAGGCCGAGTTCTCCTCCTTGGTGATGTTGATGTAGAAGCACGTGTCGGAGGTGGCCATGATGTGCCGGGGGCCCGGGTTCAGCAGCATGCTCCGCTTGTCCTCTTGTCGCACGCCGATCAGGCACACGCCGTACCTGTAAAAAGCAAGCGGAGCAGTTGTTTTACTAGGTAAGGCCAACTGAGCAATATAACTCTTTTTCACAAGCGACCTGGATATCACGTATGACGAAATGGCTTATCGCGTGGACATTTATAGCAGGCAAATACTCTAAAGCGAATGTTTTTAAATGCAGAGAAGAAAACTGGAAGACCCGGAGAAAAATCCACCCCACCACGGGGAGAGAGAAATGCAAACTCCAATTATATAAGCATCAGGGTTGGGATTTAACCCATGTACTCCTGTATACCAGGCAAGGTAGTTAACATCTCGCCACCGTGGTGCCATTATGGCTAGCCACTATGACTCGCGAGAGTATGGTTAGAGTGTCTTTTATTTACAGTCAGGTGAAAGGCCGTAAAAACACAATGGGCATATGAACATCGTAAAAAATTATATTATCAACAGTATGTGGAGCCGGCCCATCCCGTCTCTCTTCCACTGCGATCATAATGAGAGAACCGGCCAGGACAGGGAAGACGGATGTTATTCTACGTTGTGTATTTCTCCCCTCCCGCGTCATGTGACAGATGGAGATCTTTGAGATGCAAATACTCATTACATGGACTAAAACGACAATATATAGAGGAGGGCAGAGCTTGGGCAATTGTTGGCGCTGGCTCACCGTTCCCTGTGTTCGAGAGCAGCCGAATAGTGTGCGGCGCATTCCACGAAGTTGAAATCAGAATAATTATTAGCTCGGGTGCCCTGGCACGATTTGGCTGCGTGAACCGCTCAGCCACCACCACCACCCTCCGTGCGTTTCGTACTTCTTGTGGGAGTGGAACGCCGCGAATGTGAAGCTCTTGCCCTCGTACTCCCCGAAGAACTTGCTCTCCCCGAGCCGGATGTGGTAGATTTCGTTACCCGAGCAGCGGCCATACATCCTCTGCCACTGCTCAGGGGATTCTTGGCCCTCCCTGTCGGTGTTTCACAATCAGGGTTGAGTTTATATCGACGTAAATAATGCCTCTTTCCCATATTTGTCTGTCTGCGTAAAAGTAAAAAAAAGCACAAGCCTTCGGCCACTTGGCCTTCTGGTAATGCATCTTATCAGCAGCATTGGTTAAATACAACAAAGATCCCCCATATAGCCTTAACAGACTGTAGGGGCAAGTGCTGTTAGCGAGCACCTATGAAGGCCGGAACGGTACACGAGGGGGTGGGTGGCCAGCACCACGCCCGACCGCCTTTGTCTCCCTAGTGGCAATGTTTACACACCGCACCAGGTACTCATTTGAGGCTGAGTCGACCTAGGGGAGGCCCGGGACCGGTTCAGATAATCGTCACTGGTGTGGGCCGTGAGCGGGAATCGAACCCGGGTCGCCAGATTCATAGCGCAGCGCGCTAACCGCTACACTACCGCTCCCCACTACATGAACACTCTGGGACACACGTTTCAACATTCAGTGTCTCATCAGCAGTCAGGCTTGCTTGAAACAGTGTTGGTGACCTGCCCGATCTTTAACGGCAAGGGGCCCTTTTTGTTTATAGCTTTTTTATTTCTTCCAATAATTAAGGGCCTCCTGACACAGGCTTTTAAGTTTGTGTCTTAATTGTAATTACATCTGGAACAACAACAAATGTTTAGACTCTATCAACAATTGTTTAGATTACATCACTGCTCCGCTGTAATGCCAGCTCGTTTTTTTTTTTACTTACGAGGAGATGCAAATTGTATACAAGTGCGAGATTTGCACAGCTACAGAGAGGTGTTGGTGGACGACTTAATGAGCAAATGCAATACGATCCCGCGCATCAAAACGAGCCAATGGGGAGACAACTTACTGTCCGCGGGAGGTGTGGACTAACAGGGTGATGAGGGTGGATGTCGCTGGGCAGACGCAGTTGAGTGCCAACATGGCGTACTTGAACTCTTCCTCGCACACAACGTGGTCTGAAAAAACATGGCGACGGCAAAAGGTGATTCCCACTGAGGAGGTTTCTCGCGGTCGCGCCGAATGGCCGCTGAGTGTTCGGATTGTGCCGTGCGCTGTTCGAGTAGTTCCCGGCACGTGGAGCCGAATGTCGGGGACATCAGGCCAAACGACACTTGGTATGACCCCACAACATGTCAGAGAGCAAAGGTGCTTCGCTTACGTATAGAAGATCAACTTTACCAGCAATATCATTCAGGTTGAAGAAAAAATGAGAAAAAAAAACCGACGAATCCTGGTTTGTGCGTTAATGTGAAGCCGTACTCTCACGCATATATTTCGATAGGAAATGGAAATGCACGATAAAAATGGAGCCTATTCCATTTGTCTGTCCGTTCCTGGATCTGCGGTGCATGGGAGCGTGTGTGCCGCTATTTGGAAGCACAATAATTTCCGGTACGTGTCACAGATAAACAAATATGGCATAACAAATCAATGTAAGTATCAATGCATCAATTAAGTCCATTGAAACATTGACGGATACATTCGCAATATACACATAAAATCAAAAGATTAACTCTTGACTAACAGAGCAAGCGGAGCTGTACAAACAAGGCAAGAAAAAAACAGTACAAACGAGATGGCAAAATTGAAACAAAAAAAATCGTAGCTTGAACGTAATTGTGACTCTATCATCATCACACCATCATCATCACGATCCGTAGGCAGATAGCCCATAGGTGTCCACTGCACATTTGTTTCCACTTTCCTCTGTATTCTGTCAATATGCCACAGTCGTGGGCCACATATTTCTGGTACCAATCTCTTTTGTCGTTGTCAAGCCATTCTCTTGTTAGGCCTTACTCTCTTTCCGGTTCCTTCCATATCCCCGAGCAAAGCACTTTTAACTGCCCCCTGTTGTTGTCCATCCTACGTAGGTGTCCAAATAGTGCCAGTTTCCATATCGTGGCAATTGATCGAATTTGCTGGAGGGGAGGGAGTGGATTATTAAATGCCTACAGGTTGCGTTCCTGTGAAAATTGATTATATTGAAAGCTTTCGTGACTACAGGAATTCATATTCTTTGGGTCTTTCGGTAAAGCCACGTGGATAGAAAATAATAATAATAAAAAATAAAAATATCATGACGTTTCGATCGCAACACTGGCAATCATCATCAGGCAGCTCTCCCGCTGTATTTTTTTCACCTGATGACGATTGCTTGTGTTGCGATCGAAACGTCGTGATATTTTTTTTATTTTCTATCTTTAGCGAAAGACCCAAAGAATGTAAAAACGATGATAATCGTGAATGAGCTTGAGCATGTTCACAGGCAGTCACACGAGCGTCACGCACGGACTGCGTGTGCCTCCTTCAAAGTACGGAGCCAGGTTGACGACGGGCTCACCGACACGGAGCCGCATGACCCAAGTAATGGAGCATGAATATGCGCACTTGGGTCACCGTGACATTTGACGTCATCCGCCGAGGCGACGGCATTGCATTAAGGGGGTGCTGCCGTGAGGCGGTCGGATTGGCCGAGAGGTCGTCGCAGTGCTGAGCTTGTGCCGCTGTGAGGATCCTTAATTGCAGCCCAGGCAGCTGTCTCTGGCCGTACGTTTTCTTTAAACTGAATGATAATGCTGGAAAAGTTTCCGTTTAAATATTTATCTACGTGAAGCACCTTTGCTCTCTGATGTGCTTTCCGCTTGTTATCCAGTGTCGTTTGGAGTGATGTCCCGGCAATTCTCAGTGCGGGTTGGTATGTATGTTGAACGTCTTTCGCACAGTACGCAGCCAACCATGCTAATCAGTGGTGCGGGGGAAGGACAACAAACTAAACACACAAAAATAGTTCTCAACTGGATTCTCATGTGTAGGGAGTTGATTTCAACTAAGTCACCAATTACTGTTTAGAAGAAGAAAAACGCATCACATTAAGTTCGATACAGCAATTAATTTGACTACTTAAACAAAAATCATTAGCTGGATAATGCTCTAAAATGGAACATCTAATTAGCAAGGATGATTAAATTCCAGCTGTGAGAATTAAACATTGGTTTCACAGTCATGTGACAAAAGGGGATGTTCTGCACACTTTTTTTTTGTTTTGTATACAATTGACATTTAACACTTAACTGAGTAATAACGCCACTTCTGAGATTGCTTATATCACTTTGGCCGTGACGAGATAATCTTGCAGGAGAGTGTGTGGGAAAGTGTGCCCATGACTGCGTAAAAGGGTCAAAAGACCATACTCTTTGGTTCTATTCGGTAAAAGTCACGTAGATAAAAAATAAAATAACAAAAATCACGACGTTTCGGCCACAACACAAGTGGCCTTCATCATGTGAAGGGACCGTGCTGTCATGAGGACAGCGTTGGAGTGAAAACAGCCAAGCCCAGGTCGCGTCCTTTAAGCTGTGTGGGAGGAAGCAAAACGCTTGACAAAGGAATTAGCATAAAAATGAGCACGATGTACGTAGGAGGTGCATGGGCCATGATGGACCAGGAGCGGGTGGGGACCATGCCGGACCAGCGGTGGGGGGGGGGGAGTAGAGTGAGTGAGTAGAGTGAGTGAGTGGAGTGAGTGAGTGAGTGGAGTGAGTGAGTGAGTGGAGTGAGTGAGTGGAGTGAGTGAGTGAGTGGAGTGAGTGAGTGAGTGGAGTGAGTGAGTGAGTGGAGTGAGTGAGTGGAGTGAGTGGAGTGAGTGAGTGGAGTGAGTGGAGTGAGTGGAGTGAGTGAGTGGGGTGAGTGAGTGAGTGAGTGGAGTGAGTGGAGTGAGTGGAGTGAGTGAGTGGAGTGAGTGGGTGGAGTGAGTGAGTGGAGTGAGTGAGTGAGTGGGGTGAGTGAGTGAGTGGAGTGAGTGGAGTGAGTGAGTGGAGTGAGTGGGTGGAGTGAGTGAGTGAGTGGAGCGAGTGGGTGGAGTGAGTGAGTGAGTGGAGTGAGTGAGTGAGTGGGGTGAGTGAGTGAGTGAGTGAGTGGAGTGAGTGGAGTGAGTGAGTGAGTGGGGTGAGTGGAGTGAGTGAGTGGAGTGAGTGAGTGAGTGGAGTGAGTGGAGTGAGTGAGTGGAGTGAGTGGAGTGAGTGAGTGAGTGGAGTGAGTGAGTGGGGTGAGTGAGTGGAGTGAGTGGAGTGAGTGGAGTGAGTGAGTGGAGTGAGTGGGTGGAGTGAGTGAGTGGAGTGAGTTAGTGGGGTGAGTGAGTGAGTGAGTGGAGTGAGTGGAGTGAGTGAGTGGAGTGAGTGGGTGGAGTGAGTGAGTGAGTGGAGTGAGTGGGTGGAGTGAGTGAGTGAGTGGAGTGAGTGAGTGAGTGGGGTGAGTGAGTGGAGTGAGTGGAGTGAGTGAGTGAGTGGGGTGAGTGAGTGGAGTGAGTGGGTGGAGTGAGTGAGTGAGTGGAGTGAGTGGAGTGAGTGAGTGGAGTGAGTGAGTGGAGTGAGTGGAGTGAGTGAGTGGAGTGAGTGAGTGGAGTGAGTGAGTGGAGTGAGTGAGTGGAGTGAGTGGAGTGAGTGAGTGAGTGGAGTGATTGGAGTGAGTGAGTGGAGTGAGTGAGTGGAGTGAGTGAGTGGAGTGAGTGAGTGGAGTGAGTGGAGTGAGTGAGTGAGTGGAGTGATTGGAGTGAGTGAGTGAGTGGAGTGAGTGGAGAGAAATAAGCAGCTGTGAAAAGACCACTTGAAGTATTTGTCATGAGAAGCCATTCTCTGAGCCGTAGGGTGCACCACTCTGCAAGATTTCCAAATTGATTGAGCTCATGACATGACACGGATTGCACAACTGGAATAAATTGTGTGGGGGGGGGGGAGGGGGGGGGAAATAAAGATATTGCAAAAAATGAAAGCCACCACAAATCTATGGTACCCTAACAGTACCTGCACAAATTTCGACCGAAGCAAAAGTAGAAAAAGTAGAATCAGGACACAAACGATCGCTGCACGTGGTACAGACGAATGTGATCTAAATCAGCAATGATCAGTAGAAAAAAAACAACAACAAAAAACAAAGAAAGTGAACGGCACACAACAAAAATGTACCTGCAAACTTTACGTGGAACTTATTTTCAGGCTTTAGGATCTGCACGTAGAGAGGGCAGCTTGGAGCAAAGTCTTTGACGGCCCAAGCTCGCAGGATTGTCTGATGATCCTTCACACAGAGGCAAGGCAACAGCAATGAGCTCTGCACACACACACACACGTCATCATCAGCCAGCCATGATTTATCCACTGCTGGATGAAGGCCTCCCCAAGTCACCACCACCACTTGGGAAGGTTTTGACCACAACCGGGAATGACCGTTCTTCACGCCGGACGAAAACCGGAGTATCGGGAGCAACCCACCATGCATACGAGGGGATAGCAACTCACAGCTCTCCATAGATGCATGCTAAAAGACATATTGTGATAATGACCAACCATCTCAATTAAGGACCCACGTGAAAATAACAGCCTTGAGACTCAGTGAGGCTCTCCTCTGTGTTTACAGGGCTGGAGAAGTGTTGTAGTAATAAGCAAACTGAACTTAAAACCTGTCTACCAGGGTTCAGTTCAAGGTCATGGCTAACTTCAGTAGCGAGTGATATCTGAGCTGGACCCGAGTCCCCAATTCACAAGCCTGAATTAACCATCGTGGTGAAGTATAGTAAAAACAAACATGGCAAACATGCCCTGGGAAAGCCTTTATCCAGCCTAGCAGCGGATTAACAATGGTATTAGTGAAACATCCGAATGTGTCTATTCAATAAACGAAATTAATTTTTGACGGCACTCTATAAATCTGAAATTGCATTAGATTACATTGTTTAAACGCATTAAATCAACAGGCAATTTGCAAAACCGCACGTCGGCCATCCACCAGTGATTATCGCATTTGAGAGGAAAACACGTTCGGGATTCTTTGCCAGCAACCTGGAAGATCACCCAGGCAGACGCGCAATTTCCGGACGCGCCACACAGAGACCGCATCGCACTCTGCCTGCACACAGGGTGCTCAAGCAATGTCCCCGTTGAGCGGGTTTCCGTGAACCGCCCCGCCGCCGCCCCCGCCCGCACAGCTCCTCAGGAAGAGGCAACTTATTAAGAAGAAACGTCCCAGGCCACGCACGCAGCGTGCGATGAAAGGGAGAAGGCTTACCGCCGCAGTGCGATCCACCTCATTCCGGCTGGTCAGGATGAAGCACGCCTCCGCGTCATCGATCCTGGAAAACGCAGCGCGCAAAAACAGTCGCTCACAGTCAGGCCGGGCGTTTTGTTTTTCCTGTTTGTTGTTTTGTTCTTTCTATCTCCCCCCCCCCCCCCCGCCACTTTGCACAGAAGCGTGGTCACCACATCTACGCCTCTATATATAAGGAACGAAACAGTTCGACTTCTCCACAAATCTGTCTGTCGCCCCCGATGAAGCTAGTTGTAATGACTGGCGAAACGTTGTACTCGGCTCGTGAATGTGTGCGTCTCTTGAAGCAGACGATTGGTGCTGGATACAGCAGTCGCATTTGCGAAATGTGATTTGTAACTTTCATCCCTTACCTGTTTGTCCATAGTTCAATGTTAATGTGCCACTGTGTTGAGGGACTGCTGCTGTGTGGTGATATCTTGGTGTGGTCCGTGTTGTTGTTGCTGTTGTTGGTGTTGTTGTTTTTGCTGCCTTGCCAAAGATTTATGTAATTTGTGCATTTATTATTTAGTTACATTTCGTGACTTGATTACCTTCTTCCCCATTTTGCGCTCCTAAGCGTTTTTTTTTTTGTAACGTCTGCTGTTGTAACTTGTTGACCCGCCCCCATTGGACATCTGTGTAAAAGAGCTTTATAGCTCATCGGATTCCTCCTCCAGTATAAATATTCTGATTCTGCTCCCCCCTCCCCCGCCAACTCGTTCCCAACCCCCCTCTCTCCCGTCCCCCTTCTACCCTTTTATGTTAGCTATGTCCTCCCTTACCTTTCCCTAACCCCTTCATACAAATGTTCACTTCTCTGCTAGAGGCTCCCCCAGTAAGCCCAATCTACCGCTTTCACCAAACCCTGCCACGCCAATATTGGCGCTTTTTACTCGCGTGATTTATGCCTCCCTCCTGCCAACCCCCCCCCCCCCCCCCCCCGTAACCGGTGACTTGTACCGGTCTCTGATTGAGACATAAAGATTCAGATTCTGCTGTCGTCTCACTTGACTCGCACGAGGTCCTGGTCCTTGAGAGCGGAGCCCTGCAGGTAGATGACGCGCTGAGCCCACAGCGGCACGTGCAGCATGCGGCGCACCTGCGAGTCCATGTCCGTGGGGCACAGGATCACCGTGTAGAAGTCCTGCGTGTGTTGGATAGCGCGGCGGCGGGGGGGGGGGGGGGGGGCAGCATGGGTGAGCAGGGGGGAAGCGCAGCGGAGCCACGTGTACAACGTGATAGAGAAGAGTGGCGGAGGGGGGGGAGGGAGGGCACAATGGAAGCACAGCACGAGCAAGGAATGTGCAGGCCAGGCACACGTTGGGTAGAGGAGGACGTGGGGGAATAATGGCAGAGCATCGGGGTAACACGGTGAAAGAGCAGGGAAAGAACAGGGGGAGCATGGGGTAGGGCAGGGAAGTGCTGCGGAGAAGCATGGGGAATAATGGGGGAGCACAATGGAGAAGCACAGGTGAAACACAAGGAAGCAAGGGAGAAGCATGGTGGGAGCAAGAGACATGGAAGGATATTGGGGCATGGAAGGAGCACAGATATTTGGAGGAACACGATAAGCATAGCAGAGAATGGAACATGGGAGAAGTATAGGGAGAACAGCACCCAAGAACATTGTAGTGTTGGCCCTCGATCGATATACATCACGGCAGAGGTGATTACCCAGTGCCCACTCATTAGAGCAGCTACGCTGCGATGATACGTGTCCACGAGGTAATTGGTCTCAGTGATGAGGCAAGTCTCATCACGAGATGTACCCCAAACAATGCTTCTACTCCGACTGCAAGGCAGATGCGGCCAGTCCCTCCCTTGCACCAATGGACAATTCGGAATAGCCCCCCAATTGCGACTGCGGTCACCAGCTTAAAACTACGGACGGCATAGCAACACCGCCGCTCGCTTTGATCATTCGCCAGCAGCGTCCTTCAGGTAAGATATGGGGAGCGGTAGCAAGTATGTTGAACGTCTTTCGAACCGTACGTAGCCGACCGTGCTAACCGGAGGTGCGGTGAAAGCAGCCGTCCATTGGCTCACTCACCAACATCGACATGAACGTATAAAAAGTTGCTTACAGAGTCCTGCCACCCCCCACCACCACCCCCCCACCACCCCCCCCATTGTCATATGGAATAAAAAGCCCAACTGCTGCGCTTGCCCTTAGGGCTGCTACTGATCTCCGCGAGAGCTCCATTGATTTCATCGGTGACACCCAACAGCGGCGGCAGCAGCGGCACACGAAGGCGAACGGCTTTGAAACAAAACCGTGTATCTGATCTGTAAACAACCTGGAAAATGGATAGAGGTAGGCACACAAGGCACACTCTTTTTTTTGTTTGTGATACTGCCGCCGCAGGCAGTGATGCATCAGCGCAAACAACAAAACTCAACGCAATAATTCGTGTTGTTGTAGAGAATATAAACAACATATGGGAGACACGTCTGCTTATTTATTTTTAATGTTGTCTGATAATGATCACTTTTGAGTTGGGTTTTTATCTAAATTAGTATTTTTTTTTACATAATTTATAATTGACAAATGTGTCGAGTGTCTGTTCCCAAGCAATTTAGTATTTATTAGTTTGGAGAAAACAAGTTTGGCGAATACGATGAAGACATTGCTGCATGGCGTAGGTGCCCACATATTGTTGAATTTATTTTCACGTCAGAATGCTTTAAAACTGCGTTGCGTACAAGAATATACACACGCTTACTGCATATTCAGTCAATTAAAAACGGATTCATTTGTGCTTTCATTTGAACTTTCACCTCGGCTTTAGGAATGCCCATTGGACCATCCTAAGACTCTGAAGAACGTGAATAGTAATGCGACAGGTATTGAGGCTTAGACATTGCATTCGTTGCAGTCTTGTCAAGGCATGCCCGGCGTTCCTGATAGGATGAACATTTTAAAAAAATGTAATGGGTAGAAATTGATTTAGCATTTTAAGAATATTTTCTCCCGTGCAAAAAAAAAGCCCAAAAACTAAAGAAACGTAGCCACGTTTAAACGAGTGTCGAGTGGCGCTCACATTAAAATGTGAAACTTCCATATGTGCAGCCGTTAGGTGACCAGGGTGGGACTATTAACTCACTGCCAGACTTGAGAACCCGGCTTTAATCACAGGCAGTTTGAATTGATTCAAACCCAGGATCCCATCAGTGCCACCTGAGTGCTCAGACCTCTGAGCCTACCCACGGCCCATTGCTTGTACAATAAATACGGTAAACTACACGAATAGCGAATTACTCTTTGGTTAATTTTTTATTTAAAGCTTTCGTGACTGCAGGGATTCATATTCTTGGTTCTTTCGGTAAAGTCACGTAGAAAACCACAACACCTGATGATGATTGCTTGTGTTGCGGTCGAAACGTCGTGATAATTTTATTGTTTTATATTTTTATTATTTTATTGTTTCCCTTCTACGTGACTTTACCGAAAGAACCAAGAATATTCTCTTTGGTTCTTTCGGTAAAGTCACGTAGAATATAAAATCAAATAATAATAGAATACGACGTTTCCATTGCAACACAAGCAACCATCATCAGGTAAGAATGAATGATGAAAACACAGACACGGAAACAACTAGGGCAGACACACATGCAGAGAGAGAGACACACACAAAGACACACCGAGCAAGACACACGTCCTTCTGTTTGTCTTGGTGTGTGTCTCGCTCGGTGTCTCTTTCCGTGTGTCTCTCTCTCTGCATGTGTGTCTGCCTATGTTGTGTCCGTGTCTGTGTTTTCATCATTCATTCTCTCCTGATGATGGTTGCTTGTGTTGCAATCGAATAAGTGGTATTCTATTATTATTTTATTTTCTACGTGACTTTACCGAAAGAACCAAAGAGTAACTCCTGCAGTCACGAAAGCTTCGAATCTAGTTTGAATAGCGAAATCGCTCACGAATTCTTCGACTGATATCTAAACTACGCGGCGCGCACCTGCAGACGAGGGTGAGCGTAGAACTCGTTGAGGAAGTCCATGAGGAGGTCGAGCTTCAGCGAGCTCACGCAGAGGACAACGTGCTTCTCCGTCTGCGCTCTGTAGCGGCTGTAGTTGCCGCCGGACTTCTGCCGCTCCATGTACAGGTAGACCAGCTCTTCGAACTAACACAGGGTCAGAGCGGAACACAGTGCATCGATGATCTCGCCGAGCAGCATACACCGCCACGTGAACTCTGGTCATCCTCACAGCCGCTTTTGTCGAGCCATCGAACAAAGTTACCGCATCGTGCGCTTTCAGACGCGCTTCTGCGGCCGTCTGGAACGCTCTTCCTTCCGATATTAGGAAGTCACTGGAGCTGTGCACTTTTAAGTGATCTGGATTCAAAACTAATTTCTGTTTAGCTGCTTTTGTATTTAGTGTGTTGTCCTTTCCCCCGCACCTCCGATTAACATGGTTGGCTACGCACGGTGCAAAAAAAAAGTTCAACATGCATGCATACAACAAACGATTGGGCAAAGCGTTAACCGCTGCCCACCCAAGACCACTGAACGGCAGCGACAACCAGCGACACCTAACATACAGCACTGGTTCCCAAAGTGTGGTCCCCGGACCGGTGATGCCGGTGACACTGCTCTTATTTGGCACAGCCTCTTGAATATGTGGTTGTTTTTTTTATTTTCTATCAATCCACACTGCACTGTATTGTATGCAATCCTCTTTTGCTTAGTCGGTTGGTTTGCTCACCACATCTTCAATGTTTTCGGAGTAAAAAGGAAAAACAATCAAATCATCTCCACACTCAAGGGAGTGTCCAGTGGTACTCATCTTTCTTGGTGGCCAAGAGCTAGCGGTGGGAATTCCTCATTCAATTGCCAGGGGTCATTATCTCCGCAGGAGAAGAACAAAGTGCTCCTCCTGTTACCGACCTGGAGTGGGACATCACTTGATTTTCAAATATGATAGGCGCATTTGCGTGCTCTTTCCAATATTATGCCTTGTTAATTTGAGGAACCCCCCGATGAAAGCGCATCTTGTGATATTGCGAATGCATATTGAAAATTAAAATAATTTGCAGTGACATCCTGGACACTGTGGCGATGAGAATGTGATGCCCGACCACTCCAACGTTGTTGCCTCGAGCAAACGAGCTTAGGACAGGAAGAACCGACTGCAATGGTTTTTTTTGTGGTAGTGCTGCACGCCTCTCCAATGTGTTTTCGGGTTGTACCGCATCTTGTTCGGCACGATGTCTGCACTGAATTGTTTCTGCAGCTGAATAAAACTCCCGAGTACGTGGAGCGAAACGTTGGACGGCATGCTAACAACAACCAGAAAGTACATCGGAATTTGAGAACGCCTTTCGTTCTTTGCTTGACTATGGGAGAGAACACATTAATAATTGCGAACGTGAGCATTTAATGGCAATTGTGTTTGACATTTGCCTCATGGGCAGTGAATAAAGTGAGAGAGAGAGCGAGAGACACAGCAAACACAAAGAAAATACTTTCCATGCACTTAAGCTTGCACGAGGGTACAGGGTTCATTGCTCCACGACAAGAGAGCACTGCCCTGATGGCCTGGCACACTCTGATGCGTAATCTTCAATGGTAAATTGCATTGTGCAACAAACAGCGCCGGGTTGGCTATTGATTACCCGTGCCACGGTGGTGGCCGTGCTTTGTGACGTGTGCGTTTGAAGTCTAATAACACTGTGTGGGAGTGCGCCCGTGAAGGCGCTTTATAAATGTACCGCACGTCCAGTACTTCACCGTTGCCACCGAATGACACATGTTTCCGTACCGGGTGCGAGGGGCTGCCTTACTCAAAAAGGGGCTTTGAGGAAAGGTGCGTTGGTATTAAATTAAACATTTTAACTATTATTATTTCAGGAATAGGTTTTACCCTTTTAACTTGCACAAAAACTGACACCTTTATTCAAGGCATCATGTTTGCAATATCCACAACACAAGCAGTCAAAATGCAAACAAAAAAGACAACTCTGATAATAATATGCACTGTCCTTGAATTTGATTGGTCCACGCCCGAGACGGCTTTTCTTAGAGCCTAGGCCCACTGAGCTATATAGCTCTTTTTTCAGCAGTTAGCTGGCCACAGACGACAGCTCAACGAAGTGGCAGCCAAATAATCGGAACGCACGTTGATTCTAAATGTGGAGAGAAAAACTGGAGGACATGGAGAAGAATCCACGCGACGATGGGGAGAGAGGCATGCAAACTCCAAATATACAGCGCATCAGGGTCGGCATCAGGTCCCACGACCTCCTGCAAACCAGGCGAGGTTGTTAACATCTCGCCACCGCCGCGGCGCACACTGCGAGCGAGCCGCAGAAATGTGCACAGCACAGGATCCGCTTGTGTCGGTGAATATACGTTGGGTGGCAATATTCAAACGTCAAATTTGCGGGTGCAGCATGCTTAAGGTAGGCTTGCAGCATTACGTCCGATGGACGTTGTGTTTGACAACACCGCACTCCTTGCAGTGCATTAAGCTTAGGTCCAAATGCGTCTCCAAAATGTCTTTCGGAAAGAGTGAATACAATTCTAGGTTTGCCGTTTTCATGTTTAATGACACGATGAATGGTGACTGGCTGCATACAATAGTGGATAGTGACAGAGAGAACACTATATTCTTAGCTCTTTCGGTAAAGTCACGTTGGGGAAGGGGGAGAAAAATTATCAAACATCAAACACTGGACGGGATTGGAAGCTATCTCAGGCGGAAGATGCGGAGACGGACAGAGGGAAGTGGAGAGACAGACCACGGGAATAAAAGTTATGCTCAACTCAATAGAAATAATAATAATGGAATAATGTTTGTATACGTGTCATTGACTGTTTGCTATATATTCCTGGATACCCATGCAAACAAGAAGTTCCATCTCAAGGGATTATCCAGGTTAATGTGCTCGAATAAATACATAAATACCCCAACTGCCCAAAAAGGCCGACACTAAAATAAGAACGATTATTTTCCAATTGTCACTGAATTTTTACTCAGAAATAGGAAAAATTACTCAATTGAATAGGTGAGTGGTTTACCATTTTCCAACATGTACGTGCTTCTCGTTAATGGTCACTACCATTCCCTTGTGTTGTGATTAATGCGTGGGTTTTATCAGCAGTCTTAAAATTGTATAGTGATCCCTCGGTTTACGATGCCTTCGATTAACGATATATCGATTAACGATCCGCATCAATGTGGTGCCATTGTTAACGTAATGTTTTACGATATCACGTGGCTGCCAATTTGGGCCAACTGGAAGATTCCTGAAGTGACTCACCAGAGCTCAGCCAACCCCAACTGCTCCATCAACCCCTTAAAAAAAGCCATCCATCTTCTTAGCCTAAGGTAGAAATTGTTATTTCATGCTCTATTTGTGCATCTTTTTATGCTATATTTTTTTTAAACATTAATATTAATGCTTTAATATGTTCTTATGAGGTTCATTTATTAAATTGCGTGTTTAACTATTATAAACTAAAGACTTCCGCTCTGTAAACTTCAGATCATCTTGGAACAAATCAAACCTTTAACATGTATTTCCTACATTCGATTAACGGTATTTTCAATTAAAGATTGGTTGTCGTAGAACCAATTAATATGATAAACCGAAGGACCACTGCACTGTATTTGCCTGTGATGTTGCACACAACCCACCTGCCCATTATCGTTTCCATTTAAAACATATTTGCTGCATCATAAATGCATGTATTCAATCAAATATAAAGGATGCGTACATTTGTATTCCCTTCACAAGAAAGGTAAGGCATTTTAATCCGCCATATTGGTTTGGCCAAATAACTTCTATTCAAATAAACGCCACTTGCTCGAATGAGTGATGTTTATTCGTTCCCGTGAACGTCAACCCACTTGTTCCTCCACCCTTGTTGAGGCCTCAAGTCGACCAGACCACTGACTGTTTTCATCTGATCCACTCTGTGTTCAACCACCACCATCACCACCACACTGCGGGTCACAGAGCAACATCTTTCTGCTTCTCCCATCACACGTGTTTTTTTTTTTACCAGGTGTGCAGCTTCTTTGTCAGAAGCGACCCGACGACAAACCATGTCTCTCAGAAAGTGGCTTATCATCACGTGCACATTTATAGCAGCCAAATGCTAAATGTGGAGGGAAAAACCGGAGGACCCGGACAAAAATCCACGCGACCACGGGGAGAACACGCAAACTCCAAAAAAATACAGGCGTCAGGGTTGGGATCGAACCCACGGCCTCCTGTATTCCAGGCGAGGTAGTTAACATCTCGCTACTGTGGCACACTGTACCACTTTCAAAATACACCCCACCAGCTCTTTTATTACGTTTTGACAACCTTGCTCAATTCGAGGGACGTATTAACTCTGATCCATGACACATTCAATAGCGCTGTTTGTTGCTGGTCGCTTGGCATTTTGGGCAACGGTGATTTAAAAAAAAAGCATACAAAATAAATGTTGTTCTTGCGTACGATGGCAACATGCTCAGGAGATGAATGCCATTTTCTGGTATGGAGCTAAATGCATGCAATAGATTGATATAAGTTTTCCAAGTAATGAATTGCCTCCCCTGCCATCAGATGAATTGTCAAGATTCGGGGGGGGGGGACATGATTCAATAACTAAATATTATTTCCACGTTTCGGTGATTGCAGCGCCTCCATTGAATACAGGGAATCACAAAAAACCCATTACGATTGTGAGTGCGGCAATCAATTGTAACTGAACAATCGATGCAGAGTAATAACATTTACGAGATTTTTTTTTAAAGACAAATTATGTTTTATCTAACATTGTTTTCTTCGGACCAATTTTGCCTTCGTGTTGACGTTTCGTGCAAGGGAGGCTCTGAGAGGAAGTGTAAAACAAGAATGGCATTGAAACACAAAGGGATTTGACAGCGATAAATCAAAAGGCTCTTTCCCTCGTGCCTCATTTATTTCTGCCGTTCTCCTGCTCTGGGAACTATTTGCGATTAACCTGTCAGAGCCAATCATATAATATAGATTGTCTACGCGTTATTGTGGCACCTAAACGTTCGTAATTTTTTTTTTATTACTTTATATTTCTACCTCGGGAAATTCTCTGGACGTTTGCGTGAGTGAGTAACCTGAAGGTTGTTTTCACACGGTGCCGTTAGGGCGTCGCGGTGGCTAGGCGTTAACTACCTCGCCTGGTATACAGGAGGCTGTGGATTCGATCCCGACCCTGACACCTGCTGCTGTATATTTGGAGTTTGCGTGTCTCCATCCCCGTGGTCGCGTGGATTTTCCTCCGGGTCCTCCGATTTTCCCCTCCCCGTTTAGAAACACGCGTTTCGAGGAGAGTATTTGGCTGCTAGAAATTCCCCACGTGACAAGCCACGTCGTTCTACGATCGTTTGTGGCCAGGTCACTTCTGAAAACAGAGCTTCATAGCTCAGTGGAACTTACCTGGTAAAATACGAAAATAGTCTAAACAGTTTAATGTGATCACGTGCAACTGTGTAGGTTTGCGCGCTTGTGCTATGGCTCTCCGGTGTGCTTTTGGTGTTGTATTAAGCGTTCGGACGGTACAACTTTTCACCCCACATGCTGAGAGCTTCTTCAGGCAAGCGAACACTCTATTCACATTCGGGAACTCACCACTGTACGAATATTTAAAACGCAGCATCTCAGCCGTGCTCTCGCATGGTAACAGCCCAGCTATTATTTTCTTACGCGACTCCTGGAAATTGGGCCTCCACTCGAGCGATCGCTAGACAGGCCCTCTCGAGGGTATTTGGCCTCCTCTTCTACACTGTCCACACCGCTCGGACGACGTGGAAGCGCCTACACCAGGGGTCGGGAACCTATGGCTCGCGAGCCAGATGTGGCTCTTTTGATGATTGCATATGGCTCGCAGATAAAACAAAATATTCTCACTTGTTTTAATCCATCCATCGATTTTTCACTGCGCATGTCCTGTTCAGGGCTGCAGGAGCAATTGTCCATTATTTTAATTGGATGATACTGGCCTACGTTTGCCGTTGCTGGGTAAAACAGGTAAACACCCCCTTTTGAATCAGTCTGAGACTGCGTCTGCTCGGTCATTAGCTCAAAGCTAACCCTTCGACGAAGAAGATGGCGAAAAGAAAAAAAGACGACGAGTATCGTACATTTCAGGACGAATGGACCGAAGAATTCGCCTTTGTGGAGAGAGCGGGTTCTGCGGTGTGTCTAATTTGCAATGACAAAATTACATCGTTGAAACGGTCGAATGTAAAGCGGCACTTCGACACGCGCCACGCTACCTTTGCATCAAAATACCCTGCGGGAGACAGCAGAAAGAAAGCGTGCCAAGAGCTTCTGAGCAGGGTGCAAGCTAGCCAGCAGCAACTCTGCGTATGGACCCGGCAAGGTGACTATAATTCGGCTAGCTTTGCTGGTTCTTTAGCAATAGTGAGGAACGGAAAACCATTCACAGATGGTGAGTATGCTAAAACGTTCATGCTGGATGTAGCCAATGAACTTTTTGATGATCTTCCGAACAAAGACAAGATAATCAAACGGATACAAGACATGCCTCTGTCGGCAAGAACTGTTCATGATCGTACCATCGTGATGGCAAACAAAGTGGAGGAAACGCAAGTGAAGGACATAAATGCAGCGCCGTTCTTTTCTCTGGCTTTGGATGAGTCAACAGACGTGAGCCATTTGTCGCAGTTCAGCGTGATTGCAAGATATGCTGTTGGTGACACACTGCGCGAAGAAAGTCTTGCTGTTCTGCCATTAAAAGGGTCCACAAGAGGTGAGGATTTATTCAAGTCTTTCATGGAGTTTGCTCAAGAAAAAAGTCTACCTATGGATAAACTTCTCTCAGTGTGTACTGATGGTGCTCCGTGTATGGTGGGGAAAAACAAAGGATTTGTGGCGCTTCTCCGTGAACATGAAAATAGACCCATCCTAAGTTTCCATTGCATTATACACCAGGAGGCACTTTGTGCTCAGATGTGTGACAGGCAGTTTGGCGAAGTGATGTCGCTGGTCATTCGTATGATCAACTTTATTGTTGCCCGAGCCTTAAATGATCGCCAGTTTAAAACACTGCTGGATGAAGTTGTAAATAACTATCCTGGTCTGCTTTTGCACAGCAATGTGCGTTGGTTGTCAAGAGGGAAGGTGCTTAGCCGTTTTGCGGCTTGCCTGAACGAAATCCGGACTTTCCTTGAAATAAAAGGCGTCGGGCATCCTGAGCTAGCCGACACCGAGTGGCTCCTCAAGTTTTACTATCTCGTAGATCTGACTGAACATCTGAACCAGCTCAACGTGAAAATGCAAGGCATTGGAAATACAGTGTTATCCCTTCAACAAGCTGTATTTGCTTTTGAAAACAAGCTGGAGCTTTTCATCACGGATCTTGAAACAGGTCGTTTACTACATTTTGAAAAACTGAGCCAATTTAAAGATGCATGCACAGCAAGTGAGCCCATTCAAAACCTTGATCTCCACCAGCTAGCTGGCTGCACATCCAGTCTCCTACAGTCCTTCAAAGCACGCTTTGGAGAATTTCGTGAGCACACTCGTCTTTTTAAGTTCATCACCCATCCAAACGAGTGTTCACTGAACACAGCCGACCTGAATTACATCCCTGGTGTCTCCGTCAGAGATTTTGAAGCAGAAGTGGCTGACCTGAAGGCCTCAGACATGTGGGTGAATAAGTTCAAGTCACTGAATGAAGATTTGGAAAGAATCACACGACAGAAAGCGGAGTTGGCGAGCAAGCACATGTGGACAGAAATGAAAAAACTCCAACCCGAAGACCAGCTGATTCTCAAAACTTGGAACGCGCTTCCTGTCACATACCACACACTGCAGCGTGTGAGTATTGCTGTATTGACCATGTTTGGATCTACGTATGCATGTGAGCAGTCATTCTCACATCTTAAAAACATCAAGTCCAACCTACGATCACGTTTAACGGATGAAAGCCTCAACGCTTGCATGAAGCTTAACCTCACCAAGTACCAACCCGACTACAAAGACATCAGCAAATCCATGCAGCACCAGAAGTCGCATTAATGGTGAGTGTTATAACAACATTATTTAAAAGAATAAATTCAGAGGCTTATTATACTGACATTTAGTTGAATTCACTTTTAAAATATATTATATGGCTCTCACTGAAATAAATTTCCAAATTTTTTGCTTTCATGGCTCTCTTAGTCAAAAAGGTTCCCGACCCCTGGCCTACACTTTATCCCACCACGCACACCCTGACAATTGTCTGTAGCGCACCTATTTGAACTATTGGGTGGACAGAGGCCAGTAGATTGAATAAAAAAAAACGTACCCATTGTTTCAACTGAATGTTGTGGCGGTACTCTCTGGTTCTTTCGGTAAAGTCACGCGGATAGAAGAAGAAAAATAATAAAAGAACACGACGTTTCGGTCGCAACACAAGCGTCCGTCAACAGGTGAGAAATAATGATCTGCTGTTGTGGCTTTATATAGGCACGGAAGGGGGGGGGGGAGATGGGGGTTTGTAGATTCTTGGCTGCAGGAGTTCACGGGCGGGGAAAAGGGGGGAGGGTTTTTGGCGTGCAGGGACGGGTGGGGGCTGGAGAAATTAGCATGTCCATGTGCTTGAAAATCTACGTGACTTTACCGAAAGAACCAGAGAGTATGGATTCCTGCAGTCACGAAAGCTTCAAATCAAGATTGTTGTAGCAGTCACAGAAAATCCCATACCCGAGATCCCACGTGGCTTACAAATGTTCCGTGTAACAGTGCGTAGCGTTCCAAAATGGAACCTGACACTGCTTAATGACACGTGCCCGTTAATGGTGCAAAGAAAGCCAAGGGATGGGATGTGCCGTGAACTGGGTCACGTGCTTGTAAAATGGTGTGCACCACGCTCGCTCTGCAGACATCTCCATCATCATCATCAAAACTAATGTTGGTGGGAGGCCATCGAGACAAAAAAGAACCCCTATAAGGCCCATAATCGATCATGTGAAACCATAGCCAGTCAAACATCGTCGTCTTCAAGCTGCCATGCAAGGTCAAACATTATATTTGTGGCCACAATTATAATCAGAAGCAAATGTTAATACATATATGGTAGCACACACCCACAGTACAGTATCAGTTGCCTATATGAGGTTGTAAGGGTACATTTGTACTTTGCAGAAAAGTTAAGTTGCGCAGACCTCTCACCTTTGTACGTTTGGGTGGGTTAGGCTCCATGAGCTCCAATTGAAAAAATGACATTTGTCTTTTTATTTAAAAAAAATCCCAATTATTATCCTGACTGTGTTATTGACGTCGTGCCATCAGACGAAGAATCCATTCAGAACTCTTGCTGAGGGCCACAGAAGGAGACATCGGGGGAGGGGGGAAATCGATTGACTTGTCTTTGTTACGTGTGTTAATGGTCAGTGCATCGTGAGGATGCGGCGTCACGGCGTCGTCTGCACGTGCCTCGACTAATTCTTCGCGTGAGACGTGAACGGCATGGCCCGGTTTCTGCAGTGGAAAATGGTCGGGTTGGCTTGGCACGGCCCCCAGCTGTTTGGCTCTAAACTAAACTATTATTTTATTTTACCAGGTAAGGCCCACTGAGCTATATAGTTCTTTTTCAGAAGCGACCTGGCCACAAACGATAGCTCAACGAAGTGGCTTATCACGTGGAAATGTATATCAGTAGCCAAATACTCTAAATGCACGTTTCTAAATTGTGCAGGGAAAAACCGGAGGACCCGGAGAAAAATCCATGCGACCATGAGCAGACAGAGACATGCAAACTACAATTATACAGCAGTCTCGATTTAAAGCTTTCGTGACTGCAAGGATTCATCTTCTTTGGTTCTTTCGGTAAAGTCACGAAGCTCTGTCGTCCCGACAGGTTTGTTCCTTTCACCTGAAGAAGGCCACTTGTGTTGTGGCCGAAACGTCGTGAGAATTTTATTGTGTTATTTAATTTAATTATTTTATTCTCATTCTACGTGACTTTACCGAAAGAACCAAAGAAGATATACAGCAGTCGTCCGGGTCGGGATTGAATCCACGACCTCCCGTATACCGGGCGAGGTATTTAACATCTGGCCACCGTGGCGCCCCGGTTGTACAGCGAGCGCCAAAAGAAAAGCGTCTCACCTGCACGGGCAGCACCATGAGCGCCACACAGATCATGATGACCACAAGCAGCTGGGACGGCCAGATCTTGGGCAGCACGTCGCCGAATCCCACGGTGGAGAAGGTGACGATGCAGAAGTAGAGCGACCTGAAGAGGGAAATGTTCTCGGCCGCTCTCTCCAGATGCTGGAAGCCGCAGATGCTGCTCGTGGTGGGGGAAGGGCAGGGTTGGCGACGTCCGAGGGAGTTACAGTTCGGCGCCAAGTGGCCGGTGAAGGAGGGGGCGGGGGGGCGGGGGTGACGAGAGATCAAAAAGTTCGGTTCAGAGAAAGGAAAGCGATCGAAGCGCGGGCAAGACGACGTCAGTGGTGCAAGCAGCGGGGGAGATGTAACAATATGGGAGACAATAGAAACAGCGAAAGATCGTCGCTATTATTGATTTAATTAAGCGGGTAACACCTGCTGAGCTGTGAGCAATTGTTTTGAGAAGCGACCTGACCACAAATGAGCGCTCAACGGAGTGGCTTATCACGTGGACATTTATCCCGGAAGACAAATACTTGTCGTCATGGCCCAAAGCCGTTGATGCCACCACACTTGCCGACGCTTCGTGCCCTCGACCAAAGCCAGCAGCGACTGCACAAGAGAGGCACGTGACCTCCAAGATGCGTCCTTACAATATCCCACCATTTGGTCTCGAGGTCTTGGTCTTGGTCGCTGAACTCATTGGGCAGATTACCCCACTGTCTGTGTCTAAAACACAAACGCGTAATGCTTCAAGCATTCTTACTGCGTCTTGCACACACGGTTTAATTCACAGACGCACTTTTTGGTGAAGTGTGGTCATTTGCTTAACTCAATGGAGCGTCGCTATACCCCTACAGCATATGTGCTACCGTTATTCTGACGAAGAATAATTCGAAGTTGGCGTTGGAGTAAGCCAAATGGTAGACAGATTAACTGTTATGCATTCATGTACAGCAAATTAGATACAATGTCCCACAAAATAATGATGATACTTTAATTGCTTCTTAGTTAAATGGACAAATTACTGAGCTCTATTAAGCCAAGAAAGGCTTGTATTGTGTCTTAAGATGTCTGTGAATTTGTCTTCCAAAATCGAACGCAGGCATAGCCATCCCATTTGCAAAACTACATTATGTAATCTCTCCCAGTGGTAACCACGGCTGAATAAGCACGTGAGCGAGGCAGAGAAAGCCAGTATCACCGAGGCAGGCCGCTCACTCACACCTTGGGTGCGATACCGCAGTGAGTCTATGTATACCGCAGCAATTCATATTGCGGTCACAGAAAATGCCGCTCGCCATCTTAGCGATTTGTCTTTGTGTGTGTGTGTACGTTGAACTTCTTCTGCGCTGTACGAAGCCAAACGCGCTAATCGGAGGTGCTGGGGGGTGGGGAAGGACAACAAACTAAACACAATAAGCAGTTGTAAAGAAATTTGTTTCTAATCTAGAATGCGTTTTCAATCTTTACAACGAATGTAATTTGCGAGGACTTACGTTTAGGGGCTACCCACCCCCCTCGTGTGCCATGCCGCCCTTCATAGGTGCTCGCTAACAGCATTTGCCCCAACAGCCTGTTAAGGCTATATGGGGGGGCCTTTGTCTGTGCGCAAAAATAGTAAGACGTTTATGGACACATTGATCGTTTCTGCTCAAATGGAAACTTAGGCTCGCAAAACACTCAACGAATCATTATTGTGAGAATGGATAAAAACAAGTTTATGCTAATTAGATTAATATAAATGTACTACATTTAGGCTATTGGACTGAATAAAACTGTAGAAATTACATGAAAAAAATATTTTAAAATGACCGATTGCTGAACCAGGAAATTGTATGGAATCCTTTAAGAGTGAGTCATGATATACCTAATATATCTAATATACCGCACATATAAACATTGTTTGTATAGAAATGCAAAACGTTGTCTTCACTGTGACCAATCTCAACGCTTTAGACAAATTTAAAAATTAAGAGCGTAAAGTTAGACCGACCTCATCGCGCACACACACACACCTACCAGATCACAATATGCACCACCAACCTTTGCTTTCACATACTATACATGGGGAAAAAGTGCAATACAATTCAGTGAATATGGTATATATATAATGTGTTTCCCCATAACCGAGGGAGAAATTAGTTTACGCTTATCTCCATTGGTAGTCCCTGAGCCACATCCCTGCGGCAGAGATAAGTCTCTCCATGTGACAACAACCGTCAAGCCTCTTCCATAAGGTGGCAGTCATTGCACTTATGGATTAGCACAGAGTGCAAGTGGCTAGAATTCATAGAGTTCAGCAAGCTGAAGAACAAATCAGCCTCGACAGAAACGTAACTACCTCATTGCATTGCATGGCAGCGCCTGGCTGAATATTGGTCAATTCTGAGCTGCGTCCGTGTCCCCACCAAAACGCAACGCGCGCTTCCCACCACCACCACCACCACCACCTCCTCCTGTGCGTCATGAGTGACTCACAATGTGAACATGAGGCAGAACAGTGTGCAGATCAGGATGAGCACCTGGTTAAACATTGCTGACTGCGTCCTCTGGATGGCTCTGTGCAGGTCATTCTGTGGGGACAAGGACGAGGGTGGAGAAGGAGGAAGACGAGAAAGAGGGGAGGAGAGGACACGGTGTGACTGTGTAGATCTAGGCGGTTATGCTGTCTAGCTTGCAAACGTGTTTTCAGGTTGTATAGAGCTTTCTATGAGTACTTTAGAATTGTATTCTTCTCCCAGACGGGCTGGATACACCATATCGGCTGGCACACATCTGGCAACGCTGTATAATCGAGTGAGAAAGTGACTGTACTATTTATTTATTTTATTTTACCAGGCAAGGCCCATTGAGCTATCGAGCTATTTTTCAGAAGCGACCTGACAACAAATGATTGCCCAAATAAGTGGCTCATCGTGTGGAAATCTGTAGCAGCCAAACACTCTAAACGCACGTTTCTAAATGTGGAGGGAGAATTGGAGGATACGGATAAAAATCCACGCGACCATGGGGAGGGAGAGCATGCAAACTCCAAATATACAGGAGTGAGGGTCACGAGCTCCTATACACCTTGGCGAGGGAGTTAACTTCTCGCCACCACAGCGCCCAAGTGAGCTGCTCAGACCAGTGAAGGAAGAAGTCCCGAGCACGTGCAGAAAAGAAACGCCGGACCTCGTGGCGAACGGCACGCGGCACTAACCGAACACACGAGACGGGGAGCTATGAGAGGGTGGGCACCGATGGCAGTGGTTGAACCTTTCGACTACGTAAACGCACCTCGCTTGCCCTTGGTCATGAGCAAAACAAAAATATAAATCGATGGCATTTTGCCGATTTTGGGAATCGCACGTTGCACCCCTTGGATGGCAGGTTATTGCGGAGTGCAAATTGTGCGGGAGAACGCGGCGGTGGAAAAAAATAACTCGGGTAAATTTGGCCGTGGAGAACGATCGCATTAAATCTCGTAGGCGGTGTAAATGAGGGTTGGGGAGCATGCAAGTGGTAATTGTTCTTTTTTTTGTATTGCTGAGTCCATCTATTGAAAACTTGTGAGCATGAATCACAATACAATAATACACTTTGGAATTAACAGAGCATTCCGGTTTGATTCCAGCAGGCCCGGACCCGATTATTGCCCTGGGTGCGTTAACCAGAGAATGAGTGTCGTTCACAGTGGATGTTAAATATCCTGTGACATCATTCGAAATGAGTAAGCCGTTGTGTGCCAGCCTCGTGGTTCAAATTCTAAATAACGACCCGCAACTTGGATTACACAAATCAATCGCGTGTGTATGAATGTTGAACTTCTTTCGCACCATACGTAGCCAACCGTGCGAATCGGAGGTGCTGGCAGACTAATGCCCAATTGCATGCCAGTGCTTAGTCGCCTTGTACCCCATGAGGACAGCTACCACTGGGGGTGCCCTGAAAATGTTTGGATTTAGATGCGATGAGCTCATTGGATTCCTCCTGCAGTTTAAATATTCTGATTGTGGTATAGTCTAACTGCTTACGTACATCTACGCTTAGACATTAAGTAACTTTCTGCACGGGGGATATATGCAGGTATCTCATCACACTGAGATGAGGCTGGTAAGTGCTGAGCTATGAAATCATACATTTTTCGCCTGGAAGAATACAATACCGTGCTTGCCGAACACAGCAATCAGTGGCGTGTGAAGAAGCACACAGCAACTTAAGGAGGGAGAACGTTGCTGTGAAACTGCAGAAACAAACAATGACGATGGATATATGCTGCGCCCAGAGCAACCACGCGTGAGTGTGTCCATGCACTTGGGTGGGCAGTGGTGGCACAGTGGTTAGCGCGCTCCGCTATGAACGCGGCAACACGAGTTCGATTCCCGCTCACGGCCAACAACTCGTGAAAATGTTGTCAACCGGTCCTTGGCCTCCCCTCGGTCGACTCAGCCTCAAATGAAAACCTGGTGTGGTGTGTAAGCATCGCCACTGGGGAGACAAAGGCGGTCGGGCGTGGTTCTGGCCATACACCCCCTTTGTGTACCGTGCTGGCCTTCATAGGTGCTCGCTAACAGCACTTGCACTAACAGTCTGTGAAAGGCTTCATGGGGGATCTTTGTGATTTTATGGATGAGAGTTACCGCCATGGTACAATATATTGTACGGTATGAGGCCCACAGTAATCGTGTACTGTCCGAGTTGCACAATCTCGTGAAATAGTGATTAAATTTTGCTCCTTTGATATTGCTTAAATATTTTATTGCGTAGCTAAATATTCGCATACATATTTTTTTAAATATCAAATGTGCATAATTAGATTTCCACATCTGTGGATATTGCCCATTGAAGTTTTTAAGTGCAAGCGGTCTCGGGGAGCAGTTGACGGCATGGTGGTTATGTAATCCGTCTTTTATAACTGAATGGACACGCATTACTGAGTTGTAGCATGCCATAAGGAAGACTATGGCTGGCTTTTGTTGAGGAAACTGAGGTTAAAACACTTTTGAAGTAATTGTTTATGTCTCTGGAAGTACAAAAAAATACTCTAAAAATGCTAGACGTAATTAGAGTGAAAACATGATATCACGCAGGCAGCAGGGGACATGAATATAGTTTACCCACATTACAATTGGAACTGTATGCGTGTGTCTCCATGTCTCTGTGTGTGTCGCTGTGTCTGTGTATGTCTGTGTGTATCTCTGTCTCTCTGTGAGAGTGTATTCTTATCAGTGGGTGTCTGTGTGTCTCTGTCTCTGTGTGTTTCTCCGTGTGTGTGTGTCTCTCCGTGTGTGTGTCTCTGGCACAAGCGTCGTGGTGATATCACCGCCACTTAGTGGCGAATGGCGGTTGTTGTTGTGTCTCTGTGTGAGTCTCCATCTCTATGTGTGTCTGTGTGAGTCTCCATGAACTTGACCCGTGGTATATCCAAATCTAAGGTGTGATCATCTGTGTTGTATTGGGCTTTTACTCGAAAAACTTACGGAAAAATCTCCGTGAAATCGAACATCATTTCGCATCATGGAAACAACGTCGTGGCAATCCTAGCGTTTTTATTTCTGAATTTATTTCGTCGTGCGCTGATGCATGAGGGCATCACGAACGAACACTCACTATTAGGTTCTGAAGGGCAATCTTCGCCAGCCAGCAGTTGAGAAAAACTGGGATGAAAATGTTCCGAAGGTTTGCCCAAAAAATCTGCAAAGATAAAAAAAAATCAAAAGCGTGACGTTCAAACGCTCGGCGGACGTAATGAAGCGCTGCGATTATGTTGCCTGTCATCGCATAACCTGGGCTAGGTGGCCAGCAGAGGGCTGTGTGCCAAAATCAACCGTTGTATTGTACTGTGTTGCAATGCCATTGCTCCCCGTATTCAACCAGCACTCACCAGCTTTGGTGAAGTACTGAACTATATATTTTGTTTTACCAGGTAAGGCCCACTGAGCGATACAGATCTACTTACAGAAGCGACCTTGCCACCATCGCAAATAATAGCTCGACCAAAGTGGATTCTCACGTGCAAATGTAGAGCAGCAGCCACATACTCTTCACACATGTTGATTTCGATTTTAAATGTGGAGGGAAGTAAACGGAGAACCCGGAGAGAAAGCCATGCGACCACGAGGAGAGCGACGTGTACACCTGCACAGTGTGGTGAGGCCCTCATGCAGCGGTGGATTGACGAAAAAAGGGGTTGCTCTCCAAGTGAAACAAACTTTAAGATGTCAGGAGCATTTTGGTCTTCGGGCCTTCAAATGCCGAGCACATGGACATCTCCTAACTTCACCACCCACCTTGTAGGGACCGAGTCTTTGTGCTGCAGTGAACCACTGATTATGCCGATTAGATGTACTAATGTCTGGTATGGCTGTTGCTCTCACAATTGCATCCAATAAAAAAAACACGTGAACCGCTGCTTATGTCGAGTATAGCCAGTAACCGATACACAACACAGGTACCCAAAAGTCATGAACTGATGAAGGTCAAATTGCCACTGTAGGTGGGCAGCCACAGCTGAGACACATCAAGCTAAACCAACTGAATTCCGAAATTGGCAATTTCCACTTCACTTTGTTAAACACGCATTTTATCGGACACTTACGAAGCATTTTATAACTCTCATCTCGCCAGGACGCGGTGAATGATGGGCTGAGTTTAACCCAATTTAAGATTTGCAACTGCAACATTTTGTGAGAGTCATTGCTCCGTTACATCACCACCCTGCCAGATTTGTTTTAAATATATAAAGTAGCCGATGATAGCCGCATCATGGATGGGTACATTCAGTGCTTAATATCAACCCGGAAAAGGGTCTGGAGCACTGTTCCAGGAATTATTTTGTCACATCACATCCATCTTGCCTTTTTTGTCCTCGTAATTTTTTTTCTAAAGCTGTTCATATTGAGTATAGGAAACAGGGGAAGGAGACATTACAAAGGAGACTTTACAGCTGCTCCTGACGCAGTTATCTCCTTTGACCACCTGAATGTGAAATTGTAGTTGTTGTTCCGCATCTATATCGGCCGTACAAAAGAAGAAAGAACGTGGGGTCAAATAATGCAGGATTCGTTTGGATAGGCCTACCTTGTACCCTAGTGGGGGTCCGGACCATTCCCACAAACTACCACAAATGTACACAAAGCACCATGAACGACCGCAAGTTTACCCCAAACGACGACAACACACCACGTACGACCGTATATTTACCGGTCCATTTACCATAAATACCGCACATTTGCAGCAAAGTACCTCAAAGGGCCCCCCAATCCACCCCCCCCCCAGATTCCCACCCTCTCGTGCACTCTTCCATAGCCCCCCCTTCACTCCCGTGGTCCCCGTGCCCCACCCATGGAGCCAGCCTCCTGAGTTGATCCCTCCCATGCACCCTCATGTTCCCCGTGCCACGATGAAACGCGCGTTCTGATTGGCTGCAGCGCGTTCTAATATTGGCTCCACTGCATTCTGATTGGCTGCAGCGCATTCTGATTGGCTACAACGCGTTCTGATTGGCTGCAGGGGGTTCTGATTGACTGCTGCGCCTTCTGATTGGCTATAGCGCATTCTGATTGGCTGCAGCGCGTTGATTTGGTGCAATGCATTGGCTGCAGCGCATTCTGAAGGGCTGCAGCGCGCGCCCTGATTGGCTGCAGTGCGTTCTGATTGGTTGCCATGTATTCTGTTTGGCTGCAGGGGATTCTGATTAGCTGTAGGGTTGGGGGGGGCTATGACACCCCAATATGCGGGACTTTGCAGTAGTTTGCGGTACTCTGTGGTAATTAGTAGTAGTGCCCGGCTCTGATAAACCCGACTCCAAGCCAACTTTGGCATCTCGGAAATATGAAGCCTTGCATAGTATACTCTATACTCTTTGGGTCTTTCGGTAAGGCCATGTAGATAGAAACATTATACAAATATTACAAAATATCACGACGTTTCAAACGCAACACAAGCAATCGTCATCAGGTGAAAAAATACAGCAGGAGAACTGCTGAGGCAGTAAAAATATATAATATATAAAATAGTTATATTTTTCCTGCCTCAGAAGATCTCCTTCTGTATTGTTTCGATCACAACACAGCAGGAGAACTGCTGAGGCAGGAAAAATATAACTATTTTATGTATTATATATTTTTCCTGCCTCAACAGTTCTCCTGCTTTATTTTTTCACCTGATGACGATTGCTTGTGTTGCGATCGAAACGTCGTGACATTTTTATTTTTCAATCATTTTTATATCTACGTGGCTTCACCGAAAGACCCAAAGAGCACGAATTCCTGCAATCAGGAAAGCTTTAAGTCTTGCATAGTATGTTCGTGTCCGTGGTCTTGCCGCACGTACCGTGATGATGAATGGGACGGAGGTCGTGAGCTCCAGGATGAATGAGATGTGAAGGATTTGCTCCCAGATGTTTCCCTGGTCAAGTTCACAATTTTTCGGTCAGAATGTCAGAGGTCATACAGAAAAGCCATTCATTGATTTATTGAAACTAAGACAAAATTCAAGATTATCTCATTGTTTTCCTCGCTAACCTGAGCTGTCATTTTAAATCACGCATACAACCGTCAATTTAACTGGCATTGGCTGATATGTCAATTACATTCACTTATTTTTTTTCCTATTCGTAAACAAGAAAACACATTCATATACACTTTCTATATACACACCCAGGGGGTTGACACTGACAAATAACGAAATGTTATAACAATGACACACATTCATCGCTATACGTTTCAACTCAGTGACCGTGAAAATTATGGAATGTATTATTTGATAACCTCTAAAGTATGGGGTATATCATTAAGTATGGGTGCCTAACAATGGAAATTTACGTAATATAGCATACAGAAAAAGGTTTGATGTACTGTATAGTCATTTCCAAACACATCAACTGATTATGCAAGTCTCAAATTTAGTTTATACAGGAAACTACAGCCAAGTGGGAAGGCAGCCGAAATCGGCGATAGCAATTGCCAGAGCTCTGTGGTCCTGTATTTGGATGTTTGGCTAACTCCATTCAAAGCGTCTTCCTGCACAAGCAGGCAATGATTTGACACTCATTGCTATTCTGTTTCTGGAATTTCAACATTTCCATGGTAGAGGCCAAGGCACTCCATGGGGAATGATTGCAGTTTATTTCCCACAAGGTAAGTACCCATTTTACCAACCTCGGAGGGATGATGGAATAAAGTACATTTCCGACCGAGATTTGAAACTCACAGATGTGTGTAAAAACGTTCTAATGACGGTGTCAACTACTCTGCTCAATGCCGACACCATTGTATAGCTTTTAAAAAGAATGCTTTAAAGTGACTTTGAAAGCTGGGAAATGTGCAGCGTCATTTGGCATTCATGATAATTAGACAGATGTTGCATCCAGACCATTAGCGTTGCCACGAACACGACTAATGAAGGGACCTTAAATAGAAAAATAATATCATCTCTGCTTCAAAGCGTTTGGGTGCAGTGTGAGTGTAAGCTATGTGGCTACTTACTAATATTTTTATTTTACCAGGTGAGGCCCACTGAGCTATACAGCTCTTTTTCAGAAGCGACCTGGCCACAAATTATGTGGAAATGTATAGGAGCCAAATACTCTAAACGCGTGATTATGTGGAGGGAAAAACCGGAGGACCCAGAGAAAAATCCACAAAACTGCGGGGAGAACATGCAAACTCCCAATATACAAGCGTCAGGGTCGGGATGGAACCCACTACCTGCTGTATGCCAGGCGAGGTAGTTAACATCTCATAGCCACCGTGACAGCCCACTTGTCCTCTTTGCACCGCACGCCAATCAGTGGCTACACCGTCATGCATGGCTTCTTAATGGGCCTCATAATTGCGGGCCGCAGCGAAGGTAATAAGCTCTGACGACAATGTTTGGCCGCAGTAATTGCTGATGTAAATGCGTGTCCGATGGCTGTGCCGTGCAAGGGCGCGGGGAGAGTGTGGAGGTCAGATAACCTTGTCCGGACCGATCGTCAATAGGGCCATGACGTCTGAGCTTTGGCTGTGATCATTTCCGTGTTTTATTTCCTCTATTTTTATTTTTACCCCATTGAGCTATTGGCGTCACGAGAAGAAAAATATAATTCCAAACCAAGAGTTTCAGTGAATGATGAGAAAACCCATCAATACCAGAGGAGAATGCATACTGGTTGGACACTTAATAGATTTAACAATAGGCAAAGGTCTGTTACTCACAAACAGCAGGAAGACACGACTCCCATCATCCCTTGCATGCATGTCCCGTGACCGCCACATCGCATGTATAGTACAATGCTCTCAGAATCCTTTTTGGTCAAATTGGAGAGAGGTTTTTTTTGTCTCGATCTTTTCTTGGTATTTGTTTTGCCAATTTTTTTTCCAGTTGTGCTCTCAGCATCATGTTACGAAATAAATTATCCATTCCATGTCACAGAGCAATATTCCCTGTGGGTCAGCAAGCAGCCAGAGAATATATTTTTCTTTTACGTGGGTTTTCTTTCCGAAAATCCTGCAAGTGGATTCTTTTTTTTTGCCTTTACACAGTAAAAGTATGGCCACACCGCCTCCATGACCAACACGGTGTGGAGCGACCTTCATCCAGCAGTGCATTTGCAACGTGCTGTACACGTACATAAAGCAGCCGGAGCATTGTGTACGTGTACATTTGCAACGGCAGGAAACTGATGTTTTTTTATTCTTCTTAAACCTCATAGCTGGAATATGCCAAAGCAAGCGCAAACAAATATTAGTTGTGATGTCTACGTATGTTTTACAATCATTGGTGACTGGGGCTGACAATCGACTCACTATACTTGAGAACTCGGTGTAATCACAGGGAGATGACATCCGAATCTGAATGCAGGACCTCAGCAGTGCCAGTTCGGCACTGTGACCTCTTCATAATAAAGGTTTTTGGGTTAGATCGCATTATTTATAAATGTGTCGTAACCCTCCACCACCCGACACGGCCAATCAGCAAAAAAGTGTCACGTTGACAAAAGACAATTAGTTCACTACTTTAGCCCACCGATTAACTGTTTATATGGCGGATGCTATATTGGACAGATGGTACGTAACATCAGCATAAGACTAAAAGAACACCAAAGAAATATTAAATTATCTCAAACACAACTGTCGGCAGTGGCAGAACATGCTTGTCAACAAGGACACTCAATTGATTTTGATAACGTTGACGTGTTATGTAAAACTAATTATTACTGGCAAAGACTAATTAGAGAATCCATTGAAATTGAGAGAAATAGAAATAACTTTAATCGCTCTGACAGCTACAGGCTTAGTGCGGCTTGGAAGCGTATTATTAAATAATACAAAACTACAATTCCTTATAGGGGAAACACATACTAATAAACGGATTACTAATGTAGCATATAATCACAATAACAAACATTACAACTAATTACTAATCTACAACTCATTACTAATCATAACCATTGACTGATTACCAATCGCTTATATAATTACAATACCCCCCCTCCGCCTCAAATCACTGCACCTGAATGAGTTAAATGATGACGTCACCCTGCTGCTCTATTTAAGAGCGGGAGCAAGTGAGGTCTTTATCATTCTGGCGAATTGCCCGATGATGCTGGATGTAATAACCAGCGAAACGTCGTATTCAAACTGTAAATGTTGTGGATTCACTCTTCAACACACCGGTGAGATAAAGTACTGAACTAATTATCTTTTGTCAACGTGACACTTTTTTGCTGATTGGCCATGTCGGGTGGTGGAGGGTTACGACACATTTATAAATAACGCGATCTAACCCAAAAACCTTTATTATGAATAATATTGGTCGCGAAAGCCTACGTGTTAAACTGTGACCTGTGTTATATATTTATTTCTGGTGGCATAAACTTACCGAGCTGATTCGACACGAGCTTCTCCGCTGCCTTTTAGCAGCAGCAATCCCCTGGATAAGACGACTATATATAAACACTCTCCTCCCGTGAGCTGAGATTTGAATGAACCCTACAACGTATGAGTTTTAGGCACGTAAGCCGCAATCCCGTGACTGTAGATTCAAAAGATAACATTGTTGTGCCAGACTTATAGGGGACCCTGCCCTCTACCAAGCTCGCTTGATCCCAGTGCCAAATCTAAAACAAATCAAAATGGATTTTGCAGATGACAGTTTGTATATTGGCACGTGCACAATTTTTCAGAGAGATTTAAAATGGTATAATACATTTTTGTGATTATTAACAATAGGGCCACAAATGAATGGTCAAAGATAGTGGCATAATGAAAAGGATTCAGCTGGCGTGTATGTGTATTTATGATTCACTATCTTGTGCCCCTTTTTTTGGTTCTCCTGCTTTGCGCGCTTTCAAATGCGCTTCTGCGGCCGTCTGGAACGCTCTTCCTTCGGATATTAGGAAGCCACTGGAGCCATGCACTCTGAAATCATCTCGATTGTTATCCTTCGGCCCCCGCACACTTCCGATTAGCACGGTTGCCTACGTACTGTGGTGCGAAAGAAGTTCAACATACAGGCAGCCCTGCAAATCCTTTCTCACGGCCTTCACTACTACAGGCCCTGAAGATACCCACCAGAGAGGGGCTCTATTCAGCTCCCTCTCTCGTGGGGGCCATTTTCCAGCAGTGGCGTGAGCAAGAAAATGCAGGGCTGCACCTTTATGTCCCTTTATCTGGCTCGTGTAAAATGTTGCATTAAGATAAGCATGAACTGACCCTGCAACCTTCCTGCTTTGCAATGAACCTTCTAACTTGTTAAAGGCCACTGAAAATTAACATACTTTTTGGATTCGTGCATTATGAATATATTCTACTTCGAGTTACATGTTTGCTTAAAGTCACTCGGATCAAGTCACATCCGGAGAGTATTAGGATTGTCAGCGTGACACACTGCTAAGCGCACACCTTGTAATTGAGGTACATTAGAAGCAGAGTCTCCGTGAAGCTGATGATAGCCAGGAACACCTAGTGAAAAAAAAATACAGAATCGTAGTGAGAAAGTGGACAAAGACAAAGACCCCCCCCATATAGCCTTAACAGACATATGGGGCAAGTGTTATCAGTGAGCACTTATGAAGGCCGGAACGGTACACGAGGGGGTTGGCTACGCACAGTCCGGAAGAAGCTCAACATAGTACATACAATTGCCAATGCTGATTAGCAAACTTCGAACAAAAACTGAAAAAAACATATTTAATGAAAAATAAACATGAACAATAACAAGCGTTTAAAACGTGATGTTGTAACAATGCCAATGAGAATATGGAGGTGCCTTACCTGACAGGCCCATAGCGGAGTACTTCTGTTGACCCATATAATGGATGTCCTATACAGCAACACATCGTAAAACAGGAGCACAACGTGAATTCAATTTGAATATTATCCCACGAAGGTTGAAAGCGTTCAAGCATCAGCTCTGTCCACCGCTCCGTCTATAACACGGGGGTCACAATAACTCTGGCAATGATGGTCCAATGTGAGTGGAACATTAATACGTAATGTACGGTAGTTGTGTCGCTATAAGAGACTCATCATACAAAAACATGTATCAAACATGGTTGCCCAAAATGTGTGAGACCGCACGGGAGCGATTTGCAAATTTGAAAATATATTTTACCCTGGCAATTTACCCAATGGCTTTTGTACCGCAAGTCCGAAAACAAAACACCCATTGGAAAGCATTGCATCAATGCGAATGGTTTTCCGTGATTTGTTTACAAGATCCTTTTTTTCCAGAAAACAAAAAAAAGCACATTATCATCATTTGGAGGCGCACCTCCGTTTACGCACGATGCAAAAGACGTTCAACGTACATTCAATGTACACACATACATTTGCACGGGCGCCTGAGATAGTAACTGAACGAAATTCTTAACATTACACGGCGCATTGTCACTCCACTGCTGGATAAAGACCTCCCAATGCTGTCGTGGTCATGAGGGTTATTTGACCAAGCCTCATCGCGTCGCTTGCTGTGTGTGGGTGAAGGTGGGTTGTTGTGTGTGGGTGAAGGTGAGTTGTTGTGTGTGGGTGAAGGTGAGTTGCTGTGTGTGGGTGAAGGTGAGTTGCTGTGTGTGGGTGAAGGTGAGTTGTTGTGTGTGGGTCAAGGTGAGTTGTTGTGTGTGGGTGAAGGTGAGTTGTTGTGTGTGGGTGAAGGTGGGTTGGTGTGTGTGGGTGAAGGTGAGTTGTTGTGTGTGGATGAAGGTGAGTTGTGTGTGGGTGAAGGTGAGTTGTTGTGTGTGGGTGAAGGTGAGTTGTTGTGTGTGGGTGAAGGTGAGTTGTTGTGTGTGGGTGAAGGTGAGTTGCTGTGTGTGGGTGATGGTGAGTTGCTGTGTGTGGGTGAAGGTGAGTTGGTGTGTGTGGGTGAAGGTGGGTTGTTGTGTGTGGATGAAGGTGAGTTGCTGTGTATGGGTGATGGTGAGTTGCTGTGTGTGGGTGAAGGTGAGTTGCTGTGTGTGGGTGAAGGTGAGTTGCTGTGTGTGGGTGATGGTGAGTTGTTGTGTGTAGGTGATGGTGAGTTGCTGTGTGTGGGTGAAGGTGAGTTGTTGTGCGTGGGTCAAGGTGGGTTGCTGTGTGTGGGTGAAGGTGGGTTGTTGTGTGTGGGTGAAGGTGAGTTGCTGTGTGTGGGTGAAGGTGAGTTGTTGTGTGTGGGTGAAGGTGAGTTGTGTGTGGGTGAAGGTGAGTTGTTGTGTGTGGGTGAAGGTGAGTTGTTGTGTGTGGGTGAAGGTGAGTTGCTGTGTGTGGGTGAAGGTGAGTTGCTGTGTGTGGGTGAAGGTGAGTTGCTGTGTGTGGGTGAAGGTGAGTTGTTGTGTGTGGGTGATGGTGAGTTGTTGTGTGTGGGTGAAGGTGAGTTGCTGTGTGTGGGTGAAGGTGAGTTGTTGTGTGTGGGTGATGGTGAGTTGTTGTGTGTGGGTGAAGGTGAGTTGCTGTGTGTGGGTGAAGGTGAGTTGTTGTGTGTGGGTGAAGGTGAGTTGTTGTGTGTGGGTGAAGGTGAGTTGTTGTGTGTGGGTGAAGGTGAGTTGCTGTGTGTGGGTAAAGGTGAGTTGCTGTGTGTGGGTGAAGGTGAGTTGTTGTGTGTGGGTGAAGGTGAGTTGTTGTGTGTGGGTGAAGGTGAGTTGCTGTGTGTGGGTGAAGGTGAGTTGCTGTGTGTGGGTGATGGTGAGTTGTTGTGTGTGGGTAATGGTGAGTTGCTGTGTGTGGGTGAAGGTGAGTTGTTGTGCGTGGGTCAAGGTGGGTTGCTGTGTGTGGGTGAAGGTGGGTTGTTGTGTGTGGGTGAAGGTGAGTTGCTGTGTGTGGGTGAAGGTGAGTTGTTGTGTGTGGGTGAAGGTGAGTTGTGTGTGGGTGAAGGTGAGTTGCTGTGTGTGGGTGAAGGTGAGTTGCTGTGTGTGGGTGAAGGTGAGTTGGTATGTGTGGGTGAAGGTGAGTTGTTGTGTGTGGGTGAAGGTGAGTTGTTGTGTGTGGGTGATGGTGAGTTGTTGTGTGTGGGTCAAGGTGAGTTGCTGTGTGTGGGTGAAGGTGAGTTGTTGTGTGTGGGTGAAGGTGAGTTGTTGTGTGTGGGTGATGGTGGGTTGGTGTGTGTGGGTGAAGGTGGGTTGTTGTGTGTGGGTGAAGGCGAGTTGTTGTGTGTGGGTGATGGTGGGTTGGTGTGTGTGGGTGAAGGTGAGTTGGTGTGTGTGGATGACAGTGGGTTGCATCGATGCGGGAGTATTAAAGTACCACACAATGTATAAAAATGAATTCTCCCGCACCGTCCTCTGCTGCCTGCCCAAAACGTAGCCCCACAGTAGTGGAGGCCCTGGACCGGTTCAGGTATCACGTGCCACTCATACTCGCCCTGGTCAGGTATTAAACTTAGAATGCTGCTAAGTTGGTACGACGGTGCGCGAACAACTGTGCCGCTGCTCCTCCCAGCAACTAAATACGTGGCACGAAACCCAATTTTATCTCAGGAGAATTGTTATTTTTAGACATTCACACAAGTGATGGCACACACAGACGAAAAAAGGAATCGTCCTTGTAAATTCAAAAAGACGGATAAATGTGCTCACCAATCAATGTTTTCCGGTTGGCGTGATGTGTTGTTTCCTTTCAGGCCGTGCAGGCTGAAAACGAACGAAAGCGAAAAAAAGATTAGAAAAACATCAACGTGGCCATGCGGAGTTTATGAAGTGGAGCGATGTGTTTTTGAACACAGCGCACAATAAGAGGATGATTCGAAAAAAAATTGGAGTCATGACTTCGAAGGCTCTTGCAGAGAATAGCTCCTCACCAAAGCCAATGGAGCCGCTTTTCTATTTGTGCCAGCAATCCAAACTGACTGCCTTGCGCGGCTGCTGTGATATAATTTTTTACGATTAGGTAAGATTCAAAAATCAAATTTCGGAATGTCGATTTTTGCAATACCAGCGCCCATTGTTTTTGTGCATGACTTTAACGTTTTTGAACTGCAGTTCACTCAACATAAACCTGACAAAGGAATGATGATAATCACAATATATAGCGATTATAATGCACATGCTGCCAGTCATACAACAAAACAAGTAACTGAAAATGAAAATTCTGACATTATAATTGCTATTCTGCCAAATATAAAGTATTTTCCAAAGCACTAATTTAATGGATAGTGGCTACTTATTTACAACTGCAATTATCCTGTTTGTTATTTCATACATTTCTTGTCTGAAATAAAATGTTTAAACAAAAGCAAAATGAGCAAAGATCACCACGATGTAATTATGTGTAGCCAAACGAACAATAATCATGTGCCTTATATCGTACAATATACTGAACCATCATACTATCACGATAACCCTACTCTGGAAAAATAAGGATGCTCACCATGTTGCACTGGCAACATTTATCAGCGTGAGGGACAAGCCTGAGCAACCCTTTGAACTGGGGAGATGTTAACTAACTCGCCTGGTATACAGGAGGTTGCGGGTTCAATCCCAAAGCTGACGTCTGTATATTTGGAGTTTGCGTGTCTCTCTTTCCCCAGGTCCTCCGGTTTTTTTCCCCCTGCATTTTTTAAACATGCGTTTAGAGTATTTGGCTGCAGTACATTTCCACACGATAAGCCACTTCGCTGCGCTTTAATTTGTGGCCAGGTCGCTCCTTAAAAAACAGCTTTATAGCTCAGTGGGCCTTACCTGATACAATTTTTAAAAAATGTTTAAATAGTTTGTAATCATGATAATGAAAACCCTGGGAAGTAACCTGGATCCTCGACAGCAACACCAGTGATGAGTATGGGGAGAAGATTGTTGTGAAAACATCACAGATAACCACGACGAAAATAATGATGATATAATGGAATGAGAGGGAATGGCCTTGAGTTTGTATGCCTCGCTGCCTTAAGAACTCCATCCCAAGACACACAGTCGAATATTTTCTCCACAAATAGGACTGTCGCCTGATGAAGGTAGTTACTGGCGAAACGTCGTACTCAGATTGTAAATGTTGTGGTTTTGCTATCCAACAAACATGTGTGCTGTATTTGTAGCGAATTGGCATGTTCTATTTAAAGCTTTCGTGACTGCAAGGATTCATCTTCTTTGGTTCTTTCGGTAAAGTCACGTAGAATGAGAATAAAATAATAAATTGATAAAATAAAATAAGCTTGTGTTGTGGCCGAAACGTCGTGAGAATTTTATTGTGTTATTTTATTTTATCAATTTATTATTTTATTCTCATTCTACATGGTGACTTTACCAAAAGAACCAAAGAAGGTTGGCATGTTCTGTTTTCGTGACAAGCCTTACTGATTGGCTGCGTCGGGTGGTGGCGGGTCTAACGACACATTCATATATTTACGTGATCTAACCCAAAAAGAAAACCTGTATTACAGATGATATTGGTCGCGAAAGCCCACGTGTTAAATCGAATATTTTAATTATATATTTTTTGCAATCGCTGGTCCTCGGGTTGCATTGATGGCCAGTGGTGTATATTATTGCCAGAGGTGGTATTATAATGTGCTCTGGGATGCTTTACACAAAGGGCACCAAATACAAGTTTTGTTTTGCAAGACTCAGCCCAATAAAGACAACGATTATGGCGGGGGGGGGGGGGGGACATTAAGAGCAATTGTCACGAGTTAGTGTGATTGCGAGGGCGGTGAGCTGGCCCCAACGTGAACTGTCAGTGTTGAACCACAGCTTCAAGGAGTGTGGGTGTCGATGAGCAGGAAGCGGGACGATCCCGTTCCATTTGCTGCCGCTCAAATAAATAAATAAATCCTATTGTTCAATTTGTGGCAGGGGACAGATGCGGTGAACACTTATTGAATTATTGCAGTGGCTGGCAGGGGGATCGCTACACTCAGGGGCCCATTGTGTTGAGGCTTTAAAATCGAGCGAAGCAACAGAAAGAGTTGAGAACGTGCCGGACAGTGCGGGCGCTTGTAACACTTTCTGTGCCGGCTGCATTCCACGTTTCTCTGCCATGCATCTGGCAACAGCCGAGTGCCTGGGCGCACCGCGCGCATCTTTAACTATGACGACGTTAAGTTGATGACACTGTTCACGCAGTTCACAAGGATTCACCAGCCTTGCGTGGTTGCGGCATTGATCACTTCCCAGGAGGCTTCATAGGACCCCTGCCGATGGATGAGCAACGCGCTTGGGAGGGTGGTGAGATGTTATCGCTGTTGCATTGCATGTACTGGGGGGGTGGCGATGTTATCTCCGAAGCATTGCCTGATGGCGGTGCTGCTGCAATTGGGCCAATTGCGTCCGAGGGATGTGTAATGGGGAAGGGCTCGCTTGCTTGTCGACACATTTGGAGAGACCCCCCCCCCTCCGCAGGACGAGCAACTCAAACAAACAAAGCCCTGCCATTGGCATTTGTGCCCGAGCTTGTTGATTTGGCAGCAGGAGGCGGCAATCGGAATCTTTTTATTTAGACTACAGGAGGAATCTGACGAGCTAAGAAGATATATATTTATTTTAACAGATGCCCAGTACGGCGTGGGTCGGCAAGATGCAACGACAGTCGGGTCTGTTCACCCACTTCACCCTGGATAATTAAGAATATTTGCAGAATAACCGTTGAACCTGTGGTCTGGAACCCGGATTTTTTTTAGATGGTCACGCCCCCCGGGATATTTGGAAGAGAACCGGGTTTTGCCGACCTCCCCCCCATCCCCCCTAGATAAACAAATTCACAGATAATCGGGTCACAGATGAACAGGGTTTAACCGTCATTTCTCAAACGTTGAAAGGCGTGGACACTCACGCCATGCACGCACCGCGACGCCGCCGCTCCTTTTCGAACGTCCACTGCACGGCAGATGGCGCGTATTCGTGGTTTAATACACACGCAGTAATAACCGGAGGGGGGTTGGGGGGGTAACCTGGGGGGCTTGAACTGCGAACATCTGCGACAAGCGGCAACAAACGCTCGGCCCCACATCGCCAACACCCCCACCTCCCCAACGGCGGAGGATCCGAGCCCAGACCGTAGGCAGGGTGGAGGCGAGACGAGTGAATGTGGGAGCGGGCAAAGAAATAATATCGCCCCCTGTGCTGTGCCCGGAGCCGACCGGGAGACTTGCTGGCCCTGCTGCTGCTGCTGCTGCGAGTTCCAATGCTACCGGTAGCGCTGTCACCCACTGAACGACAACGCCTTCCTTACCAGTCGCTTTCCTGGTGCTCATCTCTGTCCTGGTGCGGATTGTCCAGTCCCACGCGCACCATGTACAGGATGCAGGAGATGAACTTGAGGGCAAGGGTGAAGAGGCGGATTCTCAGGCCTGTGAAGCGGAGTTGGTAATTCCACTTGGTGTCATCACACTGCGGAATATTCTTATATCTTGCTTAATTTATTTTATTTTTTACACATTTTGTTGCAATTGCTTTTTAATCGTCATGACCCCGATGATGGCACTCGATAAGTCGAAATTTGCCCTTTGGAACTCCCACACTTCAGCAGTGCACCACCATGAGTCAGAGAACGGCTCCAAAAAATGATCTTGTTTGTACAACTACTTCCAAAGTCACTACAATGGGCCCCGTCACTGATCTTGATGAATATTTCTCATTTACACTATTGCGGTTCTGCATTGATTTATTTTTATATTTTTTTTATCTCCCCTCGCTGCATATATTTTATTCCTTTTAGTTATTTCGGTGAGCCAGCTCCCTTGCAAAAAAAACACACTATCCTGGTTCCTTGAGTTGTATGTATGTATGGTGAACTTCTTTCGTGCCATGCATAGTCAACCGTGCTAATCGGAGGTGTGGGCGGGGAAGGACAGAGTTTTACACCTAGTTAAATAAAAATAAACCGACTAATTAACCCACGCTGCGAGTACAACTTATAAACGGGCTTCACAGACTGTTCATTGAATGTCAATGATACTGACCTATTTTATGTTTACATGGGTCTACAAGTAGGGGATGATGACTGCTATGTAACCTGTGGTCTCAATTGAAGGACTCGCGGGCAAAATTTTAAATTGGGCAAAGAAATTGGACCCTGATGCATTTGAAACAATCACAACCAGGATCTTGCCAATACCACGGGCAAACACGTGCAGGTTTAGAGACCAAGTATGTGTGTGTGTGTGCGCGCGTGCGCGCGTGTGGTTTCACTACCCTAGCTCAAACCCCCCGTTTAATGTTAACTTTTAATAATCAATTATCCCTTCATGGACATGGACACACGCATTACATGCAATCGTAGCTCGTTCATTGCTTTGCTGCGTTTAAAAAATAAATCGCAATTTTGTAGATATAATTTCAGAGAAGCCTTCATATTTTTGCTCCTCTCACTCATTTCGGTCTTAAATGCATCGGCGCTGTAGTGTGCAAATACGCTTTTTCCCATTTTTAGTTCCCAAATTGGAATTCAATTGTGTAGATGATTATGTCAGCCGTGAAATGAAGTCATTCATTGTCGGAACATTTTGATAGACCACAAAGGCAGTGCTCTCCATCAATCTGGAAATGCAGTTTTGTCCACTTACGCTTACCACAAACAAAAAATATTAACCCTTTAATGAACTGACCTTTTCTATAAACATTCTTCATGTAAAAAATAAAAAGTGGCTATACATTGCATCGGACATACGGTGGCGCTCCCCTCTTACGTGCAGCCCTGGGTGAGTGGTATACATTCCACATTCCTATGGTGGGGCTAGGTACTTCCAGCAGAAAATCCTCTCTTGAATTCCCTATTTATATGCAATGAAGAAGGGCCATTGCCCAAAACGTTGAAAATTGTGTGTTATTTTGAGGACGCGATTTAGCTACATAATTTGTGATTGGTGAAAGAATGCCAGTGAAAAGTAATACAGGACACCTCTTATCCATGATGATGTGTGGGAACATCACAACATCCTTTTGAACACGTGGTAGGCTTTCGCGACCAACATCCTCCATAATAGAGATATTTTTTGGGGTTAGAACGCGTAAATATATAAATGTGTCGTTAAAACCCGCCGCTACCCGACACAGCCAACTAGTAAGGGTTGTCAAGTAAACAGAACGTGGCCAATTCGTCACTAGTACAGCACACCGGTGTGTTGGAGAGCCAAGCCACAACATTTACAATCTGAGAACAACGTTTCGCCAGTAATTACAACCAGCTTCATCAGGCAACAGCCAAATCTGGCTTGGCTCTCCAACACCCCGGTGTACTGTACTAGTGATGAATTGGCACGTTCTGTTTACGTGACAACCCTTATTAGTTGGCTGTGTTGGGTGGTGGCGGGTTTTGACGACGCATTTATATATTTACACGATCTAACCCAAAAAAACCTCTATTATGGATCACAAATCCTATTATCTGTGGGGATTATCCGAGAATTTACTCCACTCATCCATGAGAAAAAGAAGAGGCAGATAATAGGAATAATAGGGCCTCGGAAATGGGAAAATTTGGGGACCCCTATACCTCCCTCGGATAATAGGGAGTCATGGATAATAGGGTTGCAGATAAGAGGAGTGCTGGTCTGCTGAGTGCGTCTTTGAGGGATCGTTTGTCAGTGCCGATGCCGTGGCATTCGCGAGGTGCTTCGCCGGCCGTGCTCACTTGATCTTTGGTTTTTGATGAAGAACAGCTTGAGTCGCTCCTTCACCATTTGCTCGTCGACGTAAAATTCCACCTGCACCCTGTCCGTTTTGGGGAAAGGCAGGCACAAAACAACAAAAAAACGAAACGCTATTTAAGTCTCATTTGCATTCCAGGAACTAGTAGCCTTCCGAGAAGCTGAAGAAATACGGCGGTGATTGTTTCACAAATATGGCGGACAAACGTCTCCCCCGTCGGACTTGTAGAGAGCCAGGGCAGTCTTTTTTTTTAGTGGAAGGCAGAAATGGGGCAGTGGAGCCAACACCAACACCAAGCCTGGCCACCTTTGTCTCCCCAGTATGTTGAACTTCTTTCACGCACCCGTAAATATCCAACCGTGCTGATCGGAGGTGCGATGTTGACACGGTGCACACGTGCTTATTTAAGGCTGCTGCACTCAAACGGAAGACCGGGTTCAGATGCCACTGTTGTGCATGGCCAAAATAGAACCGAGCTCAGTGGGGTAATGTCACAGTGTCGTGTCGAACTGCAACCAAAGATGAACACCCCCTGTTATCGTCTGAATAGGCTGTTGGGGCAAGTGCAATTAGCAGGGACCTATTAGGGCTGGAATGTCACACAAGGGGACTGTGGTCATCACATTGCCTGGCTTACTCTCCCCATTGCTGCCACTTTGAAAACCGTGCCAGGTACTCATTTTAAGGCTGAGTTGAACCTCCTGCGGAAGGCCCAGGACCTGTTCAAATGTCACTCGACACTGGTGTTGTCCGTGGCTCGTGATCGAACTCAAGTTTGCTGGATTCGTGAGCGCAGTGCGTGAACAACTGCGCCAGGCCTCCCACACCGATCACCCCTCCGGAGGTCGAGCCCCCCATCGCGGTCACGGAGGTCGTTTTGTGGGGAGCGGCAGTGTCGCGGTTTAGCGCGCTGCGCTACGAGCCTGGCGACCCGGGTTCGACTCCCGCACACGGCCAACACCGGTGACGATTATCTGAACTGGTTCTGGGCCTCCCCTAGGTCGGCTTAGCCTCAAATAAGTACCTGATGCAGCGTGCAACCATCGTAATTGGGGAGACAAAGGTGGCCCGGCGTGGTGTTGGCCACCCACCCCCTTGTGTGCCGTGCCGGCCTTCATAGGTGCTCGCGAACAGCACTTGCCCCAACAGTCTGTTAAGGCTATACGGGGGAATCTTTGTCTTTGTGTTGAGGTTCTTTCACACCGTACGTAGCCAACCGTGCTAATCGGAGGTGCGTGGGGGGAAAGGACAATAAACTAACACACAAAAAGTGGTTGTATTGAAATGCGTTTTCAGTCAAGATTTTGAAGTTCAAAGGGATGCAGGGCCGGTTAAGATATCACTCGCCATGGTCGTGAGCGGGAATTAAACTCAAGCCCTCCGGTTTGTAGCGCAGTGCAATGCAGTCACCACTGCCACTCCCCACACACATAAACCACTGCACTGCAAACGCACACAAAAAGGAAATTCACAGTGAACAGGAAATGTATTCCCTGTTGCCTCTGTCAGATTGACTAACATGCGCATTGTGCATGGAGTGCTCTCAGTGCTCACAAAAAAAACGCAACCAAGACAATGTTCATTTAAATTAATGGGGGAGTCCGAGCAGCGTTCAATTAAGTGACCGAAATAAAAGCCCTAAAATATTAACGCAAATTTAAGCCCATCAGCGTGCTCTTTGTCGGCCTGAGAAATTAGTGGCTTTTGGCCGTGCACGTTAACTTACAATACAGTTGAGGAAATCCGCTTCGCGCCGAGATGGGATTTCGCTCGCCGATGGCTGTCCAGCTCCATTTATGAAACGCCGCGGCGAGACCACGCACACCGTGTCCTGCGCAACTCTGCGTGCGTTTAAGTGGTCATGCTGTGTGCAGCTCTCCAATGTGTTTTCGGACGTTGTGCCTCGTATTGCTCGACACAACATCCGACGTTTTGCTCCCAAGTGCTGGAAGCTTCTTCCGGAACTGAATAGACTTAGCTCGCTTTCTCCCCCCGATTCTCTAGCAGCGTTGCCGGCTGCTTGCCGGTGCTGTCGGTGATTGACGCTGATCAGCTCTCTGATGAAGGGCAACCATTGCTGTTGTAATAAAAAATAAAAAATAAACATATTTGGATCGCAACACAAGCGGTCGTCATCAGGAAAAGGGGGTTAACCTATTATTATTTTTCTTCACTTTATTATTATTTTCCCATCTATGTAACTTTACCGAAAGTGCCAAAGAACATTAATTCCTGCAGTCACGAAAGTTTTAAGTCAAAATTTTGCCACCTCTGCGGGGATGCTTTCCACATAACCATAAGATCTTTCAACAAACTCCAAGACAAGAAAGCTCATCCGATCGAGTCACTCACATTTCTGAAGAGATGCCGCGACTCAAAGGTGTAATGCCGATCTCATTTACACTGACTTCTGCTGCCGTCACATCTTCCAATGCCAAACGAATTTTGTTCAGGGCTAGCTTGGCCCTGATCTCAGAGAGAATTAGATTGCTCCTAACTGAACAAAATCATGTGGACAAGACACTCTTGAAATCACACTTAACAATGACATTAAAAAATGTCTACATCTGATTGGGGACATGTAGATAAAATCACTGCTTCATCAGCCGCTACAATGGCAGCTAAATGTAAAGATAACATGATTTCCAAGTTCAACCTCCTTTCCAAGAAGAAACCAGATGCACTCATTGAAAAGTTAGACGTTGACAAGGTTGTTGTTAATCTGAGTAATTGCCAAATTTCCGATGGTCTAAAATCGTTTCTGACTAAAGGGCTGAACTTCGCAGTCACCCCCAAACACATACCAGTGGATGACGTTATTGCCCAGGTCGATGTAGCTCTTAAGGGTTTGGGACACATCGCTGCAGACGTGACAAGATCTGAAATCGCTGCAACCTTCAAAAGCGCTAAGATACCAGACAGCAACATCAGTAAGGATGAGCGTTTTGAGTTATCTCAATTGAAAAAGAGGGATGATATCGTCATCCTCTCGGTCGTCAAGGGCAATGCTACGGTCATCATGGACAAAAACGTGTACAACAAAATTCAGGAACTACTTAATGATGGTAGCTACACCAAAATTAAAGGAGATCCCAACAACAGCCTCGTTACAAAAACGAACAGTATCGTCACTGATTCAGCTTAATTAATTGAACAGAAAAAACGGGTTTCCTTAAAATCTTCTGCTGCTAGACCACCCAGATTATATGGCTTACCAAAAATCCATAAAGAAGGTACACCCCTTCGTCCCATCATCTCCACCATCGGCTCACCCACCTACAAACTGGCCCGATATCTGTCTGAGACCTTACAGCCATTCACTGGTAAGACCACCTCTTCTGTACTTAACTCAGCTCACCTGGTATCATCAATTAAGGACATCTCACTGACCGCAGGTGATTTGCTAGTTAGTTTCGATGTAGTTTCTTTGTTCACCAAAGTCCCTGTGCCCGATACCATTGCAATCATTGAAGATTTGGTCCAACAAGGATTGAATGCTGATGTACCGGCCCTGGTGAGACACTGCCTCACCAATACATACTTCACCTGGAATGGAACATTCTACAAACTGAAGGCACCCCAATGGGTTCTCTCTTATCTCCAGTTGTAGCCAATATTTTCATGGAAAATTTTGAGACGGATGCAATCCAGACATCCACTCTACGCCCGTCCTTGTGGAAGAGGTACGTGGATGACACGTTCGTCATCTGGCCACATGGCCGACTGGCTCTGAACCAATTCCTCAACCACATTAATTCCATACACCCAGCCATCAAATTCACCATGGAGGTAAAAAAGGATGGCAAGTTACCTTTCTTGGATGTCCTCATCAAAAAGAGACCAGATGGTTCAATGAGCCATTTTATCTACAAGAAAGAAACCCATATTGATGCCTACCTAAAACCTGACTCCCACCACCATCCATCCCAGAAGAATTCCCTCATCAAAACTTTACACCATAGAGCTCAATGTATCTCCGACCATGAACACCGAACCAGTGAACTCAAAGACGTACACCAAGCTCTCAAGGCGAATGGATATTCTGACTACACAATCCGCAAAGCCATCACCCCAACCGTGAGGAAGGAGCCATCTGAGGATCCAATCAAAACCATCACCTTGCCATACATAGCAGGGGTAACCAAAAATATTTCCAAAATCATGAACAAACACAAGATCCAGGTCCGATTTAACACAGGACATAAAATTCGTGATCTGACCCCATCTGTGAAGGACAAGATCCCTGCAATATCCCGGCGCCTACAAACAAAGCTGTATCTGCGGCAGCAGTTACATTGGGGAAACATAGCGACATGTCTCGAACCATGTTCGTGAGCATAAGGCAGATTTGAAACACGGTAGGACCAATACTTCTGCCGTGGCTGATAATTATTTTCATGCGGCTGGCTCACACGAAATTGATTTCTCTAAGACGAAGGTATTTTGCAAACCCACTGGCTATCAACAAATATTCGTTCATGAAGCTATCCATATATACAGACATATATACAGACATAGACACAATTTCCACCGAGAAGATGGGTACAAACTCAGCAATCACTGAAAGGACATTATCAACCAGTTCAAGTCATAACTGGCTGTAATGTTTCCATTTTAGACCTGGCAGCCCTTTATTTGGTGGAAGCCAACCACCAGGACCATCACTGCCCACTACTACCATCACCTCTAGCAGCAACCTCCACCATCAACAGTGTGTAAAGCAAGGTGCAATGATTTCCTGGCAGCCCTTTAATTGGTGGAAACCCAACAGCACCGTCGCTGCCTATTACTCCCATCACCTACATTAACATGAGCTACCCCACCCATGCTGCTGACACTTTGGCTACGCCTATTTTAAACCTTTATAAACAGTTTGCCTTTAGAGGATAACCCCCTTTTCCTGATGACGACAGCTTGTGTTGTGATCGAACCGTCGTGTTTTATTTTTTATTTTAATTAACTCTATTGTTTTTCCATCTACGTGACTTTCCCGAAAGAACCAAAGAATATAATATAATTTAGAAATAATAAACAATCGCGAAGGGCAGTAAGCCAATGTTTAT